CAGCGTCCACTTTCGATCTCGACTGGGCGCAAGGCTGGCTGCTCGGCCGCGATGCCCGCGCCTAGACCGAGTGCATCGCTGAGGCTGCCCGTGCAGAGGCCCTCGCGCGTACGCAAATAGCTCAGAGGCTTGACTCGCGGATGTCAGCCTTCTGCTAGCCTCCTCCCGCCTCGAAGGGAATAAATACCGCGCTGGAACGCCCACATTCCCCATTCGCGCTCTGTTCCCCCCTCCCATCCCCCCTTCCTCCCCCCACCACCCCGCATGAGTCACCACGCCGACAGGTAGGGGCCATCAAGACACGGGCTCTATCCTGGCGTCAGCGTGTTCCCACATTGCCGATGGGCAGGGGCCGCTCCAAGCGTCGTCAGAGTACTGCAAGCAAGCGGTCAGAAGCTCCTTAAGACTGAAGTGCATATTGAGTCGAAGGTGGGACGGTGAGTGTTTCCTATCCCGAGGGAGGGACTTCGGTCCTGGCGCATACCTTTTCGTGGTCCTCGGGATAAGTACCTGCTCGTGCGCGGCCTCTCGGGGCGGTGTGCGGGTGGGGAAACCAAAATGCGTTTTCTGCTTCTTCGTTCCGGTCCGGGCGGGGTTCATGCGCGCCGTCCGCTGATACTTTTCTGATCTTCTGGCCCATTATACACGCATACTTTCGTAGCATCATTGTGCAATATCTTGTAATGCCTGCGCATTGAACGTTGAAATAGAATTCAGTTTGGCGCATGTTTGAGTTGTATTAGTAGTTGCAACACCTGGTCATTTGCCACGTTCATCGGACATCGTACAGTCAGAAATGCGTATGTCCGACTCGACCCGCCGCCAAGTCCACCTCAAACCATATTATTATCGTAATTCGGCGAAGAGTGATCGTACGGTATCTTTGTCCGCGACCGCAGAAGTGATACTGCGATGGCTTTGAATGTTAGACCTATTGAACACGCTGAATAGAGGCGCGACATACGGGGGGTCATCATCGCAGTGACGCGACTGAAGCTTACGTCACGGTGTTGGTACCAACCAGCCAATCGAGCCTGTGGGGTTTGACAGGACCCTGGGAGAGTCGATGCAAGCATGCAGTAGCCTTTGGAAGAGCCGTCGGGGATATCAAGGAGGTGTCCTACCCTGGTCTGTTCGGGGGTGCTTCAACACCTGTGTGCCTCTGCATAGTTGGGTGACTTCGCTTACCCTCAGATCATCATCTGCCGTTTCGACCAAACGTTGGACCTTTCGCAGACGATCGGCATGTCGGCCTGCTGCGCGTGACCACATCGTTGCATCGCGGAGGCTGAGCTCTAAGACACTTAGGCTCATTTCCAGCCTGTCGGAATTGTGAACAAGACTTCCGATGAGCTACAACACAGTTCGAGACATCGCGGAGGACATACTGTTTCAGGCGGCGGAGCATGGATTCGAGATGGACCGGCTCAATCTCAGCTCGCTGCTTCTGGTCGAGGTGGGACAGAACTTTGATCCAGTTCTCCACCGTGTCCTTCATGTGTTTCTCCCTGTGCAGATGATCTCGCAAGGCGTGGGCTCCAAGAACGCTGAAGACCGTTACGAGGCCGTATCCTGCAATCTTCAGTCCTGCCTCGAGGAGATGTTTAGCGGAGAGCCCGGCCGAGCCATTTTGGGTGGCATGAGTCGACATCGTGCTGGGTGAGGAGGCTACATCAGTCTGTCGCCGAGGAGCGGAGTAGTTAGAGATGCGTTACAATGCGTATTTGTTGGGGGTGCAATGTGCTGGATCGACCGGAAGGTTGTTGACTCGGGGTATAAGTACTACGAATATATGACGTCCGGATAGATTTGAAACACGAAGAGACCCGCCGCGTTGCCTTCGTATTGAGACAGTAGTGGCATCCCCGGCAGTGAGTCGGAGTGACGAAAGGGGTACGGATGTCGACCAGGATGTCCGGATATTCGTCAGACTGGCTGCCTTCCTGTCGTCGGAGTACGTCCCGGAATGAATGAGAACATCGAAGAAGCCATTCAAGCGTCAGCTACCACTGAGTATCCGGAAATCCGGATAACTTGCTGCGAAGCGCTCTGACGAGAGCGGCGGTCGTTCGAATTTTGGAGGCTGTGCCAACGAGTGAGTGGCCGCTTAGCGCTTATGTAGCGCCCAGCGTTCTTGAGCAACCACCGCGATCTCACCCGACCCCCTCTTTTCAGCATGGCCATCGCGGGCCCAGCTAAGTACCAATACAAGCCCTCTATAAACGAGAGTCTATAGGTCAAATGCCCGTCGCATCGGAAGAATTCGGACTGCAGCGCGTACGCACGAAGAAAGCGAGTCGTCGCTGCACTGCGCTGCCTCGGATATGAGGAATTACAGGTTCTTCTCTCACTATCTCCGTATCGATTTTCGAACAGTGTTTTTATACTTGAGTGTACAGCATTCCGCTATCGTGAACCTGGGCCAACCAACTTGAAAGATGTCCACTCGCCGAACGAACGAATCACAGCGTGCTTGCGATCTCGACTGAGCGCGAAAGCTTGCTCGGCCGCTATGCCCGCGCCCAGACTGAGTGCACCGCTGAAGTTGCCTGTGCAGAGGCCCCCGCATGTACGAAAATAGCTCAGAGGCTATAGCGGATGTCAGCCTCCAGCCAGCCTCCGCCCTCCTCGAGGGGATAAATACCGCGCAAGGACGCACACATCCCCCATTCGCGCTCTGTTCCCCCCTCCGACATCCTCCCTTCCTCCCCCCACCACCCCGCATGAGTCACCACGCCGACAGGTAGGGGCCATCAAGACACGGGCTCTACCCTGGCGTCAGCGTGTTCCCAGATTGCCGATGGGCAGGGGCCGCTTCAAGCGTCGTCAGAGTACTGCAAGCAAGCGGTCAGAAGCTCCTTAAGACTGAAGTGCATATTGAGACGAAGGTGGGACGGTGAGTGTTTCTTTCCCCGAGGGAGGGACTTCGGTCCTGGCGCATACCTTTTCGTGGTCCTCGGGATAAGTACCTGCTCGTGTGCGGCCTCTCGGCGTGGTGCGCGGGTGGGGAAACCAAAATGCGTTTTCTTGTTTCTGTTTTTTGAAGATGGCTATCTCGACGGCGGTCTGCGTCCATGCGCAACTCACTTATATCTTTATAGGACGGAACGGCCCCCAAGTAGCTGGGGGACCCGGAACAACATCATTAAAGCAGCGCCTCCTTGTTGACAACGATTTGGACAAATGTATGGCTCTATACAATGATGATAAGCTTGCCTTAAAAATGTCTAGACATGTAGAAACGGGTGTGTGTAACCATACTTGGGGAACCCGTAAAGTTCAATTGAGCGTCCAGTATTGCAAACTCTACACCTGCCATTTAGAGCGGACGTGTCATTATGGGCGCCTCAACGGCCACACTCGCAGCTCGTGCATGTCACTTCTGTACTGTATACTGTCCTCACTACTACTAGGTCTCTGTCGTCAACGTCGAGCTCTTACATCTTCATTCTTGCTACTCTGAGTTCTGAACCGCTTTTGAGCAATGGCGTACGTGGCAATTGACTCGGATGAGGTGGGTCAGACGCAGTGGTTTGTCGTGCTCTGCGTTTCTCATAGTATTGACGGTAGCCTCTCGTTATAGCGGATGGAAGAGGGGCCAGATGGCCTCCAGTTTCAATGTATGCTCTTCTGAGTATTGGAGGAATCAGAGTTGCTGAGCATGGACACCGCTTACAGCATTCCTGAGCACTGACGCAAGGGCGACGAACCAGGGCACCAATGCCTCGCGAGGTACGTGTCGATATCCCCATGTTATCTAGAGGGAGTATAACTTAGTGCGCGAGTAGGATTCATCTCGGATGGTCCTTCCAAGAACGCAGGATTCTGGACGCTGGACTACTATCAACCATACTTCGATGTGGACACCCACACGGTGAGTGCGTTTCCTATTTGTCGAAGCGCGTCTCCCTCATCCCCATCCTTGTTGCCCCCTCAAAACGTCGCCTGTCACACGCGCTCAGGTTCTCCGTCGCTGCTACACGACCCTCCTTCCTCGCTCCTCCAACTACCTCTCTGCGCACCTCACGCCAAGCGCGGATCTATATGGGCCCTTCTGGACGCTCACCACGCTCATCTTCGCGCTCTTCGTATGCTCCTCACTCGCATCCTCCATTTCCGCGTACCTCTCGCATCCAGACTCCGCCGCCGCCGTGCTTGAGTACGACTTCGGGCTGCTCTCCATCGCGACCGCGCTAGTGTACTCGTACGGCATCGGCGTACCCGTCCTGCTCTGGCTCGCGCTGCGGTACCTCGGCGTCGGGGAGTGGAGCGTGGTCGAGGCGGTCACGCTGTGGGGATATGCGCAGTTCGTGTGGATCCCGGTCGCGGTGAGTACTCGATATATGCGTCTCAGTGCTCGGACGGATCGGCTGACCTGGATGCAGCTCCTGTGTGTTATCCCCGTGCCCATCGTGCGCTGGGTGCTCGTCGGTGTCGCGTTCCTCATGTCCGGCTGGTACCTCGCGGCAAACGTGTACCCGGTCCTGGCCACGGTACGTGCTCATTCATTTTTTAGCATGTGCGGCACGGTTCGTTGACGAAGATTACTCAGGCGGACGCGAAGCCCGTGAGACTTGTCATCATCCTGCTCGCGGCGCTGCACGCGGGTATTGCGTTGTGCTTCAAGATCTTGTTCTTCAGCTACTACGTTGTTAAGGAGGTCGGGCCCGGCGATGGGCCACATGTCTAGTTGAAACGGACTACACTCTGATGTGCGTGCATTGCGCTTTAGTGTTTTGAGGTGGTAGTAATTTATCGCATTCTCAGACTTGGGAATGGTGCACGGCGTGAGCCAAATTACCTGGGACTGTATATAATAAGCGTCGTGAAAGCTTTCGTTCAACGCGTGCATTCGTCTTCTCGGCTCGCAATTGAAGGATGTATTCGCCTAACACAACACTACTACGTCACATGCGTAAGGGCGACGATGTGTACGCATACTGACAACATCACTGGAACACAGAAACACGAAAACGCATTTTGGTTTCCCCACCCGCGCGCAGCCCCGAAAGGCCGCACACGAGCAGGTACTTATCCCGAGGACCACGAAAAGGTATGCGCCAGGACCGGAGTCCCTCCCTCGGGAAAGAGAGCACTCACCGTCCCACCTTCGTCTCAATATGCACTTCAGTCTTAAGGAGCTTCTGACCGCTTGCTTGCAGTACTCTGACGACGCTTGAAGCGGCCCCTGCCCATCGGCAATCTGGGAACACGCTGACGCCAGGATAGAGCCCGTGTCTTGATGGCCCCTACCTGTCGGCGTGGTGACTCATGCGGGGTGGCGGGGGGAGGAAGGGGGGAAGTCGGAGGGGGGAACAGAGCGCGAATGGGGAATGTGGGCGTTCTGGCGCGATTCTTATTCCCTTCGAGGCGGATGGAGGCTGGCTGGAGGCTGACATCCGCTGCAGCCTCTGAGCTATTTTCGTACACGCGGGGGCCTCTGCACGGGCAGCCTCAGCGGTGCGCTCGGTCTGGGCGCGGGCATCGCGGCCGAGCAACACTCTCGCGCCCAGTCGAAATCGAAAGCACGCTATGATTCGCTCGTGTGCGCACGTTGATATTCGAAATTCGGCATACGTTTTCATAGATACATGTTATACAGAGGGTCGCGAGATCTTACACTACCTCCCGGAGTTCGTTGCTGTACGGCAATTTATTACCACTCATACCATACCGAGTTGCTTCGCCTTGATTTGCAGAGCCTGTAGAAATTACGACGAGCTGTCAGTAACGGCGAAGCCCGTTGCAGTAGAGGTTGTACCAGGGCCTTCGAGTGGAAACGCGAGACAAAGAAGTCGCCGGTCGCGTACCACAGCTGTCGCGCAATACCACCGTTAGCATCGTAAACCAGCCGTCAAACATAAGGAACTTACCCCGGGGTGGCCCGAGGGCCGGTAGCTTCCTCTAATCTCTCCCTCACCGTCGAGACCGTAGACCTCGCCGGTCTTATTGACGACGTCGTCACCGAGCAGCGCACGGTTCGCCTCCCTGATGTGGACATAGCCCGTACTATGTCGCGATGAGTGCACGGAGGAACTCTCGATGTAACGGTCACTCACGCCATGATGACCGCGTCTGCGGACAACTCAGACCCGTCGGTGAAAGTGAGGCCAGAGTCGGTGAACGCCTGAGGGGCGACACCGCTCTTGACCTTGATGCGGCCGTCGGCGATCAGGTCAGCGGCGCCCTTGTCCTGCCCTATGAAGTGGGGAAATATTCAGCGTCATCGCGCTATAACCAATGGGATCAGAACTTCACAGTAACCTGGAACAACAACTGTTAGTTGGAAGGAGCACAAAAGGCCACCACCGACGCACCGGCAAGCCTTTCCAGAGTCAAGATATAAAGACCCTGGCCCTCCGGGCCCATATTCAGCTGCACCCCGCCCTTGCGCAGCTTGTCGTGCAGCGGCTTCTCCATCTCCCACGCCTTGTCCTGGTGCGCGATCGCCCACTGCTTCTGGAGCCCAAACGGGAGCGACGCCGCGCGGAAGTCCGCGATCTCCATCGGCACGTCCTCCTTCCAGCGCAGGCGCGAGACCGCCGAGATAATGTCGCGGCCGGAGACGCACGTCGGCGATCGCTGGATCATCGTGACCTCCTGCGCGCCCTGCAGGACGAGGTCCTGGCAGATGTCGATCGAACTGTTGCCGGCGCCGACGACGACTACGCGTTTCCCGGCGAACTCGGCGCCGCCGTTGTACCCCTCGGAGTGGAGCACTGGGCCTGAGAAGGTGTCCCGCCCCGGGATTTCAGGGATGTTCGGCTTGCCTAAAGTCCCAGACGCGAGGACGATATGGGCGGGACGCAGCTTAACGTCTTTGCCCTGGCGACGGATGGTGACGTCCCAGGTACCCGTTCCGGCATCGTAGACAGGGTTGGGCTGCAGCTCAGAACTCGTCCACACGACGAGGTCTTGGATAGATACGTAGTGCTCGAGCCAATCGGCGATTTTGTCGCGCGGAGTGAACTCAGGCCAGTTGGCTGGGAACGATTGGTAAAGCACTACGGATACGCGTGTCAGCGACCACGCTGCCTGTCGCAAAATACAACGGTTACGCTACTCACAGGTGTTCCGTCGTTTGATGGTATGTAGGGCCAGCGCAGGGTATCGCTTCCGCCACACGTCGCCCACTCGGGCGTGGCGTTCGATGACGAGCGTAGGGATCTGCATCGCCTTAAAACGAGCTGCCACTTGTACGCCGGTTTGTCCTGCACCGACTGGGAAACAGGTATTCAATATATGTGGCGTGTGCCAGTGTGTTGGATACTTACGTATCAGGACGTAGGGGTTCGTCTCGACGCCGTGAATCCACTGATCGAAGTCCTTCTGCAGGTCGCGTCCGGGGGTCACACTGTCGTCCCGCAAAGTGAGGACGTCTTGCTCCTCGTGACCTCGTATGTCGGAGAGCATCAAGAAGGCCGTAAGAGCTTTAAAGGCCCCGTCCTCGTCCGGGAGGAGACGAGCATACCCACGTCCGTGGCCGTTGCGGAATTCGAACGAGAAGGCCAGCTCGACATCCACGGCTGGAACAGCCGAAACGAAGGAGACCTGCGGGGCGAGATGTGCCCTTTCGTCGAGCTTGACGTGCTTGATCTCGGCGCTAGCCAGGGTGCCCGCGACGTATCCGGCGACCTTGCTGCGCCCCTCGAGAGAGCGGATATCCCATGAAAAGACCAAGAGATCCCTGAGCCACCCGTTGGGCAAGAAGAGGGAGCTAAACGCCTCGACGTCGCCGTTCTGAGAAGCGGTGGCGAAGGCGGCAAGCCAGGTCGAGGCAATAAGCTGCGGGTCGAGAGCCATGTTCAGTATTTGTCGCTATGAAGAGATGGGTAGAGTTAAGTGGACACACCTTCTGCGCAACCTTGTCGTGCGATTTATACCGTCAGGACTAGCATGTGAAAGGCACCATGACCGCAGCGAGCGACTCGCGCCCAACGAACGGTATTGCCCCAAGTGAGTGCACCTCCAGTGTGTTAGTCAGTGTGGGTGCTATACAAGTCATAAAGATTTGTTGTAGTATGTGCTAGTATTGAATCGAGAGGTCAGCAATATAATACCGATAGACGAGAGACGTGCTTCGAATACCACCCCGACTGGTGCTTCCTTTCCGCAAAGCGCCGTGAGTAGCGCTGTCGGTCACCTGGCCCCGTATGTTCTCTCCGTAGTTATGGACAATTCTGCTCCATTGCAAAGGCTAACGAGACCTCGCATGCAACGATGTCGGTGGAGTGACTACTCAGTAAATTGTACTCGAGTTGGAAGTACTTGCTCGTAAACCATTTGCCTTGGCTGTTTGAATAAAATGAGCCTGACGACCTCATATGGCAACTCCGGTCAGGGCGCCCCTGAACTTGTGGTGTTGCCTCAGTCATCGACTGTCTGATCGGGTTGTTTTTTCTCACTGCGCTGTCAACTTTTTGAATGTTGCTCATCTATGCTTACGGGCTGCCCAGTGCATTACGTCGTCGTTGGCACCTATTGCACAGAGGATATGCATACACTAATACCGGGATTAGATGTGATCTGGTCTAAATTGAACGACGTACGTTCAGTTTGAAATACTCGGAGGTCGGCAACGATGAGCCCGTTCCCGTAGTACTCCGCGCCGTGTTGCTGCGATGTATCTTGACTAAATATCCGAAGTTCGAGAATGCGTACGAAAACTCCCTAAAAGTTATTATGCGTGAGATAGAACAGTTGCCAGAAAGAAGGCGCCGTTTGAGCCTGATCCAGATCGCAAGTGTGCTCTCGGTGGTTGTTTGTCCTAGTTCGTCTTCAACTGGCAATGGCCTGTGCTGAGTTCAGCAAGTTCGTCGCGCGGCGTCCCATAACATGCGTTGTACGGTGGGAATAGCGAGGAAAAGAAAATTCGCGGTGCACACCGTCGCGCCAGCAGTCCAGCGAACTGTGCCAGTGGTCACGGTTCGTTCCAAGTTCACTCCAACTGGATGCGCTCTAAGCGCCCTTAGCACAGCCACTCTAACGCGTAACTGGCGCTCGTGATCCGCTGCCACGTGCTCGCACTCAAACAGGCGCTCGTGCTGGAGTCGGGGTCGAGCAGCGCGGGCCGCTCGCACATCTTGACACGAACTCTCAGACTGGCGCACCTGGACAACTAGCACCCTCTTGCCGCGCTCTAGCTCATTGTTCGCCTGATAGTAGCTCTAATTTGGCACACGTAAACTATCTGTCCAGCTTTCTGCGCAATCACGGAACCCGTCATGGCCGACCATACCGAGGCTTCGTCTCTAACTTCGAGCGACCGCGAAGCGAGTGGATCACGCTCATCCCGCCCCGAGCAACCATGTGAGTGCCTTAATATCTTCCCAAATACTGCTCCTACATGTATGCGGAAGACCAGTTGCGAGCGCGCGAATTTGTGGAACTTCATGATCAAGTTCAGGTACGGCCCCGTTTCAAGGTTCTGCGACCCGATCCTCATTCTACCTGTGTGCTTAGACTAGCGTCAATCTACTGGACTCGTTGGAGACTTTCCTATCAACGTTCCAGAAGGACCTTTCTGCTGTTTCCGGCCAAATATCCAACCTGCAGGACAGAAGCAAGGACATTGACAACCGACTGAAGAGCCGGAGGGTGCGTTAGTCCGCACCCGTTGGCGCCGTAGTGTTAATCATGCTACAGAGGATAGAGAAACCCCTCGCCAACCTCGTCGTCGATCTCTGTATACCCCCGGCGCTGGCGACGCTCATACTAGATACCTGTGTCGGCGAAGACTGGATACCTGCCATCGTCGAGTTTGAGCGGAGGCTGGACACTCTCAAGCTCAGAGTTCGCGTCAAGGCTGCGCGAGACTTGTCAGAGGTTGCGGAGGGCCTGCGGATAGTGGTGAGCACATGACTTCAATGTCTGAATGCAGTTTACTATATTGAAGCTGTGCTGCACCTAGGCCGCCACCAAACTGCGAACTTTCTTCCTGGCGCTGCTAGAACCTATACGGACAAGCATGACTACGAACCTGCAAGTCATACAATCATCTGTATGGATGAAGTACAGGCCACTTTACACCTTCCTGCAACGGCACGCACCCAACGTCGCACACGAGGTGCAGCGTGCGTACGCCGCCGCCGTCCGTACTTATTTTGAGACCGGGTTCAGGCGCTACCTCAGAGGCCTGAGCTGGATCAAGGTCAGCCCTGGACTTCATCACGCTCAGAGTGAGCGCTGAATATTTGTAGGCCCGGACAATAGAGAGAGCGGACAACATTGCCCATGCTCCCGGCGAGTCCCCAGACCCAGAAACGGACCCCACACGTCTATCGTACGCTCGTGTAGACGGTCCAAGTGTTGTCATGGCGTACATGGCAGACGACAAGAACCATGTCAGTAGGCAGCATTTCACACATCACATACATTCCTGACGACTTCCCTGCAGAAAGAGCCTCTGGAAGCTCTCGTCCGCTCGGCGTTGCTTGTCCTCATGGATAACGCGACTGCAGAGTACTCCTTTATCACGACGTTCTTCGCCCACGAGCCTCGGCCGTCGATGCAGAGCAAGGACTCGAGCGGGTCCATCATGTCTCCCCCACTCCTGTCGCCGACAAACGGCGAGTTCGAGGACATGCGCTCCAATCCGGGATCCGACTTCGGCGGCGAGAGCGTGGCGCCGCGCAAACGGCTCACCAGTATCACCAGCGTCATGAGCACAGGCCCGCAAGAGCCGTCCGCAAAGGAAGAGCTCGCGGCGCTCAACACGCTCTGGAAGCAGGTCATGGACCCCGTCCTCGACTACTGTCAGGTAACGCCCCCGATTTGTCGCTCCTCCCTGCACCCGCACCCGCTCATAAGCCCCACAGACGTTCATCCAGAACGCGCTGGAGCCCGCGCCGCCCGTCGTCGTGCTGCTGACCATGATCCGCCTCACCGAGGACGTCGTCGCTGAGGTGCAGCGGCGCAACTGCGGCCCGCTCGAGACGTTCGTGTTCGCCATTCGCCTCAAGATGTGGCCCGCGTTCCAGAAGCTCATGGCGGACCACATCGACTCGCTCAAGAAATTCGCCGAGGGAGCGTCCGCGGGCTACTTCCGGCGGGGCACGACGACCGATGCTGCCGTTTCAAGTGTGAGTTCATCCTGTTTACGTCTCCTTCGCTAGGTCGCTAGTACGGGGTGTACGGTGTAGCGTTTGTTACCGCCGCTAATATGTCTCGCGTAGATCTGCAAGCGATACGTCGCGGTGTTCAACTCGTTCATTGCGCTCACTGATCAGGCGGAAGAAACGATGATTTTCTCCAAGTACGTCCCGCTGCGCCCTTCTGCCGTTGTTCCCATTCTCATCTGCACACCCTCGTGCAGCCTCTTGCGCCTGCGCCAGGAGCTATCGAAGCTGATCGTGACCCACACGGACAAGCAAACCGACCCCGCGGCCAAAGCACGCGCGCTGTGCAAGTTTTATGAGAAGCTGCTCCAGGGGCTCAGCGTATGTGCTTCAACACTCGTCCCGCGGCGATTGTGCTGAACACAGTACACAGAACGGGCCTCACCCGACAAGCCATCCCAAAGCGCAGAGCGAGCTCGCATACTGGCGCCAACGCGATGAGGAGGCACGCAGGCGCGTCGCGTCGACGCATGCAGGCCGCAGTTAAGACGGACGGGTTATTACGGGTATTAGATTCAAAGTAGAATGTGAACGGAAGCCTGACGACGTGCGAAATGCTACATAACTAACTACAGATGGCGAACCAGAACCGTCCATGTCAGCCTTTCAACCCCAGCCGTGATGGCAGCCCCAGCCTGATAGTGCGATGAGAGAGATCCGGAGAAATAGTGTGCTTTGGCTCTGATATATGCAAGAGACGATCACGTTGTATACGGGGGTGTGAAGGCTGGCGGGCTTCTGGGAGTCGTACGTCAGTGCGCAGCAAAGGAGAAGGGGGTGCCCAAGCTCACCTGGGCTGCTGCGCCTTCTGCACCGCCGGGAACGACGACTTCAAGTTCCCGCCCCCGTTCTGCTTCCCGATGCCCAGCTTGTTCAGCACGTCGCGCACCTCGCCTGGGCGCGGCCTCGACCTTTGCTGCGGCCGCGATCGCTGTGGGGTAAGCTTCGCGAACCCGTCCCCGCCCCCATTCGTCCCAGGGAACACGGAGGAGGTGTGGTCGAGCGTGGAGATGGACGGCACGCGCCCGGCGAGGTTCGGGTTCGACATGCTGCTCCGACCCTCAAGCGCCTCGCGCAGGTCGGTGACACCGACGCCGCGTCCTGAGCGCGCGAGGCTCTGCATGGAGATGTTGTCGGCGTGCATGAGCGCGGGCGCGACCTTGATGAGCGGCGAGAGGCCATCTGCGGAGAGGTGGGACTTCGTCTCGATCGCTGGAGGGAGTATGAGTCACAGTGAGACGAGGTGCGTCTTAAAACGCTACTTACACTCCTTGTATGCGCTATCGGGCGACCAGTCGGCGCGTAACCTGCGGAGCAGCTCTTGCTGGTTGAGGCCCGTAGCTTGCTGTGCATTTTGCGCTGTTGAGAGCGCTTCCAGAATCGCATCACTGTTGATTTCAGGCAAGGGCGCGCTCGTCTGGGCGTCGGAGGGGAAGGGTATAGGTTGTTGCGGGGGCTGAAGGGACCCGAACTGCCAGTCCGGCGGGCTCGGTAGCGGTGCAGAGGGTGGGAGGGCCGACAGGACCTATAATGCGACATATGAGCGAATACTATGTGGAAGCATGTGAACAGCGCTGACGTACCTTCTCTGCAATTTCGGTCACAGCGGGGCAGTCCCACACCTTGCCCACGACGAGCCACGTCCTCGCGACAAGCTCCTTGATCGCACGCACAGTCGCTGCCGTCGCGGCGCACTCATCGCCCACTTTCGTCGCAGCTTCGAGTGCGACGAGCATTGGGATGCCCGTAAGCAGACTCCGTACGGGCAGCTGCTCATGAGCCGCAGTCAACACTGCGAGAACGTTCCCGATATCCGACAGGTCCGCCGCGACGCGAGCAGACATGCGCGCAGGTGCGTCCTTGAGCATGCGCAAGACGAGCGACGCGCGACGCGATCGCGAGGGCAAGTTCATCGATCGGCGCTCCGAAGGGGCGCCCTCGCTCGGCGCGTCTCCCGCACGCGAACGTGCACTTGCGTCGTCCCCATTTGTGTGCGCCGGAGACGCGCGTTCGGAGGACGGCGGCGAAGGACTACTACGCAGGCCGAGGCGCGGGGATGTCGTGAGCGCATATGTGCATGCGTGCAGCGCGTTGAGGAAGCGCGTCGTCGCATCGCCGTAAAGCACCGTGTTGAACGTGTTCGACTTCTGCGTGGGTCCCTCCGCGAGTGGCCTTGGACGCCGTACACCGTCCGCGTCCGCCTTGTCCGCAAACTTCGGGATCTCGTGCTCGATGTATGCGACGAGCGCCATTGCATAGTCCGCCCGCGCGGCGTAGTCGCCATCGCAGAGGAGCGAGAGCGTGTCTTGCCAAATCTCCGGACCGACCTTAGTGCGGCGCGACGGACGAGTGTGCCCCTGTGATTGGCCGTCGTGCGACGTCCGCTCTGTTAGGGGTGGAAGGGTGGGGCTCGTCCCGACGGTCTTGGCATCGTCCTCGGCGTCCTTGCCTGCATCGTGCAAGTCCGCAGCGTGGATAAGACCGAGCAATCCAGCTAGAAGGCAGCGGACGGCTTGTGTCCGGGCCTGCGCGCGATTCGCCCGGCCTACGCCTGGTAGCCCGTTTGCCTCGACCATGACCAGGCGGCGGATGATGTCTTCGGCGAGGTCCTGTATCTGGTCGGCATAGTAGACGTGAGTGCCTAGTGAGGAGACGCACTCCACCAGCGCCGGCAATAGCGAGTCTTCTGGGGAGACGGTGATGCGTCGGATGGTGATGGAGATGAGACTGCCAATAATGTCCGAGGTGGACAGGTTGACTAGTGGTGTCGGTGATGTGAATACCGCGGTGATCATCGCAGCGAGTGTTGACTGCCTCTGCGATGGCTCCGGCGCGTCCTGACCTGCGGCAAGGGATTCCACAAGACGCGTCGGAATGCCGTACCGGTATTGATATTGCGTCCATTCTGCGGCCTTTTCTGCGAGCCATTGGCAATGCTCGAGCTGCTTCCAGCCTCCGCGTTCATCCAGCGTGTCGAGCGCTGCTTGTACCACTAGAGAGGCCTGCATGCCGCGCGTGTGCCCAAGAAGAGACGAGGTCGCGCGCAGAGCGGTATTAGCGACGTCCGCTGACGTTGGGCCCTGATCGCCGTCAATGTGGACGTGGATGGAAGCCGCACGCCGTTCCAGCGTGGGGCGCGACCGGAACTCGTCCAGAATGGGGGAATTTGGCTGCTCCTTGATGTCAGCGATCCTGAGGAAGGAGGCATGTTAGCGCAGCCACGGCCAGGGTCGTAGAGAGCTCACTCGTGGTTAAGCACTGACACATCGACCTGCAGGAGGGGAATAAGAAGCGCGCGCATGATGATGGACACCTGCGGCTGAAACTGTGCTGAGGGCTTGTAGAGCGCCTCGGAGTTGACCGCGCCGACGAGCGCAGCGAGGCCAATGAGTCTTGTTCTGTACAGGGAAGGCGATACGTCGTGAGTAGACAGCTTCCGGGTATTTTGCAGTTTCCTCACCTGTTACGGGTCTCGTGGTCATTGTGCTCGAGGTGACCGAGAGTAGCAAAGTGTCGCAGACATGACATATAGTCATCTGTGACCCTCAAGTCGACACCGATGATAAGTCCATCAGTGTACGTGGTCCACGTTGTAAACTGCAGGGCGTGAGCGACGCTACGCGAAGTGGAAGGAGCATGAGACGCACAACTGTGGCGGCACGCGCCGCAATCTCGAGATCCGCGGATAGGGATGCCAACGTCGCATTCACAGAGGCGAGGAGCGAAGGCGAAAGTAACGCCATGTCTCTTCTACATTCTGCCGCGAGTGCCTTGATGATGGCGAGGGTGATGAGGAGCGAGCTGGCAAGCACACACTGTCTAGGCACGTCCCGAGGAAGCGGTCAAGAGCACTCACGCGCGTGCCCGTGTATTGCCAGCTGCAGCCTTCCTGGCATCCAGCTTCACCCGCTTTTCCAGCTCGCTCCCTAGTTTGTTTATCTTCTCTGGGCGGTTGGCGGCATAGTATGTGAGACGAGAGAGCTCTTGGGAGTTGGGTGCATATTCAGGGCCTGCGGTGAGGAGGGCGGCATTGGGCGGGTAGCATGCGGAGACGAGCTGGACGTGATTAGGGGTGAATGGGATATGCATATGCGTCTGCGTGGGTTATGTACGTGCGCTGGGGCGGAAAGAGGGAAGGCAGTTGAGGGAAGGAGTGGAGAACGCGGACGCTGCGGAGAGGAGAACGCTTGGACTGGGATGAGCCTTCGCTCCAATCTGCGTCCAGCGCGCCCGCCAGATCTCGATCGGCTATTTCGCGCTCCCCATCCAGGAACACGGTTCCTGCGCTCCGGTGTCCCTCAGCGTCCTCCCACTTCAAAAATATACTCGTTCAGCTCATTCATACAGAGCCACACCGAGCATTACGTGACATATAATTGCTGCAGAACGAATACAATAAGTACGTCATGGTCATGGGCGGATAATTAATGCAGCTCACACGAGCGCTCACTCATTCGTCCATGTGGCTGTGCAATGAGCGCTCCAAGGTAGGGATTTGGTTGCTCTCTTCGACCTTCAAGTCGTTGTCCCATACATGCAACACTGACCGCTGAACACTGAGTTTTCCCTCGCCAAGTCTACCGCACAGTACCTCTTCTCGCCAAATACCCCGATCATGATTAAACGAGGCCGCCGAGGGCGCCCTCGTGTACTGACAGTGCCCATGAACGGGGGTACAGCTCACCTACCGGCACCCCAGTCGAAGTTACGATCTCGACTGAGCGCGAGAGTGCTGCTCGGCCGCGATGACCGTGCCTAGACCATGTCGATGCTGAGGATGACTAACCTATTCCCTCGTGCGCGGACGCAAATAGACTGAGGCTGCAGCGGATGTCAGCCTCCAGCCAACCTCCTCCCGCCTCGAAGGGAATAAATACCGTGACAGAAACGCCCTCATCCCCCATTCGCGCTCTGTTCCCCCCTCCATCCCCCCTTCCTCCCCCACCACCCCGCATGAGTCACCACGCCGACAGGTAGGGGCCATCAAGACACGGGCTCTACCCTGGCGTCAGCGTGTTCCCAGATTGCCGATGGGCAGGGGCCGCTCCAAGCGTCGTCAGAGTACTGCAAGCAAGCGGTCAGAAGCTCCTTAAGACTGAAGTGCATATTGAGACGAAGGTGGGACGGTGAGTGCTTTCTTCCCCGAGGGAGGGACTCCGGTCCTGACGCATACCTTTTCGTGGTCCTCGGGATAAGTACCTGCTTGTGTGCAGCCTATTGGGGCTGCGCGCGGGTGGGGAAACCGAAATGCGTTTTCTTGTTTCTGTGTTTCGTAGATGATAGTCTATACCGCGACCTGCGTACGTGCGCTACACACTTAGCTCTTTATAGGACACAGTGAGTCAAGTAGCTGGGGGACTCGGAACATCATGAAGGCAGCGAGTCACTATCATAAGGTTTTGAATAAATGTATGGCTTTATAATATAACAATCTGGTGGACCTCAATTCAGTAGGACGTGTACAAATGCGTGTAACTATGTTCGAGACACGTCGTCTACATTCAAACCTTCAGTATCGCAAACTCTACACTTGCCATTTCGAGCGAACGTGTCAATGTGGGCGCCTAATCAACCCGCAGCCACCGCACTCGCAGCTCGCGCATGTCATCTCTGTACTACTATGTGCTATCGTCACTACCACTAGGTCTTCCTGTCGTTCAACGTCGAACCCGTGCATTTCAATTCCTGATGCTTTGAGTTTTGTTATGCTCTTCAGAAATGGGGTACGTGGCAATTGACTCAGATGCGGAGACACAGTAGCTTGTCGTGCGTGCTCTGCGTTTCTCGCGAATTGATGCGGTTTCTAACGTCTAGGTCATTCAGGTCATGGGAGAAAGACTTCATGTGTCTTTCTCTGTTTCTGCATCAATAGTTTGTGGTAGCACTGCGCCCATTTCAAACTTTAACTTTGGCTTATCATTGACGTCCCTTCCAAGCTGTAAATGTACTTTGAATCACTACCCTTGACATGGCGGTGGAAGTGCGGGCAGTCTCCCAAGCTGCGGACACTATAGTCATCTGACTTACCGCTGCTGCTGCTGAGTCGCCATGCTGTCGTTGCGCTGACCCTATTCCCGCCACAGTGCTTCTACTGATTCATCTTCTCGTGGGATTCTCACACAGGCGGACAGGAGCAGATATATCCACCGCAGTTTCTGTGCTTGGACCAGCGAACACCGACATGGCTCTCAACCCTCGTCTCATTGCTTCCACCTGGCTGGCTGCACTCACGGCCGCCTCGCAGAACGGCGACAGCAGCGCATTCGCTCAGCTCTTTCTGCCCAATGGGTGGCTTCGGGACCTTTTGGTCTTCACGTGGGACATCCGCGCCCTCGAAGGACGCGACAAGGTTGCAGCACACGTCGCCAACACTCTGGCCAACGCCCAGATCAAGGACATTAAGCTCGACGATACCACCTATCTTGCGCCAGAGGTGTCTTTCCTCCCACAGATTCATGCCGTAGATGTCGAATTCGCCATCACCTTCGAATGCCGCACCGGCCACGGGCGTGGTCACGTCCGTCTCCTTCCAGACCAGGACGGCACCTTCCGGGCTCTCACTGCCCTGCTCATGCTCTCGGACCTCAGGGGCCACGAAGAGCAGAACGTCCTCACCTTCCGGGATGATACTGCAGCTCCCGGCCGCGACCTACAGAAGGACTTCACCGATTGGGTTCACGGAGTGGAGACGAACCCTCACGTCTTGATAGGTGAGTCCCACGCCGGCATGAATTCGTTTACTTCTCACAGCAAGGCTCCCCGAAGTCGGTGCCGGGCAGACCGGCGTGCAAGTGGCAGCGCGCTTCAAAGCCATGCAGATCCCTACACTCGTCATCGAACGCCACCCGCGCGTGGGCGACGTCTGGCGGAAGCGGTATCCCACGTTGGCGTTGCACACGATCAAGCGACAGAACACCTGTGCGTAATTCGTATCACTCATCGCATCCATAATGCTTTAGCCAAACGGTGTGCTGACACTAGGACCCGCAGTGCTTTATCAGCCATACCCAAGCAACTGGCCCGAGTACACACCGCGCGACAAACTTGCTGACTGGCTCGAGCACTACGTGTCCATCCAGGACCTCGTAGTCTGGACGGACTCCGAGCTGCAGCCTCGTCCCGCGTATGACGCTGAGACTGGGACATGGGATGTCACAATCTGCCGCCAGGGCAGAAACGTCAAGCTGCGTCCCGCCCACATCATCCTCGCCACGGGCACCCTGGGCAAGCCGTACATCCCGGACATCCCCGGTCGCCAAGCTTTCAAGGGGCAGGTGCTGCATTCCGAAGGCTTCAATGGCGCCGCAGAGTTCCAGGGTAAACGTGTGGTCGTGGTCGGCGCCGGCAACAGCTCGATCGACATCTGCCAGGACCTCGTCACCGAGGGTGCCGAGGAGGTCACCATGATCCAGCGCTCGCCGACTTGCGTTTCTGGACGCACGTTCCTGACAGGGCTTGCGAGGCAGCGCTGGCCGGACGAGTGGCCCCTGGATGCGGCCGACCTCAAGGCAGCGGCATTCCCGCTGGGGCTTCAGAAGCAATGGTCTATCGCTTCGCAGGACTTCATGTGGGCGGTCGAGAAGGAGCTGCATGACAAGCTGCGTAAGGGTGGAGTGCAGCTTACGTTGGGCCCGGAAGGCGAAGGCCTCTACATCTTGGTTCACGAGCGGCTTGGAGGTGCGTCAGCCAGGGCTCTCTTGTGAGGTATAACTCTGACTGGTTGTCGAACTAGGTTATTGTAAGAATTCGCGATATTCTATGCGCGGACGTAACTTTATCACATCCCCACTATCTCCTCCCAGGGCAGGACAAGGGCGGCGCAGACCTGATCGCCGACGGCAGAATTAAGGTTAAAAGTGGGGTCGCTCCTGCAAGGTTCACCCAGTCCGGCGTCGTCTTCACCGACGGGTCGGAACTGACTGCAGACGCTGTCATCCTTTCGTAGGTAATTCCGGTGAGGGATTTGGTTTGCGCGCTCACCACTGCACAGCACCGGGTATGTCCACATCAAGGAGACGAATCGTGCGCTACTCGGAGACGAGATTGTCGACCAAATCGGCGAGGTATACGGTCTCGACAGCGAAGGCGAACTGAGGGCGAGCTACCGGCCGTCTGGGTATCCTGGGGTAAGCTTCGTTCAAGTACCGTCGTATCTCGAATTTGCTGTGGTCACTGAACCATGTGGCCGCGTGCGGCAGCTTTGGTTCGCAACCGCGGATTTCTTCGTCTCGCGCTTCCTCTCGAAGACACTGGTACGTCCCACCTGTACGTAGCGACGTTCCCTGCCTTGCTGATGCCTAGTGCGCTCTAGGCGTTGCAAATCAAAGCCAGGCAGCTTGGGATGATTTGACCTGCACTTTTGTGGGCGACTGCACCATATCCCGATACAGGTAATGCTGAACGAAGAGTGGCAGGCACCGTTTCATGCTGTGTATCATCATATCAATCCAAATACGACAGCGTGATTTGGAACGGCGGACGCTGATAGACTGACCCCGACCTGGCTGCTTCTGCGGACGGTATCGCCGACAATAGGACGCGATCTTGATCCAATGATTTGAGAGAACTCCGAGTACCACGACGAGCGTCTGCAACGTCTGGGAGCCGTTTACGCTTCCAAGTCTATCTTCTTCGCCATATCAACCACAGCGCCGCGCCGGGGCCACACTGTGCTGGTATTCCGAGTACTGGCCCAACGTGGTAGCGCCGCCCATCTCCCAACTATCAGCCCGGGTTGATGTCTATCTCCACCCATGGCCCTTCGGGCGAGCTGACAAGGTTCGTCCACAAGCAGAGAATCAGATGATTCACGACCACCCGGCCGTGGGCGGCAAGATATCGCGCGCTGGGAGTTACTGTCTACGCGGGTGCACCCGCCCAATACGCTGCAGGGCATCGCAGCTCATATGTCCACATTCGCATGCTGTGTGTTTGTGTGCGGTACCTCGTGGTTAGCCAGCGCCGCTCCCGCGCTCCCACCGTGCGTTCCCAGGAAGGCCTGACGTTCACATCCTAGCAGCTGTCCGGAACACCCCTCCGGCGGCGGGACACCAGGCGCGCATGTTGTGCTTGGGAAGCGTACTTAAGATGGCCCCAACGCCCGAGGACCCACTTCTGCGCCCAGAACACGACAGCCATCTCCCCCTGCCTGCTACCGCAACCTACCAGCCATGCACCTTGATCCCAATGTCGTCGCTTCCGAATGGCTCGCTGCATTCTCCGAGGCGGTCCAGAGCGCGGACCCGAGGCGGGTGGCGGAGACGTTCCTCGAAAGCGGGTGGTTACGGGACATCCTCGTCTTCACTTGGGATATCCGGACCCTTGCAGGCCAAGAGAAGATCACATCATACCTAGCTGGCACGCTTGTCAATTCTGGTATCTCCGACGTGAAGGTGGACGAGGATCCTCTGCTTGTTCCGCGGACATTCGGCGTACCGACGACACAAACCCTCGGCGTTGAGGTTGCGTTCACCTTCGAGTGCGCGCACGGCCATGGACGCGCGAACGCCCGACTCGTGCCGGACGCAGCGGGCACATACAGGGCAATGACGTTGATGACAGAACTGCGCGATCTGCCGGGGCACGAAGAGCTCGGGACCTTACCTTTACGAGACGAGATTACCGATATCCCGGGAAGAGATATGCAAGAAGAGTTCACCAACTGGGTGCGCGAGGTGGAGACGAAGCCATACGTGCTGATAGGTACGGTTCAGACATACCGACCAGGTGATGCATTTCTAACACAATAGATGATGCCGCAGTTGGCGGCGGCCAGACGGCTCTCCAGATTGCGGCACGGTTCAAGCAGATGGACATTCCTGCATTGGTCGTCGAGCGTTATGCGCGGATCGGCGATAGCTGGCGGAAACGATACCCGTCTCTGACGCTGCATACTGTTCGAAGACATCACACCTGTAAGTTCAAAGCCGCATTAGCATACATTCCGTAAAACTTGACTAACCAGCCTCAAGTGCTGTATCAACCATACCCTTCAAACTGGCCCCAATTCACGCCGCGCGACAAGATCGCAGACTGGCTAGAACAATACGCGGTCACACAAGACCTAGTGGTGTGGACGAACGCGGAGCTCAAGGTGCAGCCAATATACAACGCAGAGACCAAAGACTGGGATGTCACGATCCTCCGCGAGGGATTCGACGTCAAGCTGCGCCCCGCGCACATCGTGCTCGCCACCGGCACGCTCGGCGAGCCGAACATCCCAGACATCCCCGACGTCACGAGCTTCGCCGGGCAGGTCATGCACTCGCAGCACTTCGCTGGAGGCTCCCTGTACGCGGGGAAGCGCGTCGTCGTGATCGGCGCGGGGAACAGCTCAATCGACATCTGCCAGGACCTCGTCTGGCGCGGGGCGGAGTCGGTCACGATGGTGCAGCGCTCGCAGACGTGCGTGCTCGCGCGCGAGTACGTGTGCGGGCTGCTGAGGCAGTCGTTTCCGGAGGACGTGCCGCTGCCGATTGCGGACTTCCGCTGGGGGTCGTTCCCCTTGGGTTTGTTGAAGCAGCTGACGATTGCCGACCAGCAGTCGGCGTGGGATGCAAACAAGGAGCTCCACGACAAGCTGAGGAAAGGTGGACTTAATTTGAGCATGGGTCCAGAAGGACAGGGTATATACCTGCTCACCTTAGAGCGCGGTGGAGGTGCGTCCCATCATATCACAAGCGTGTGGATTAGATAAAGGTGATGTTGATGACCTATAATGAGGACAGGTTACTGTGAGTAATTCTGCAAATATAGCACAGAGCTAGACTGACATGCACCTAGGGATGGACAAGGGAGGCGCGGACATGATTGCAGACGGAAGAATCAAAGTGAAGAGTGGCATCTCCCCGCAACGGTTTACAGAGACAGGGCTTGTCATGAGCGACGAGTCCGAGCTTCCTGCGGACGTGGTGATCTTCGCGTGAGTTCACGCAGCTTCGTGTGTGACGCTTGTACTCAAGCACAGTCTTCGCCAGGACTGGGTTCGTGCGCATCAGGGAAGCAAACGCGGAAGTATTGGGCCGTGAAGTCATCGACAAGACAGACGAGGTGTACGGGCTCGACGAAGAAGGCGAGATCAAAGGCAGCTATCGCCCGTCCGGCCATCCTGGGGTATGTGTCTTCGACAATATTCATCGTCCCCTCACTTACCCTACCTATAGCTGTGGTTTGCTACCGGCGACTACTTCATCTCACGCTTCATGTCGAAGGCACTGGTACGCGGTCCATTACGAATTTTGCCGTCAACATACTCACCTCTCTGCCAGGCTCTGCAACTCAAAGCGATACAACTCGGGCTTTTGGAGCATGATGGCCGTCGACCCAGCGCAAAGGACAAGGAGCAAGTCAGCAAGCTGTGATTGAGGCCCCCGGGGAATTGTAGCTTGGTGTACGATACCCATACATAGACTGCATGTCGTCTGTAGGGACACCCGTCCCGACACGCAACCGATACCCAGACCTTCCGAGAAGCCTCAAACGGGCTGGAGGGCGTTTTGCAACGAATAGCTGGTGTCCGTAACATGCGCGTAGACGTCCGGAGGTGGCGGTCCATCGGCGGCCTCGTCTTCGCTCTCCTCAGAGCCGAGCATTACGTGCGCGATCTCGCTCTCCGGTTCCGTCACGTCCACAATGAGACCGCGGAGCACTTCCACCAGGTCTGGACGCGTCGTCTCGATTTCCTGCAGCCACCGTCGGCTGACCATCCAGCGCGCAACGCCCTTCGGAGGTAGGAACAGGCCGTCCTTGGGCAGGCCTTCGCGTCGGACCCGCGCAGCCCCACGCTTCGGTTTGACGCTCTTTTCAACACGGTCGTGTGCATCTAGGACGCCGTAGAAGCGTAGCAACCGTGCGCTGCGCCAAGAGGGACCCCGCGTCTGGAACGCCTGCACCCTATCACCGTTCTCGGCGTACTCGCCGTCGGACTCCTCGGAGGACATGCAGTCCTGGTGCAGGGCGCTCTCGAAGACGGGCTGCGCGAACGCGTCCAGTTTCTTACGCGCGTCGGTGCGGTTGCCTAGTTTCTACAGCGGCCGATCAGTTTCTGTTCTGGTTTATTATCCTGATAAGAAACGTAACATACCGCCTTCTTGCGCTGTAACCGACGCGCCCTGAGCGCCTTGTGGTTCTCCTTGCGTTTTAGACGCGTTGCGGTAGTTGCGTCGCTCTGAGCTTTGTGCTTCTGTCGGAGCGTGGTGAACACCTGATCGAAGACGCTATCCAGGGTCTTCTTGTTGAAATCCTTCTCCGGGACCTGCTTGTATGCGCTGTGATTGGTCTTGATGTCGTTGACGACCCGTCTCTTCATCGCCGCGTTGTGTGCAGACTGCTTCGGGGTCTTGAGCCAGACGAACCGCACGGGCTGGTCGGCGAGCAAGGGGGCACCTTCAAAATGGCTTTCGGGGAGGTCTTCGTCGCGTTTGAGTTTCATCATCTTCCGGATATGAATCCTCATGGCATGCTGCGGGATAAGTCAGCATGCGTGAACTGCCAATGTAACACAGTACACACATGGATCGTGGAACAGCGGCCGCTGACATTCCAGCTTTCGCCCACGCAGTCGGGGGAATCGTCATCCGAATCGTCCTCGCTTCCGCTGTAGCTACGGTCGCTCTCCTCCTCAGCGGCAGGGCGCGGCCGCTTGCGAGGATTCACCCGAGGTTTGGGAGAGGCGGGAACGGGTGTGACAGATGGCCCTATCGACTGTGGCGTAGGCGGCGCAAGCAATTCGGTAGGTTCTGTCTGAAGCGTGCTCGGTGTTGTTCGTGTAGACGCAAATTGTGGTGACGGCGTAGTAGAAGGGGGTGGTGATAGGACTGAGAGGGCAGGTGAATGTGAGATGTCAGAGGCGTTTGGGGCATAGTACGGATCCCTGGGTGCAAGCGGGCGTGATGAAGACCCCTCGATGAACAGAGGCAGATGCACCTCCGGATGTTGCGAGACAGGTGATACGGGCGAAAGCGGTGTTGGTGGCGATAGTTCGGCAGTAGGGGAGACAGGTTCGATGTGGGCAGTTGTCGGGATCGTGCTGATGGATGTATGGGGCTGCATTGCGGGGGGAGTAGGATTATTGGGATTCATGCCGATGTATGTTCTGAGTAGGTTAATTTCTTGGCGCATATCTAGAACCTGTTGCTCCAGAGCCATTTGCCGTTGCGCGGCTCTGGCCTCTTGCTCGCGTTCCCATTCAATTCGTCGCTGCCGCTCTTCCCGCGCGGAGGCCACGATCCGGTAAAGCTCGAAAAGTGGATGGCCACTGCGTGGATGTGGCGTCAAGGGTCTGAAATAAGCGTAAGCTAAGCGCACCACCACGAAAGCTACCAAAACGTACGGTGCTCCCGCAGCCTGCGCTTGTAACCCCGACGGCTGAGGAGGGACTATGGCGAGCTCTAACTCACTGCGGTGCGGTACAGAAACGGACGCTGGTGGTACGTTCGCTCCAGATGATGTGGCCGCTCCAGATGCTATTGACGCTCCCGGTGGTTGGGTGGGTGAGGGTTGCGCATGACGCCTACGAGGGCGTGCTACGACAGAATTCGGGTTGAGAGCGTTCGAAAGCTCGCTCGAGGACATCGCATTTCCGATGAGGTGCAAGGAGTAATCGTGTGGTCAATGTGCACTACTAGGAGGAGACAAGACGATAAATGTTGTGAGCCGGAAGGAGGGACATGGGCGCACAAGACAAACGTCGAAGGGTCGCCCAAGGTCGTTACTACATTAATGGGCGCTTCCGCGCGTACCAGTATGGGCGCCTATATCGCGACAACAGATCTAAACAGATCTGTGCGCACGTGTGGCGCGTACCCCGACGCGTCAGCGACGCGAGTCCCTGGCCTGCTTTGCGCGAACCAGCTTTCCTCCGACCCTCACCTCACCTGCTCCGAATCCCCCTCTCGAACGCAACACACAACAATGGAGTCCGACATGGAAGCGATGCTCGCCCAGACGCAGGGTGGCCGCGGCGGTGGAGAGACGACCGTTCCGGACAAGTGTGTATTCCGCTTCCACTACTCGACTGCGATTGACCGTATCATAGTGGCGAGGTCATTCATATATCCTCTCTCGCTCTCTTGAAGGTACGTTTCAGTCTGATATCCTTATTTTGCTTTGCTCATGTTCCGGCGTATCAGATGTTGAAGCACGGCCGTGCCGGCGTGCCCATGGAAGTCATGGGTCTCATGCTCGGAGAGTTCGTGGACGAATACACGGTACATGTCATCGACGTCTTCGCTATGCCCCAATCAGGAACGACGGTCTCCGTCGAGTCCGTCGACCATGTGTTCCAGCAAAGGATGGTGGACATGCTGAAGCAGACGGGGAGGTGCGCTACCCTGTCCCCCGCGTCCATTTCACCCGAGACTGAATAGGGACCCAGGTCAGAAATGGTGGTGGGGTGGTACCACTCTCACCCGGGCTTCGGGTGCTGGCTCTCAAGCGTCGATATCAACACGCAGCAGGTATAGTGCATCTTTCGCTCCGACGGGAACGCAGAAATAACGTATTGCGCAGTCGTTCGAGCAACTCGACCGCCGTGCTGTTGCCGTCGTCGTGGATCCCATCCAGTCCGTGAAGGGCAAGGTGGTGATTGACGCGTTCCGGCTCATCAACCCTGCCATGGTGCTCCAGGGACTCGAGCCCCGCCAGACGACGTCGAATATCGGGCACATCAACAAACCCTCCATTCAGGCCCTCATCCACGGCCTCAACCGCCACTACTACTCGATAGCGGTCAACTACCGGAAGACAGAGCTCGAACAGGCCATGCTCATGAACCTGCACAAGCGCAACTGGACAGAGGGTCTCACGCTGCGCGACTTCAAGGGCCACAAAGAGGGAAACGAGAAGGCGATCAAGGTACGTGCTCGCACGCTAAGGCTGGCCGTGTGACGTGCTTGGCTGACGGTCTGCCCGCTTGTCATGTACCTGTACCTCCCCGGTGCGAACAGTCCATGCTGTCGCTGTCGTCCGCATACAACAAGTCGGTCCAGGAAGAGTCGACCCTGTCCGCCGACCAGCTGAAGACGCGGCACGTCGGAAAGCAGGACCCAAAACGCCATCTCGAGGAGCAGGTCGAGAAGGCAATAGGGGATCAGGTGGTGCAGAACCTCGGCACGATGCTTCTCGCAGAATTGTAGCGCTATCATTATCCCGGACTTCGCCTTTTAGCTCCCTCCATTCTGTATTGACGTCGCATTGCATCTGGGAACGCCTCGCCCGCCGGTCGTCGGCAGTCTCGCGCAGTCTCGCGCTGAAGCACAAGCCGCCGCCACCATGCCCGCGCGGGGAAGACGTGTGGCCGCTAACCGTCGGCGCAAAGGCCTGGTGACCTGTGGCTGCTCCAGCTCAGCGGATCCAGTTACTTCGGTTCGGGCAACTGACTGACGATATGCATTTCATAAAGGTCAGAAGCCCTGGATAGCCCTGGATGCGATCATAGGACAGGGTCATGACATAACGGTAAAGTCTGTTGGTAAGTGGCAGCCCGAGAAAGTGGTTCTACAGGCAGCGGCGAGCGCGTCCGCGGCTGCTCGCGGGGCTAGATTTGCGTCGGAACGGATAGAAGCAGGGCGCCGTCAACATTGTCTTCTTCCTAGAAGTTGGGCCTACCGAGACTATGCGCGCATGATGCGCGGACCGAGGCGGCGAACGGCGCGAATGGGGGTGGGTTCTCCAAATAAGCACGGTGTATTGTATAGGTGAGATAGGGGGGAAGCTGCTCGACTGTACGGACCGTCGCCGTCACCGCTTCCCTTCATGCAGGAGCGTCCGTCTGCTGAGCACCGGGATGATCCCCATCATCTTCGCGCGGCGGATGGCCTTTCCAACCCGCCGCTGGTTCTGCCACGTGAGGTTCGTCTCGCTGCGACCCTTGATCTTGCCCATGGAGGTGACGAAGCGGGACATGATCTTCGAGTTCTGCGACTCTTGCAAGGGGTCGATGTTCATTTGGTGGAATATGTCGAGATAGCGCGACTTGGACGCGCCAGGGCCGAGCAGCGCCCGCTTCGTGAACGAGCTCCGTCCGCCCATTTTAGCGTATGTATCCCGCGTGAAGTCCTGCGGCCGGACGAACTATTGGCCAAAAGAACATGAGCGGGAGCGGGGAATACGATAGAGGCAGAAAATATTGCGGCGGGGATCTGTCACGCAGAACACGTTCCGCGTTCTGGCGGCTTGGTCGAGTGACAGAGGTGACCAGAGGCGTGTTGCCCGATCCAATGTCCACGACGCGCATTTGACCATGGCTTTGGTTCGGAACAAGCTTGGAATAAGACCTGAAGAGGTCTTCTAGTTCAAGACTGGAGACACACTTGGCACGCCGACAACATAGGATAAAACACCATATTGATGTTGTTCGTTATCCTAATTCCGGACCTGAACCAGCTTGGTAGCCAAGCTGGGGACAGAGGTCCAGTTCGGAACCCTGTCCAAGCCTATCCAGGACAGAAACATGGCTCAATGCACGTCGTGGACATCACTTGAGTAGCGGGCTCGTGCCTCGCGCCTTAGACCTTGTGCACTCTCCACAGTATGTGGTCGCTGCCACTGTAGGGCTGCTCAATTCTCAGGATTCAGCTCAACTCAACTCAACTCAAGTCGCACAAGGAGCAAGGGCGCTGAACCTTTTGAACACATCCCGCAGCCAGGGCGTTCTCGATAAAGGCGTTACGCACCTGGTTGGTCCGGAAACCGGTCAGTGTGGGGAACCCTTTCGCGCCAATTGGGGATGCTACTCAAGGTTGAGACGTGAGCGGGATAGGATAGCAAAGAACAAACGTACGTCGGGGTTCTGGAACAGCGTCGCCTCCCTCCACAATCTCTCCAGTGGACCCTGCAGCAATGGTCTTTTGCTCTTCCGCAATGTCGTGGATGTAGTCACTGATTTCGCTGTACGGGTTCTCGTCCACGGTGGCAGTCTGCGCGGAGGCAGATGCCATGGCGCGTACGGCGGGCACTTTACATGCTTGGCGGCGCGCGACCGCACGGAAACTCCCCGCAAAAGAAAGCATAGCGGTGGCTCCTGCAGAATTAGGGTAAGGTCAGCGAACAGTGTGCGATCAGAAGTGGCGGAGAGCTGGAGAATCGGGGTGCAGTTGGGCGCATACCTGGCAGCACTACGGAGAGTTGAGGAGCTCGGGCGGGTCCTGTGACTGGGCGTGAGATGGGGAGGGCATGGATTGGGTGGAACGGTGAGACTCACTGGGAGAGCTGCAACAAGGTTCGGAGTAGGCTCGTTAACCAGCAAGCGGGAGACTGGGACTTGGCCTTGGACGGCGCCGGGGTCTCGGTGAGCAGGGCGAAGCGTGCTCGGTGTATGGAACGAAACGTAGTCGGACCCGGGCCCCCCTCCGGATAAGTCGTCCGAAGGCCACACCGTCCTTTGAGCCGCACGCGACAGAAAAAAATGTGCGCGGGTGGGGTGACATGGAATGGGAGACGCGGTGTGGGTGTGTTTGTGCGTGGCAAAATACCTGTGGGCGGGGTGGCGGGGACGAGGCGATTGGGGCCAAATTGGGGTGAGAAAGGAAAAGCGGCTCGGCCTTGGACAGAAGAGCGCGAGGGCTTGGAGGTGTGCTCATTGAGACCCACTCTCAATCCCAAGTCAGCGCCGGAGGACTCGCGTCAAGCCCTCTCTGCGCCCATGACGTCACGCGACAGCCGCCACACGCCGCTCGACGCTGCTCGTGCTCTCTCTTCAAGCGACTCGCTCACTCACTTACTGACTGCTCGCAAGGTCGCTGAAGCTCGTTTGTTGTGAGGCTTGCTCGATCGCCACCTGGCTGTCCGCGCTCTGTGTCGCACTCCGCGAATCGCGCAGTCACAGTCCGAGTCCACTGCACTGGACAATCGCTGCACGTCGCAGGTCGACTGACCACCTAGCTTCTGCTCTCGCCTTCTCGACTAGTATCTCAATTGCACTCGCTAGCCCTGCGCACCGTCCGCTCGCTATGCTCGTCTCTGCTACAGTGCCCTTCGCATACTATCTGCTTGCTGTCCATTGAGTACTCGTCCACGTCGCTTGCCCTCGCTCACTATACCGTCCAGTCCGTTTCCTGTGCCATGCCGCTTCGCCTGTGCCGCCCGCTGCCCCTTCCGTCCTTGATGCCCATTCGAGTTCTGCCTCGCGCCCCGCCAATTCGCATACCAATCATCCGCTGCGCTCGTGGCTCTCCAACGTCACGCATATATCCCGGATATGTCCGCGCATACATCCTTCAAGGCGAGTTTTTCCAAATTTGGCCATCATATGCTCCTCATGCTTTCTGCGCTCTACAGCTATTTTCGAAATATTGGACATTGCTCGGCCGTCCCGCCCTCCAATCGTCTGCCAATACTGCCAGTAGCTCGCGCTGTACTCTCGCGCTACCAGTCGCACGTTCTGCGCGCGAAAAGAACGCCGCGCGGACGTACAATATGCGAACTTCGCGTTCCACCTGGACAATATCGTCCATTCCGCGCCCGCGGTGAGCTCCCCCATCCCGAAATCAATGACACCTGCTGCTTACATCACTCTACAGTCATGCGCACTTGCTCGCGTTCCGCCGTGCGCCGGAATGCACGCGCTATCCGCCCGTTTGAGCCCAAAGTCAGTCAATTTCGCACGTATCTCATGCACATTTCATGCGACGTTGTTGATATCGCGCCTACGTAGTACCCGAACACGCCCAAACCGAACGCTCCGGTTGTCGTTACACCCCGCCGACCTTTTTGAACGCACTCGACTCGCGATTTCATGGACGTCCAATAGGCGCCCGTGCCGAAATCATTGGTTCCGTGCATGCATGACGGCGACCTCGATTATGCTCATGCAAACGCCATTGGTTGGCTGAGACAGTCTCCAGGATACGGTACGAACAAGCTGTGCGCCAATACGACGTCGCGTGAACGGGCTAGACACGAATTCAGTGTCACAGTCCCGGAATAATGGCCACTCCGCACGCACGGTGAGTGCCCTCGCCCCCCAATTGCATCTGTCCATTGCCTACACTACGTCGCAGTCATGCAAACTCGGTTGCGCCGCGCGAATCGACGATGCGCGCCCGGAATCCTCCAAATCCAGCCCAACGTCCGCCAATTCGGTCCATACCTCACGCCAATCTCACACCCCACCGCTCATATCGTGGTCACGCCCTCGCCGAACACTTTCGGACCCATTGCAGTGGTCGTCGACGGCCGCCGCCGACCTCGCAAAATCGGCCCAAACAACGATTTCATTGGCATCGTCCATTGGTATCGAGCCCAAAATACGACCTCCTCGGATCCCCGCCATGCGCTGTCAGGCCAATTTCGCAGCTTCCAGGACGCCGTGCGACGGCTTTACGTGCCGATAGGACGCCGCGCGGGCGCGCTGGACGCGATTCTCTGATCGGGGCCCCGGCCGGCCAGGAATGGCCATCCCGCATCCACTGTGAGTGCCGCCGTTTCGAAACCGTGTCTGTCCGTGGCTCACGACCCCAAGCAGCGATGAGCACGAGCTCCCGCCTCGCTGCGCGCCGGGATGCGCACGCTATCGGCGTCGTCCGGCCCTCGTTCGGCCCATTCTGCACACATCCCGCGCACACCGCGTGCTCCGCCGCGCATATCGCGAGGGAACAGCGCCCGCACCCGCCCGCACCGAACGCACCCTCTGCCGTCCGCCCCCGCCGACGTCTCAAAACGGACTCGAACGCGGATGTCATGGACGCTCGGTAGGCGCGCGCGCGAGATCGCCTCGGGACGTACGCGAATCGACGCGTTGCCCCGTCGTTGCTTGGTGCAGCTGTGCGGGGCGTCGAGGGCTGCCTGGCGGACGCTCTGCGTGGGGGTGCGACGACGTGCGGGCGGGCTGGGCGCGAATCGGGCGGCGGAGCCGGGCTGGACCGCGTGGCGCCAGTCTACGGTGAGCGCCCCCGTCCCAGAACCGTCTGTGTGGGATGCTCAGGACACTTCCCAGCCGCGCGCATATGTCTGCCGTGCGCGGTATCGACCTGTTTCGCCCTATACGGTGCCTATTTCGTCCGTATCTCCCGAGACTCGAGTGCGAGAGAGCTCATATCGCGGACTTGTGGTCTCTGCGCGCGCCCGGAAGAATCTCGCGGGGCGGTGTACGGGACAGACGACTTGCCTGGACGTGCTCAGGTTGCGGTTTCACGCGCATTCGATAGAAGCAGGTGCGTGTCGAGCGAGGGCGGAGCGAAACGAAGGTGGATCTCCCCGTGTGCGTGCGGGACCACATCTGGAGCTCGTGCACCACAGCGCAAGCCCCCGGCGGAGTCGACACAGTCCACTGCGCGCGGGGCTACGGCTGGCTACGGCCGAGTTCATGGACATCCAACAGGCGCCCACGCCGAATCGCCTCGCGACACGTCTAGATTGCGCCCCTCCCTGCGGTCCTCAACGAACGCGCACGGAAACGCTTGGGGGAGTCTCGGGGTACCCGGGGCACCGCTGACGCGCAGACACGACGACGTGCGGGCGGGCTAGACGCGAACCTCGCGTCCGAGCCGGCGCCGCCCATCCACGGTGAGCTTCAGGTTCCCCGTCCCAGGACTGCTTGCTTGCATCGAATGCTACTGACGTGACCCCCCAGTCGCGCGTACGTGTCTGTGTCATGCTGCGTGCCGCGCCGCGCACAGAATCAGCCCCAGTCGGTTCAGCGGCGGCTGACCTCCCTCGTCCGTATCTCCCGCAAATCGCATGCGAGAGCGCTCGTATTGCGGGTGCATGGTCCCTGTGCACGCCCGGGCGGGTCCCGGCGGACGACGTACGTGGAGTACGACCTCTTTCGAACATGCAGCAACGCGTTTTCGTGGGCATTCGTCAGGCGCAGGCGCATTGCGCCGAGTGAGGCCGAACACAGGTGGGTCCTTCTACGTGGATGGTGGGATACGTACGGAGCTCGTGTGTCGCAGCGCCGTCGACGCGGTCTGCCGCACGCGGTGCTTGCGCTGTGTGGGGTGCTGGTGTGCTCACGCGGCGCCAGTGTCCTCGTGCAGCACGCCGCGACGCGCGATGCGCGAAGAACTGAGTTCCGCGCGGTCGTACGTACCGTTTCGGTGCAGGCGACGACGTGCGCCGCCCCTACTAGGTGGCGTCTCACATACTTGCTGCTACGACCTCGCCCTACGCGATCCCACGCACGACATCCCCACACCCCAGCGCAACTGGTCCCGCAACTCCGTCGCGGCTACCAAAACGTACAGGTGAGCGATGTGTGTGCGGAATGAACCGAGCAAGGCACGACTGACCGCGTCTGCATGAACGAGTCGAGCGCGGCGCTGGGTCTGTTGCACGGGAGACGAGACCAGGAGTACACAGACATCGTGCAAGTCACTCACCGCATCTGTCTGCACAATGGCGCGCGTGGTGGTTCGAGCCGCGCACCGATCGCCGAGGAGAGTGACCAAGGACGGCAGGGCGAGCAGGTGAGCGAACGGTTGAGCCGGTAGGTCGAGACGAGTACGTCTGGGGGACAGCTGAGTGATCACTATCAGGCAGAGTGCGGTGCGTGGGGAAGAGATGGTGTTCGTGAACGGTGCACGCTAATCAGTCTGAGAAGCTTCAGGGTTGCGTGAGCATGCGCGACGTCCGTACGCAGGCCACGATCGCGTCCGCGCACGGCGCACGAGCTGCTCGCTTCCCCCGTCTGCGCATGCCCTCACACGCGGTCTCCGCCGTCGGCGCTGTCATCGCGCGTCGTTCGCGTGATCATCTACACGCGACACGCTCTCGAAGGGGAGATGCACCACCGCGCGAACCCCTCGCCGTGCGCTTGCACCCCAAACAATGTCAGAATAATGTACGCCCCCTTGCATCTGTAGCATGCACAGGATGAAGAGACGCATGCACTCTATGCTGCACGGCCGCCGCGCTACGGACAGTACACGAGCATCACCGGCTGCACGGACTTCCTACTGACGGATGGATACAATGTGGACAGCTTCCCGCACGCCATCCGAGCGCGCGCAGCAGGGGAACCGAGCGGCGGGAGGCACATCGCGGTCGTGTACGAATGACACGAGCAGCACGCGCCGAAACAGCATCTCGATGCTGGGTTCACCGCCCCACCACTTGTCTTTACTGTACAAGATATATTTCTTCATGAATCACTACAGAGGGCCGGTAGAATACGAGAATGAGCTCGACTCGGAGCTCGGCGCCAGTCGCGATGTCCGCGGCCGGGCTCGCCTCGACAGCAGAGGTCGACCTGCCGCCCTCCACCGCGCTCGCCACCGTCCATCCGTCGGAGGCTTACGAGGCCGTCCGATTCCAGTACAGGAAGTCCGCGCTGCATAACGGCGACATGAGTGAACTTGAAACGATGAGGCTAGCGCGAATGACGTACTGCCTGCCGCTCGGAGGCGAATGGGACGCGGACGTCTCCGCGAAGCTTTAAATTTGCGCTGCGCGCATGTCAAGCTCGCCCTGAGACGCATACGTGCGTGGGCCGTGAATTGTCGACGCTCGTGCTGTGAACTGCAGCGGCCGCCTGCGGAACGGATAGACGAGCACGAACTCGGGCGGATCTACAGAGTGCTGTGGCCGAAGTCGTGTGGACCTACAAGTGGCGGCGGCCCAATGCCTTCCTGCCTGCCAAGCCGTCACCGTTGCATTGGGACTCGGGCGCTCCGGTCGTAGGTGCAGTTCGCCTCCGCCATCTTGGCCTGACGCGGGGACGCTGTCACCATCAGTGCCAGGGGGACCTCCCCGAGGAACACGGCCCCGAGCGGACCGTCTAGGTTCCCGAGACGGATCGACCTCGGCGCAATCTGCCGTCGAAGGTGCGCGGCAGCGTCGGGGTCCACACTGTCGGGCACGAAGGAAACGCAGGCCATTTTCCTGTTAGGTTGCCGGCGATGCGCCCGTGCGTCAGAGACATCCTACCGGCTGTAGCATGCGCCCCTGGATCTGCTACTTTGAGTTTGCGGCGCATGGAAGGTCTGCGTAGCGAGGCAATCAGCAACACACCGGTGATGAGTCGAATCCACTCACCGCTATGCAACGCGCGGGCATCCCCACCGTTGTGTGCGCCGTCGGGTGCCATGTCAGCAAAGGTCACGACCTTGAACGGCGCGCGAGCTCGCCGATGCATGCACGTCGTACGCAGGGGAGAGCAAGTGCTCTCGCTGCAGGTTTCTGTTCGTTCAGCCAAGGCGCCCCGCCGCGTGAGAGACCGGCAGACGTACCGGGAAGTCTCAAATTCCTTCTGCAGACGGGGCGAGCGATCCTCGGCTCGAGACATCTCCGACAGTCTGGATCCATCAGCCGACGTCGAATATTAGTGGCCACGAGTCCAGACAATAATGGCAGCTACATACCTGTCTGTGCACTGCCGCGAGTGTCGTAGAAAGCTGGGCTAGGAGCATTGCATGTTGAGGTGCAGCTGAGAAACTGCAGCACGAGGGCGGCCGTGTGCGGAGTCTGTCGGGCGAGCAGGAGCAACTGGGCGTGCTCACTGCATGCCTACGTTGAACTGGAGGCATCACTCGACATTGCGAGTGTGAATGCCAGCGCGCGATGTGGCGCTGCTCGCGACCTCGGATGCGAATCGCAGCCCGTGCACTGAGCACGAGGCGCGGCGGGCGTAGGGCCAGGGCCACCCAAGCCGTCCTCGGGCGGGCAGAGCACCGGGGGCGCGTACGCTGTTGCCGGGCGACCAAGATAGTAGTTCGCCCACCCCGAGAGACCCTGCGCGAAGACCTAAGGAAATGGCATTGAAATATCAGCAGCAGGCGGCAGGGCACCTATAAGGCTACTCACCGAGGGCTGGTGTTTGCCCCGGACCGCCCGATGTCTGTCGTCTTTTTGAAACCACTCACCCCCGCCTCCTATGTCGCCCGCGAACCCCATCCTTCCGCCAAGAAAAGCCCGCCGTCGAATCGCACTGCAGTCGAGAACGAGCTTCGTACCACTCTGACCTCCAGCCTCCGTGAGTATCCTGCCATGCCCTAGTCGTACGTGTGCTGACGAGCGCGAACAGAAACGGTTGCGGGAGATTTGGGGGCGGAGCTGCACTACGCTAAAAGCACATATGCCTCGTCAACCGTAATCCAGAACCGGTGCAAGCTAGATGGCTGGCCTACCGATGTCACCTGGGCAAGCTTCAGCCGCATTGAGGGCGGACTCCCCATCTTGAACAAGCTCCTCAAGGACTGCAAAGACGGCGTCATCAGCTTCAAGCCCGCGACACCCGAAGACATTGCGAACGCAGAGCACGACCCGGCGACCGTCCACCCCAACTATCAGCCTCCTCGGACCGGCGATGGGATCCCGCCAGCTCTGGCGCCGTCAGCGAAGGAGGATCCTGTCCTCGTTCCGTCGCTCGTCCTTCGGTCCGACAACATGGAAGAGGTCGGCGTCGAGCTGACATCGACCCAGCCGTCCGCCGTCGCCGCAGCCCTCGGCCGCATCCCGGCGCCTCGTCAGCGCAGCGACGTCAAAAAGCCCCGCCACCGCGACTTTACAGGCCCCTACTGCCGCCCACGCCCACTCCCAAAGGAAGGCGTCAAGAGCGAGCCTTTCATCCTCCCGGAGTCGGCCACTGGCGAACATCACCTGGCGCCGACTCTCTCGGAGCCTAGCGGGCATGGGGGTGAGCGGCCCGTCCGCGACCCGCTGCTGGAGATCCTTCCGGCCGCATCCTGGTACGCACCCACCCCTTTCGGCACTCCTCCCCCGGCGTTCTACGGCGGCGCAGGAGGGAGCTTGGCAGCCGGGATGGCGATGGACGTGTTCGGGACGATTGACACTGAGGGCGGCTTGGGCTGGGAGTTCTTGATGGATTTTTGTTGACAGCGTCAGATTTTGTGTGTAGATAGAATACGTCGTGCATTGACATACCTTGCATCTTGATTCGCGCGATAAACAGCGCAGCCGTCGAGCGAGTAGTGGAGGTAGAGAGGAGAGATCGACCGGCGCTCTCTGCTGTGAACCACGCGAGTTGCCTCTTTCGGCAAACGTCGTCGAGTGCCAGAGCGTCTTTGGGAATCCATCTGTCTTGGCCCTCGACTGCCATCTCCCTGACCGCGCCTCTGGCTCGACTTGCGTTCCACTTGTACTCCGCGGCGCAGCGCCCCCCGAATTGTATGCAAATTCATCTAGTGCAGCGTCGCGACCACCTCCAAACGACACCGTCCACTTGCACATGTGTCAGGATCCAGCCCTCACGGAGCTCGCCCGGTTTGCGCACTCCGAGTCTTCCCATTCCAGCGGTACGTACTGGGGCACTTGCAATACCTATTCCAATTTCCTGGATCCAGAGGCTGCCAGTTTTGGCGGGTCCCTTTCACTCGATAACGTGCTACGGAAGGGTGCGGCGTGCGCACTTTACAATTTACAGAGACTATCTCGACCTGCCCCGAGGCTTCGCTTTTGTATGATAATACAGTTTGTCCGTGAGTTCTGTCGCTGTCCGCGGGGGAGAAGAATTAGCTAATTACGAAACGCACTTGACAGGCAAGTCCGCGCTCGCACATTAGCTGATGGACTGCGAGGACGGAGCGCCCTCTCTCCGTCCATTTCGGCTCCCACCATGAATAGTTATGGGTGTGAACAATTTGCTAGCGTCTGAACCACCACGATCTCCCTGCCTCTTCAGCCGGCGGGATTTTGTCCTCGTACGTTCGCGTCCACGTCCTCCGTCTTTTCCTTCGTCGTACCGCCTGGCTATGGCAAGTGAGTGCGCGCAAATGGCATGTGTAGCCTGCTATGTACTCACCCAAGTCATCACAGACCCATTCGGGACACGCGTGTTGCGTTGTCTATCGCGCAGGACAGCTCAACATTCGACGATTCGATTTTCACAACTCCCATGGATCAAGCAAGCTGACCGCCCCGACCACTCGACGCCGGCTTTCGCCTAGGAGCACACACAATCGGAGACAGACGGCTCAGCCCGGCGGACACAGGCAAGCCTCACCGCGAGGTAGGCATACCTACTTTGTTATATGACGACGCGCCACTAACGACGAGCTGCATCGCATGCGCAGGCGTAGAACGGCGCGCGAACCCCCATCAAATACTCAACGAACATTCAAGAAGCCCTGACTTTGCGTTGTCTCCTCCCGGACGGGCGGCGCCGCGGCGACCTCTCCGTTGACCTCCGGGAACGACCCTTGCACGCATCGAGGCGATCTCGGGCCTACGGGCAGCAGGCGTATTCCCCGCTCCGCGAGCCGACCGCCGTTTGGACGTGGCATCGGCGGCTGAAAGGTATCCGATCAAGGTGAGTACGGTCTGCGGGATTACCATACGCACGGAAAGTGCGGCTGCCGCTCTCTAGGCCTACGGGTCTCGATCCTGAATTTGCCAGCCACGGAGCAGAGTTGTACCCAGCGCGGCGGCGAGACAGTGGCTGCACAAGTCTCGAGCAGATGCGATGCCGCAGCCTCTGATATGGCGGGCTTTGTACGCCTCGCTGGCGGCGGAGCGGCAGGCATCATGAGCATGGCCGCTCGTATGCATAACCCGACTCGCGTCCTGCGGCGTCTCCGCGGCGGGCGCAGAGTGCAGGCGTGCGAAGCGAAGCGACGAAGTCGAGTAGCTTTCCCCTGCGCGGGCGAGTGCCTAGTTCGATCGACTACCTACTTGGAGCAAATAAATATGTTTCACCACCGTCCGATGCCCCGTGATAGTACCTCCACGAACCACCCGCGAAGCACCCCCACGAAATGGCCGCCCTGCGAAACGACGCCCTGTGAACCTACCTCCTTATGAAACTACCTCCCTACGAAACTACCTCCCTGCGAACCTACCTCCCTACGAAACCACCCAAGGCATGCTTTATTTCTGCCTACGTCCTCAGATCCTCCGCCAAGATCAGGCACTCCCGTGCTTGAATGAAGTCCGTTCCGCGGCCGAACAGGCCCGGGACTCGCAGCAGGTCCGTCTTCAGTTCCGTCGACCTTGACTGCTCATCACTCACTTTCGTACCAGCCCCGCTCACTCGTTCAGGTCGGCGTCTCCCAAGAGGAGCTCCAGCAAATCCCGGCCCAACTTCGTGCACTCGCTGCGACCGCGACCCCGGCAATGCCACCTCCCGCCTCCGCCCCTCGCCTGCTCCGAATCCCCCTCTCGTCGAGTCCGTCGACCATGAGTTCCAGCAAAGGATGGTGGACATGCTGAAGCAGACGGGGAGGTGCGTTACCCTGTTCCCTGCGTCCATTTCACCCGAGACTGAATAGAGACCCAGGTCAGAAATGGTGGTCGGGTGGTACCACTCTCACCCGGGCTTCGGGTGCTGGCTCTCCAGCGTCGATATCAACACGCAGCAGGTATAGTGCACCTTCCGCTCCGACGGGAATGCAGAAATAACGTATTGCGCAGTCGTTCGAGCAACTCGACCGCCGCGCCGTTGCCGTCGTCGTGGATCCCATCCAGTCCGTGAAGGGCAAGGTGGTGATTGACGCGTTCCGGCTCATCAACCCCGCCATGGTGCTACAGGGACTCGAGCCCCGCCAGACGACGTCGAATATCGGGCACATCAACAAGCCCTCCATTCAGGCCCTCATCCACGGCCTCAACCGCCACTACTACTCGATAGCGGTCAACTACCGGAAGACGGAGCTCGAGCAGGCGATGCTCATGAACCTGCACAAGCGCAACTGGACAGAGGGTCTCACGCTGCGCGACTTCAAGGGCCACAAAGAGGGAAACGAGAAGGCGATCAAGGTACGTGCTCGCACGCTAAGGCTGGCCGTGTGACGTGCTTGGCTGACCGTCTGCCCGTTCGCCTGTACCTGTACCTCCCCGGTGCGAACAGTCCATGCTGTCGCTGTCGTCCGCGTACAACAAGTCGGTTCAAGAGGAATCCACCCTGTCCGCGGACCAACTGAAGACGCGGCACGTCGGAAAGCAGGACCCAAAACGCCATCTCGAGGAGCAGGTCGAGAAGGCCATAGGGGATCAGGTGGTGCAGAACCTCGGCACGATGCTTCTCGCAGAATTGTAGCGCTATCATTATCCCGGACTTCGCCTTTTAGCTCCCTCCATTCTGTATTGACGTCGCATTGCATCTGGGAACGCCTCGCCCGCCGGTCGTCGGCAGTCTCGCGCAGTCTCGCGCTGAAGCACAAGCCGCCGCCACCATGCCCGCGCGGGGAAGACGTGTGGCCGCTAACGGTCGGCGCAAAGGCCTGCTGACCTAGGGCTGCTCCGGCTCAGCGGATCCAGTTACTTCGGTTCAGGCAACTGACTGACGCTATGCATTTCATAGAGGTCAGAAGCCCTGGATAGCCCTGGATGCGATCATAGGACGGGGTCATGACATAACGGTAAAGTCTGTTGGTAAGTGACAGCCCGAGAAAACGGTCCAGCAGGCAGCGCGCCCGCGGCTGCTCGCGGGGCTAGATTTGCGTCGGAACGGATAGAAGCAGGTCGGAAGCAGGGCGCCGTGCGCATTGTCTTCTTCCTAGAAGTTGGGCCCACCGAGACTATGCGCGCATCAGGAGCCGACCGAGTTGCGCACTGGCGGAGAACGGCGCGAACGCGAACGGGGGTGTTCTCCAAGTAAGCACGGTGTAATGTATAGGTGAGATAGGGGGGAAGCTGCTCTACTGTACGGACCGTCGCCGTCACCGCTTCCCTTCGTGCAAGAGCGTCCGTCTGCTGAGCACCGGGATGATCCCCATCATCTTCGCGCGGCGGATGGCCTTTCCAACCCGCCGCTGGTTCTGCCACGTGAGGTTCGTCTCGCTGCGACCCTTGATCTTGCCCATGGAGGTGACGAAACGGGACATGATCTTCGAGTTCTGCGACTCTTGCAAGGGGTCGATGTTCATTTGGTGGAATATGTCGAGATAGCGCGACTTCGACGCGCCAGGGCCGAGCAGCGCCCGCTTCGTGAACGAGCTCCGTCCGCCCATTTTAGCGTAGGTGTCCCGCGTGAAGTCCTGCGGCCGGACGAACTGTGGGCGAGAAGAACATGAGCGGGAGCGGGGAGTATAATAAGGCGTTGCGCACCTGGTTGGTCCGGAAACCAGTGAGTGTCGGGAAGCCTTTCGCGCCAATTGGGGATACTAGGCAAGGTTTAGGCGTGAGCGGGATAGAGCAGCACGGAGTGGACGTACGTCGGGGTTCTGGAACAGCGTCGCCTCCCTCCACAACCTCTCCAGTGGACCCTGCGGCAATGGTCTTTTGCTCTTCCGCAATGTCGTGAATGTAGTCACTGATTTCGCTGTACGGGTTCTTGTCCACGGTGCTTGTCTGTGCGGAGGTGGAGGCCATAGCGCGTACGGCGGGCAGTTTACACGCTTGGTGGCGTGCGACCGCGCCGAAACCGCTCACGAGAGACAACATAGCGGGAGAGCTGCGCAGGTGACAAGGTTCGGAGCAGGACGAGCGGGAGACTGGGAGTGGGACTTGGCCTTGAACGGCGCCGGGGTCCCGGGTGACCAGGGCGAAGCGTTCTCGGCGTCTGGAACGAAACGTGGTCGGACCCGGGCCACCCCTCCGGATAAGTCGTCCGAAGGCCACACCGTCCTTTGTGCTGCACGCGACAGAAAAAAATGTGCGCAGGTGGGGTGACACGGAATGAGAGACGCGGTCTGGGTGTGTTTATGCGTGGCAAATACCTGTGGACGGGGTGGCGGGGAGGAGGCAATTGGGGCCAAATTGGGGTGAGAAAGGAAAAGCGCGCCTCGGCCTTGGACAGAAGAGCGCGAGGGCTTGGAGGTGTGCTCATTGAGACCAACTCTCAATCTCTCCTCCTCGTCTCCAAGTCACCGCCGCCCATCTTCCTATCGCTCCCTCATGTCAAGCCGCAACTGAACCACTCCCTCTCTCTCTCTCTCCTCTCTCGTCCTCCTCTTCCCCATCGCCACGACTTCTTCTGCCCGCCACGACCGCCCTACCTTCTTGCCAACAGACGGCACCTCTATGTCCGACGCGAGCTTGCCTCGAAGACAGCCGCCTAGCCCTCTCGTGTTCTCGCCCGAAACCGTTTTGAACCCCATCCAACCTCAAGCCAGCACCAGCAGCACCTCGAACCAACATGGCTCCAGCTCAAATACGGTATCAATGCCCTTCGTCAGGCGACATGTTACACGTCGTCTCAAGGCTGCCAAGGCCGAGTGCGACAAGGAGTTGCAGCGTGTCACAAACTCCATAACAGCCTTCTTCGAGGAGCGTCTGCGGGAAGGCGAGCACGAACAGGAGGCCGAGCGGGAGCAGCGCGAGTACGACCGCGAGCGAGATCGCGAGTCGCAGTTTGGCGATGTCGAGCCTCTCCGCGAGGCGTTCGTCCTTCAACCGCAGGAGCTCAGGTCTGCGCTGCAGTTTGACGAAATGAGCTCGGATGGCGGGTACGAGGCGGAGCCTGAGGGTAGTAACTATCACAGTCGTCAACGTGCGTCTCTCGACGAGGACCGTCCTAAGCAGCCGACGCTGACGCACCGGATCTCGTCTCCTGGCCTTCTAACAGCATCTGTCTCGTCCACGAGTCCTGCTTCATTGCGACGACACCCCACGCTACCGAAGGAACGCCCGAGCAGCATCATCGCCCCGAACACGGGAGGCTCAAGTCCCGCGTCGGCAGTCACGACACCACCTCCTGAGGCGGTCAGTCCCCGCAAGCAGGGCGAATCATCTCGGTCCGGTCAATGGGCGGGTCAAAGCCTAGCGTCGCGCCGCCTCTCTCGAACCATCCACATTCCATCTCGCCCCCCTCGTTCCGGTCACAGCTCTCGTTCGACATCTCGTTCACGGTCACCCCTCCCTCGCTCTACCTATGCCGAGTCCACCGCAAACTCCAACCGCCGATCATCACGCATATTGGTCGATGACCCGGTCGACCCGATCATGACGACTCTATATGAGATCGTCGCAGTTGCGACCGACGTGCTCGACATGTCTATCAACCAGCTCACGGCAAATCCGAAGGTGTGCGAGACCCTCGTCCAGCGCATACAGAACATCGGTCGAGCCTGGGACGAGCACCCCGATTGGCACGGGCGAAATTGGTATGTCCAGGTTCTCCTCGCGATCGCCAGCCTGAGCCGGGTCGTCGAGTGGTGGGAGGCCGAGAAGCAGTTCTGGAATTTCGACGACAACGACGATGAGCAGGAGGAGCCGCTCACGTTTGTCATGAAACCCGCCGAGGAGGAGATGCCCGCAACCGCTCCCACACACGCGGCACGCCCCGATCAGGATAATGCGCTGAAGCTGTCTGCGGAGGATGAGAACAAGCTTCGGATGTCGCGCACGACTAGCCAGAACCGGAGATCAAGGGATGAGGCTACGAAGGACATCTCGTCATCAACCGCGCCCAAGGACGCCGCCGAGCACCCGAAGAGCACGCCCTCTAAGTTCGATGGCAACAACGAGTCCGCGCGCGTGCTCGCGACGGAGCGTCTGCGTCTGCAGGCGGAGACTGCGCAGAACCAGAACATCGTCATGGAGCTAAGTCTCGATGGGGATCATTTCATTTGGGTGAATTACGCCTGGCGCGGGGTCGTTGGGTACGTCTTTTCTTCGCTCCTCTGATAGCCTTATATTAACTCGCGTCGCTTCCAGAAACGACCCCCAAGAGTACTTCGGTACGCGAGTGTCGAAGCTCCTTGCCCCATCCGACTGGCACGTCTTCCGTGATGCCACCCGCCGTCTGCAGGAGAACGACTCTCGGACCATCGAGGTCAAGTTCAAGTTGTTGATACCCAACCCCGATGATCCCTCTCAGCCCAGCGGCCTCTATCAGCAGATGGAGGGCAGTGGCATGCTCATGATTGATCGCGAGGAAGGCCAGGCCACCCACTCTATGTGGGTTGTCAGACCTGTGGGTTCCCCAGAGTACATGCAAGCTCCTCCCTCCATCTTGCTCGAGACCGGTGAGGTAGGTGACGAACCTGGTTCAGCCGAGCCAGCGCAGGTTGGTTTTGGCGACCGTGGCGCTATGGAACCCGTCACACCCTTCCCCTTCGCGCGCCCGATCAACATGACACCCATCCTCTGTCGCATTTGCGAGTGTAGCGTTCCTCAGTGGTACTTCGAGAAGCACAACGAGACGTGTAGCGAGGTACACCGTCTCGAGGCCGAGATCGCGGAGTGCAACGAGTCCATTGGGGAGCTTCGCAGCACCATCCGCGACCTCCAGGTCGCGATGGACCGTAGCTCGCCCATGACCGTTCCCGAGTACCGCGGGATGCCCATTTACACCCCGTCGACGTCGCCGGGCTCCTCGTCGCCATTGCAGCTCCTGCGTGCGCCGCTGAAGATGAAGCGCTTCAGCGTCAAGAAGCTGCAGCGCCAGATCCTCGAGCAGCTCGAGGACATCCTGTCACTCGCTGCCGAGGTGTCCATCCCCGCGCTGAAGGAAGAGGAGTCCACGGAGCCAATCGAGCGCCAGCGTCTCCTGTCACCCGCGTCCGAACGCAAGATGTCCCAGATCCGCCACTGGAACAAGCCGAACATCGAAGACAACGCACTCTCGCAGCTGGTCGAGGACGCGGAGCGCGTCATGCGCCAGAAGATCGACAATGTTGTACGCATGCAGAACACGATCAAGTACTCTGAGAAGATCAGGCAGGAGTGGGAGGAGCGCGTCGAGCAGACCCTCTCTGCGTACGACGGCGAGGAGGGTGACTCGGATGACTCGGGTGAGAGCGAAGGCGAGGAGGGCCAGGAGGGTCAGAACGACCAGCATCAGGACGACGACCATTCGAGTACCACTTCGGAGTACGCGTTCAGCGGTCAGCAATCTTCGGCGGATCCAACGCCTGTGGCGTCTGCATCACCCATTCCCTTCAACTCGGGTCGCGACACCAGTCGTGACAGCGCATCGGTGGCCGCGATGAGCCCCTCGAGTCTTCCGTCAGTATCGGCGGTACCTGTTCCGATGTACTGGCAGCCAGTCAGCACCCACCAGACGCGTTCGTCGACACCTTCCTCCATCTCCTCGCCTTTGGCGCTCGCGGCACCTATCATCGCGTCACACGAGCAGCCGCCTCCAATGGACTTGAACGAGCCCAGCTCTGGCATGACCATTCGAGCTCGACGTTCACCTCAGAACCTGGAGCCGAAGCTTCTCATTACTCCTCCCTTGTCCCCCATGGTCTCTCCGCAGGACGTGAATGCGACAGCCACGCGTCGCGCGAACCGCCGGCATTCAACTGCCCAGCCGCTCATCAGCCCTACGGCCTCGCAGTCTGGTACACCCCTATCGCCGCGCTTGCCTTCCGTCGCGCCGTTGTCGCGGACAACCCCGACGTCGATCAAGGACTTCGAGATCATCAAGCCTATCTCGAAGGGCGCGTTCGGGTCCGTCTTCTTGGCCAAGAAGAAGGCGACTGGCGACTACTTTGCGATCAAGGTCCTGAAGAAGGCGGACATGATCGCGAAGAACCAGATCACGAACGTCAAGGCGGAGCGGATGATCCTCATGAAGCAGGCGGAGTCCCCGTTCGTGGCGAAGCTGTACTTCACGTTCCAGAGCAAGGAGAATTTGTACCTCGTCATGGAGTACCTGAACGGTGGCGACTGCGCGGCCCTCATCAAGTCGTTGGGTTCCCTTCCCGAGGAGTGGACGCGGAACTACATCGCTGAGGTCACTCTGGGCTTGGAGTATTTGCATCAGCGCGGGATCGTGCATCGGTACGTTCTGTCTTTTATCCAGGCACTGAATATGGCTGATATGTTTCTTGCAGTGACTTGAAGCCTGACAACCTGCTCATCGACCAGCATGGTCATCTTAAGCTCACTGACTTCGGTCTCAGCCGAATTGGTCTTCTGGGTCGTCAAACTCGTGCTCCCCAACTGCTCTCTGATCGCGGTGTGCGTAGTCATGCTCGCGGTAGCCCCACTTCTAGGCCGCCATCCATCGATTCTGCGTATATGGCTTCGTCGCCCATGTTCTCTGTCGAACTTCAACAGGGAGGAGGTTCGTACTTCAACCACAGGACACCATCGCTCCCTCGCCTCGGTTCTTCCCCTTATCTCCCGCTTTCAGATGACCCTAGCGAATCGAGTGGCTCTGAGTCTCTGGCTTCGGGTTTCTTGTCATTCCGTAGGAATGGCAACACCAAGCAGCTCTCGGATAGTCCTCTGCAATCCTTCGCAACCGAACTCACGAACGATCTCCGTTCGCATCCTCCCCCTGGCCACACGCCGCTCACGGAGCAGAAGGTAGTGGGCACCCCGGACTACCTCGCGCCTGAGACTATTCTCGGTCTGCGCGGTGACGACGCAGCCGTCGATTGGGTCAGCGATTTCTATGTTATTTCGCATCGATGATGTGCCGCTGACTGTCTGTTTTAGTGGGCGCTCGGCGTCATCACATACGAGTTCTTGTACGGTATCCCGCCCTTCCACGACGAGACCCCCGAGAAGGTATTCGAGAACATTCTGTCCGGGCACATCGAGTGGCACGAGGACTACGTCGAGGTCTCGCCGGAGGCGAAGGACTTCATGCAGCGGCTGATGACCCTCGATCCGACGAAGCGTCTGGGCGCGAACGGTGCGGACGAGGTCAGGGCGCACCCGTTCTTCGCCGGCATTGACTGGGACCAGGTCACCGTAACCGAGGCCGCGTTCATCCCGCAGGTCACTGACCCCGAGTCGACAGACTACTTTGACCCGCGCGGCGCCGTGCTGCAGCTGTTTAGCGACAGCGAACAGGCCCCACTCACACAGCATTTCGGTTCGGACAGCCCCGCACAGGGCAGCCCAGACGTGCCCGCGAGTGTGCCCCTTGCGGTCTCGCGGGAGGCCACTGCGTCGCCGTCGGACGACGACTTCGGGTCGTTCAGCTTCAAGAATCTGCCGGTGCTCAAGCAGGCGAATGAGGACATGATCCGGAAGATGAAGACGGATCAGCTCACGCCGCTCACCCATGCGCTCTCGGAGCCGTCGAACATGCACTCGAGACGACGGAGTATCTCGAACAGGGTGAAGAAGCCGCCGGGGAGCATCGTCACCCCTGTCGATACTACGAAACCTCCTTTCCCCATTCCCACCAACCCGCCTTCTCCAGCTACTTCCACTTCGTCGATATCCTCTTCGGTCTCGCGCGGCCCTCCAACGCCCGGCAGCGCAGGCAGCCATGCACGGAAACCCTCAGAGTACGGCGCTGTCGAGCGTTTCAAGCTCAATCACATGGAGGGCGAGGGGCGTCGCAACTCTATGCCTAGTCGCCTCCGGACAGCTTCAGTCTCCACCACAGGGGACGGGTCGCTATCGGACTCGTGGACGGGTGCAGTGCCTCAAGCGCCAGGCCAGTTCGAGCTCAATACGCCACCGTCGTCCGTGGCCTCGATCGACCTGAAGAGGGCGCCCGACCCCAACGACCGCGCAGTCACTTGTCTCCTGGCAGAGGACAACCCCATCACGGCGAAGATCATCGAGACACTGCTCATCCGTCTTGGCTGTCGATGTGTGGTCGTTGCTGACGGCTCAGAGGCCATCAGTGTAGCCATGGGCGACATAAGTGCGCATTTATTGTCTACGCTACTCGTCACCGCTGTTTCACTAACCGGGCTTCAAACAGAGTTCGACTGTATCCTCATGGATCTGCACATGCCAATTCGTGAGTAAACTCCGTGCTTCCATCGGAGTAACGTGTTGATAGACATATCGGCTAGTTGATGGCGAAGGCGCCGCACGGTATATCAAAACCACCAACAACAAGAACACGAACACGCCTATACTTGCTGTTAGTGCATACAGCGGCTCCGACGCGATGGGGGCGGACGGTCTCTTCGCCTCATACATCGCGAAGCCCGTGCAAAAGGCCGACCTGGTCGCCGCGATGCGTCAACTGGGGTTCAAGACGACCACCGCACAAGGGCGCGGGCAGGGTACACGGGTGATCCAGACTTCCATTCGGTGACACTCGGTATATATGTTTCACGGTTTTCACGATTCTCAATCTCCTCATTCATCGCTGTCGGCATCATTGGATCCCATCTGCTTCGTTCTGTCCACAACTCTGCTCACGCCCGCGTCATGCCCGTTTCGATATTCACATCCCTCATATCTCGTACCTCTCATTACATCCAATCCATGCAATTTCTCGGTATCTCCACACACATCGCATTCTGCACCCCTCCTATCAACCGCTCCGCAATCACTGTCCCCTGCGCATTGTACGCTAGAGCTACTGTGTTACTAAATATTGGCCGCCGGGGCGTCATCGTCCTGAGCGATCCTTGCCTGACAGACATCGGCTAGCTTCGCGTGCCCGTATGCGACCGCGTTGTGTGCTCGTGGGTGAACGCGCCCATTGCCATGCCTTCTGGAATATATGATGGGCAGTAGGCCGGCCCCGTGAAGCTGTGCGGTGTGGTCCAGGCGACATGGTGATATGATGCACAGGGGGGGCACCGCGGGGTGGAGAAGCTGGACGGACCTGAGCGCTTCGCCCGCCGTGTGGCTCGAAGCGGGCGCGGGGATTAGTGCAGCTCTCACCTTCACCCGTTACTACATGCTCCCACCGCCCTGTCCCACTGCCCTGAGCACCCTCTCACGACAAAACTGGACAGACAGCATCTAGTTTCCGCGTCTTCTGCTCTTCTCGCTGCTCCCAGTGTCGCCCATGTCTTCCCCGGAACAGTGGAGAGGTTCTGCTGCGCCTGCCGGCCCATATCCACCCTTTCCTCGCGTCCCGCCGCCGCCGCCCATGCGCGATCACCCCTACGCTACTGCCAGCGCACAGTCCTACTATGCAGCTGCTCCGATCCCAGGTTTCTACAGCCCCGCACTGGCGCAGCCAGCCCCGGGGATCCCGCAAGGACGCGCTGCACCCGCGTTTCCCCAGCCCCAGCTGCCTCCCAGTCTTATGCCCGGACGAAGACAGACCCCTGCGGTGACGCGCTCGCAGTCGGATGACTACTTCTTCCAAGGCGAGAGTCCCGCCTTTCCTAGCTATGTGCGCCAATCGCGGACGTCCTTTGGCTCACCCCCCGTACCCCGCAAGCCAAACGGCGCAAGCCATCCCCCGCTCCCTCCCAAACCCGCGTTCTCGCAGCCTGCTATCACTCCTTCGAGCTCCCCACCACATCCCTATGCCGTATCCCCTCGGGCCTCCTCGTACCACGCGCCGGAGAACCACTACCAGCCCTCTGCCCCTCCACTGCCCCCACCCATTCCACACGAGGATGACGCCGTGTTCCACCGCGTGCTCGAAATGTCTGCGCAGGAATCGGAGCGGCAGCGCGAAGAAGCCTTCCGCTCCGAACAGGATCAGCTCGCTCAGGCTCTAGAGGCTTCCCTGCGTATCAGCTCTGCTCGCTCTGCCCCAGAACCTGATCGTCGATCTTCGTTCATCACGTCCTCCCCGGAGCAAGGGTCATCTGCGCTACCGAATATGCACTCGCCCGTTATAGATATCAGCCACTCCTTCGACGAGCGGCCGAGACGGGGCAGCGCGCACTCGTACGTCGTGCAGCAGATCATGGACGACGAGGCCCTGGCATTGCAGCTCGCGGAGGAGGAAGAGCGGCTCGCCGAGCAAGAACGGCAAACGGAGCAACGGGTGCACGTACGACGCGAGTCTGGCGCGCATGCGCGCAAGCTCTCCCTCATGAACGGCGCGGACCCCCTCCCCCAGTACGACGAGGCCGTTGCGCCTCCACTGGTCTCGTCTCCGGGCTTCTACGACACCGGGAACCTTTCTCCGCAGCACTCCGCGGGACCTTCGCGCCCGCCAAGTCCGCGGCGTTCCTCGCTTGGTAGGAGTATTTCTGACAAACCGGTCCCACCCAAGAGCCCGGACGAGAAGCGGGTGAGCGTGAGCCGTTCGCAATCGGTGGGAGACGGCGCGCCGAGCTCGTCTACGACGCTGCTCGTCCCCACGCCGCAGTCGTCGAAGCCCGCGTCTCTGCACTCTGGGGAGTGGGAGCCCCCAGAAGAGACGGCGCTCACGCCATCGAGCATTTCTTCGCACACGTCGGACGCGCCTTCTCACACGCAGTACCTCGACGCCGAGCTGCTGTCGGGCTTGTGTAAGTTCGGTCTACGTACCCGATGACAGTGTCACACGCTAAGACTGGCCGCCTTGCAGCGATGGGCTTTGGCACGCCGACGATCACGCCGTCGGTCAAGCCGTTTCCGGGCGTCATCCCGAACGTCATCGCGCTGCCGTATGGGCGGTGCCCACCGTTCCATATCAAGGCGCCGAGTTGGCGGACGCTGCTCAAGCTCATGGCGCGGCTGAGCGGGACGCGGATGGAGCCCACTATGGAGGCGATGGCAGTCGTCAAGACGGAGATGCGGCTACGAATAGTGGTCTCGTTCGTCAAGGTACGCACCCGGTCCGGTGCATGCAGTATAAGCAGCAGGACTCAGCACCCGTATCTATAGGTCCACCACGCGTCTGCAGACTGGGACACAGTCCTGTACATGACGATCGACCACCCCATCCCGCCAAACGCGCCTACGGGCTGGCGCTACCGCAACGGCGACACGAACACGCTCCCGTGGTCGTACTCGCTCTCGCAAATTCCGCCATTCCTACGTGATGGCGCGGACGCGGCGCTATCCAAATTCTACACCGTCCCGTGCACAAACGAGACCCCATATCCGACGCTCCCGATCAGCTTCCCGAACCTTGCGACGTACCTCGCAGGTGCGCTGGAAACCGCGCGCGATGCGATGCACGACAGTTCGAGTGGGGTCAGGCGACTCGCGAAGTACGTCGACACGTTCTATCCGAGCGACCGGGCGGGCCTGGACGACGCACCGGAGAGGTCGGGCATGCGTCAGCGGCTGAAGAACTTCGTCGGGATTGGGAGCAAGCCGCAGAGGGATAGGAACGCGGAGATGTACGAGCTCGTCACGCCGTTTGTGCCGGACGACTACGGCCGGTGAACGCGAGCGTATCCACCCCATGGACTGTTACTTGTCTGATACTTACTTGCTTTTCTGATGTCGGCTGCTACTGGAATTAGGAGCGGACATTTCGATGTAGCCTTCGTGGAGAAGGAATTATAGCATACCCGAGCCGTTGTATCGTTAATCTGTACGCCTGTTTACCCCGCTCCGCCCTGCTCTTTGCGCTCCTCCAGGTTGCGTTGCTGTATTTATCGTCTAGATCACACTTTATACCGCGATTACAGTACTGTACCTCCTTCGCGCGCCCAGCACATGGAACTGAGACTCGCTCTCTTCTTAGCCCTCTCTTCCGTTGCATGTTGAACTTGGCTGAACTGCATTAGGACGTGGAGCCCGATAGGTACGGTTGTGAGCTCGGGTACGTCGGAGCACTCAGTACATGGTGCAAGAATGAATTCTCAACGATCCTGCTGATATCAACGGCTCCTAGTCTGGTTGGAGTGATCATAGCAACCCCTAGTACTAGTGGCCCTGATCATAAGAATTTTATGGGGCCGTCAGCAGAGATATTCTGATCAATGGAGAGACAAGGCACGGCCAACTTGCTAGAACTTCGACGTCGAGGAGGGCAACCACAGCACTTTCCCGATACAGTCGGACGCGGAGTGTCGTGGGCGCCTACAGCAGCGCCACAGCGCTCGCGGTCCGGCTCCGAATATTCGCTTTCCTTTCTTTCAGTCTCCATCCTGCCGACTCAGCCACCGTTTCCCATCCTATGTTTGCAGATCTGAACGTCCCGGTGCCCACGCTCACGAAGCAGCAGCTCACACAAGCGGCATCGAAAAAAGGCAAGGGCAAGCAGGAGCAGACTGGTCCACCGCCTGCATTCAGCCCCGCCCAGATCACGGCCATAGAGAGTCGACTGGACCTCCTCGTACATTGTCAGTATATGCTCTTTCTGGTGGTGAAACAAGCACTGATCGTGACCCTGTTAGTAGGATACACTATCGTAGCCTTCAACCAGACCGTCGAACGCAAGGTCGACCCCAAAACTCATGTTAACACGCTCGACCCGCTATTAGCGCAATTGCGCAAGAGGCAAGGGGTGGTATACCTGAAGAGGTTGACTATTGTGCTTGATGAAGACAGCGAGAAGGGGTTCGGCTTGGTGTGTTCCGCGACGTATCTAACGCGAAAGCCCAGTCGTCTAACCTCCCCGTAGACGAACGGCAATGCCGCCCTCTTCGCGCCATACGACCTCCTTGCCCTCGTCCCCACCACCGCGGCCTCCTTCTCGCTTGCCTGCCTCACGCACACCCAACCAACTCCGCTTACCACGCACATTATCGCCCTTCCGCTTACCCTACCCCGCTTGCCGTTCAACCTCAAGCACACCCTCATCCGCGCAGCGCTCAAGAACGGCGCCGTGTTCGAGCTCGGGTACGTCGGCGCGCTAGGAGGCGAGGGGGACCCCGCGCTAAACCTCCCGAGTGGAGGTGAGAGCGGTGCAGGGGCGAAGCGGAATTGGTGGGCGGCTGCACGCGAAGTCGCGAGGGTCACGAAGGGGAAGGGGATTCTCGTGAGCGGGGGCGTGTGGAATGAGGCGGACTTGCGCGCGCCGCGCGACGTCGCAAACCTGTACGTGCCATCATTTCTTTTGACCGACAGGCCTAATTCTCACCCGTGTCCAGAATAACGGTCCTGGGCGTTTCGCAGGATGTGGCGCACGACGCGTCGACAAAAGTCGCACAGTCACTCATTTTGCGTGCTCGTAAGTACCTCAATCGTTCACTGCGAAGCAGCAGCATCTCACGCCGGTTTCTTTCCAGAAACACGCAGAACGTACCGTGCGGTGCTCTCGGAACCCAAAGTAGTCATACCCTCAGTTGCAGTGCCGGGTGACGCGGACGTCGAAATGAAAGAAGGCGAGACGCAACAACCAGCACCCGCCGACCAGGGGGCAAATGGCAAAAAGCGGCCTCTAGAGCAGGGAGGGCCGAACGACACGACGCTGTCAGAGCTATCCGCTCCTGCGACTCAGGATGGGACAACCCCCGATGGCGCGTCACGAACGAAGAAGAAAAAGAAGAAGACGGCCGCGAGTTGATAGTATAGCGTGTCCCTGTATCTTCGCTAATTCCTCAGGTGTACCGTCCCCAGTGTCTTGATCGTGTGTGCCCGACTTTAGAATACTGTATAACAAGGGCGTCCACCCGTATATTGCGACAACATCCGTCGGTAAATAAGTAGCTAGCCCCATTATTAACGCAGACCCGATTATCCACAATGGTCGACGACCACGGGAGTGAATGTAAAGAGAAGACCGGAAAGAAACAACCAAGAACCCGTATAGATTAGCATTCCATTGTTGGCGCCTTCATCATCAACCGCTTCACATGTTGCGCTTATGAGGGAGGGCTATATGGTCGACATGGTCAGCGATGATGGTCAGAGAAGCAGTGACGAAGTAGACATTTACACAGGGGCGACAGAGGTGGCGGGGCCGGCGTCGACGGGGAGCACGGGGAAGGGCACCTGGCGGCACGACTGCTCGATGTCACGGCGGCTCAGGCCCGCGGGGATGTGCGCACGGGTGTTCGCGGGCTGGAAGAAAATCTATGAGCATCGCGATTCTATTGCACATGGAGGGGTGGAGGGAACTCACCGGCGGGATGGGGATGACCTCAGAGCAGTCGACGAGGTCGCGGCGGTTGTGGCCAAGGATGGCGAGCTTCGACATCGCGGCGCGGAACGCGGACTGCAGCTTCGCCTGGTTGCCGACGAACGACTGCCACTCGCACGCCGTGCGCGGGTCGCGCGCGACGTCGTTGTCAGACTGCAGCCGGATCTCGCCCTCCAGCGCGCTCTTCGACTCGCCCTGGTTGCCCGCCGTGCCGGGGAAGAGCGTGCCGCGGAGCAGCACCTCGACGAACACCTGCGAGTCGAACGAGGACGCGGTCGAGTCGAACGGAGTGCCCGGGATCGTCGGGTCGACGTGGTCGGCGGCAGCGACCGAGTGGCTGGCGAGGGGGCAAGCTGGGTCAGCGGGGTTCTATCGCTATCGGAAGGGGGTGGACGTACGAGGCGAGGAGGGCGACGACCTCATCGGGCGAGAAGCCGGCGTCGGCGAAGCGCGCGAGGATCTTCGTGACAGAGTCGAAGGGCTCGGGGACGAGCAGGTCGGGCGAGGGCGCAACCGCAGGCGGGCGACCGTGGAGGTACTCCAGGCGGGGTGCACCGGCGCAGTTCGAGAAGCCGACAGCCCCAGCGAGCTGAATGCTACACACAGACAGGGCGCAATTCAGCACTGCACCGACTCTAGGGAAGGAAGGGCGAGGAATGGGCACTTACAAGTCCCCGGCAGTCATGTTGTGCTTCGTGACGAACGGCTTCTGCACGTCCACAATGTCGTCGATGCCGCCGTTCGCGTGGAACGCGGTCTCGATGGTGTCGAACGTGATGATCGAGCCGTCCGCGCCGCCGCCGCCGAACTTGTGCTGGCGCGCGAGCGCGGGCGAGAAGCCGATCGCGTCGTGGAACGTGAGCCGCAGGGACTCGTGCGTCTCCTCGCCGCACTCGCCGCCGTCGAAGAGCGACTCCTGCAGGTCCTCGACGACTGCATAGAGCGGGCAGCACACTGCGTTGGTCGCGGTGTGCACACCGTCGGGGCAGGCGATCCTGTGGGTCGTGGCCGCTGTGGAGAACAGGCGGTTAGATGGGGTGTTGTGCAGTACTAGCGGCGGATGCACGTACCGGTGGCGACCTGGATGGCTCCGACCACGGAGAGGATGGAGATGAGGGCCTTGAAGGACATGGTAGACGACCTGAGATGCTACTGGAGGAGGCTTGGAGCTTCGAGGAGTAGTGCTGTTTGAGGACGACGCTTCCTGTCCTTTATACCTGCTCTGCATCGTTGGCGGGCTTGCGTACATGCGTGCATGCTGTTCGTGACGCCATGGGGGAGCCTGCGCCGTAGCCAATAGCGGATCAGCCGTTTGCAAAATACACACAGTTGTCGACGTTGGATAGCAAGGGGGTGATGGCTACTACGCGGACTCACAGGTGGACGAGCCAAGGCGGACAGGACTGGCCTCACGGCGAACGCTTGAAACGTCGGAGGCGCATACACAACCGCACCGCGCGCGCCCATTTGGGAAGGCGCTGTATAATGAAGGGCACCGACACCAGGAACCGGCCCCACGGACACGGTCGGCAATGGGCGTCCTTGGTGCCGGTTCCTAGCCACGACAGCGGGAGGATGGCGTACCGTGGAAGAGAGGCCTTCCTGGGAGAAACTTGGATGGATGCCAAGAGCTGTGTCCCTGGTAAGGAGACACGCTTGCCTAACGTGCTGTTGGAAATCCTCGGAACCGGGTCCCGAAGGGTCGGAGTGTTGGGGACTACCCGCCGTCTGGACAAGATAGATTGTCGGATCGAGCAACAACGTTACAATGGTGAGAGAACGACAAGCACCAGAGATCCGGACCGGGAGAAGCCCGGCGCTGGACGGTGCGGCGATGGGAAAGAACGCTGGCAAATTGAAGAATGTCCTCCTAGACTTGCACTGGGCGGACACTCGATATGCGAATCATCATGAAAGTGATGCTGCTGCCTTCTCAGGTTTGAGCCTTCTGACTTCTGGCGACTCAATAGTGAGTAGGTATGCTGAGAACGTCGGCACGTACTCACCGGTTGCTCTGTAGTTGCGTCGGAGTGCACGACGCTGTGAAACGCCGATGCGAGTGTCAATGCAACTGCCATCCTGCGGGCGGCACTGTCACGGCCCAAATTGCCAATGTTGATGCTGCGCTGGAGTGACGCACAGGTTGCACGAGTCAGCGATGGGCGTGAAACGGAACAGCATTGTTCTGCATTCCGTGGACATCGTCTTCGGGTGGCCAGACGGGTATACGACTCCGTTGATTAGGCGGCAGACACAGTGCACTGAATAGTCGCGAGTCGCGGGAGGAGGAGGATCGGTCTGGTGAGGGCAAGGTTCAGCAGTCTGTTTGCTGCGCGCTAGTAGCAATCACTAGCCATGGATTAGTCGTAAGCATCTACAAGTACTCAGCAATCCATCACTTAGGCCATTAGAATTGGCCCGAAGGATCAAGGGCACGGACTCTTTCATCATGGCGGGCGTTGACGTTGAACGTTGAACTTTTGCGGAAGCTATCATCACGTCGCTCTGTGAATCGGGGAGATGTCCGACTGCGCACTGCGCTCACTCGCGAACGCGACGGTCTATGTGGAGGGTCAGGTCGGTCAGGGTCTTCAGCAAACGAAACGCCGAGCCGATCCTTTGATAGCTTTCACGCAGCAAACCGTCCCCTGCGATTCGGGCCGACATTGTGTCCCTAGCCTCTATGCTCGCGGAGAGCCTTTCGACAAGTTGTTCATGTAGAATGCTGAGACCGTCAACGTACCCGAGACCGTCAAGACCACACCCTCCCCACGCTGGCGGATGTGAGCTTTGACGTCGTCGATTTTGTCCAGTGTAAATGTTCGCGAGAAGTGACGCCTCTCTGTACGGTCCTGTGTCTTGCGAGGTGGCACCGTCGGTCGCCGTGTACAAGACGCTGTGTGGCAGGTGATTGCAGGTGTCTGGTATGGTTCATGCTTTTTCAACACAACCGACGCGGAACGGAGGAAGCAAGCTCGGGGACGCAGGCCGCGGCAGGCGGACGCTCCAGTGGCCCACACCAGGCACCGAGGCGCCAGATCTGACGAAGGGAGATGACAGAAGATCTTATCTGATTAGTGGTTTGCCGTGCGGATACGTCAGACGGCGCTGGCTGCGAGTGGCTGCGGCCAGTGCCCGTCCACCACCTAATAACGCCCGACGATCGCCCTCCTCGATGCTTTACACCATTCTCCTATCGTCGGCCTCGCTAGTGGCCCCCGCAAGCCTGTGCCAGTACATATAGCGGCGACCACTGTTCTCCCAGAACCTCTCCCCAGATACCTTGGCACTATGAGCGCCTTTCGGAAACTCAAAGCTTTGGCGCTCGGCCAGAACACCGACTTGGACCTGACCTCGGCACAACTGCAAGCGGCGGACGTCCCCGTAACGGACGTGTCCTGTAGAGGGTGTGCAGACCCGTGCGATGAAGGTCAGCATTTCGCGCCGTAACGTTCGGTTATTTCGGGCTGAACTCGATATCCTAGGACACGATGAGTACCCGAAGTTCGATGTGGACAGGGAGACGGAAATGCTCGGTTCCGTGAAGCCTTATGCCCGCCAAGTGCGTTCCACGTACCCCGCGCTCCCCCAGAAAGCACCTCAACGTTTGCTATAGATTGTCATTTCCACCGGAAAGTCGGACTGGGTCCGAGAGGTCACGGATGCCAAAGGCACCCTCGCCGCGTACGTCGATGAGCTCTCCTCGTCCGGTCGCCCACCGAAAGACAGCCACTCCCCCAAGAAGCCCAAGGACAGGGAGCTCGCCCCACCGAACGGCAGCGCGCACGTCGCGGGCATCTTCGACTCCTCCAACCTCGCGCGGAACAAGCGCGTGACGATCCTGAACGGCAGCCACCGCACCGTCTCCGCGGACCACGACCGCGACACCGTGCTCGTCTTCCCGGACTACACCGCCGTCACCGAGGTCGAGCGCTCGCGTGCGGGCGCGGAGCACCTGTGGACGCACTCTGTGAGCCCAAGCGTGGAACTGCACGCGGCGCCCAAGCCCGACAAGGAGGTCAGGTCGTGGATCATTCCGTACTCGTGTGTCATTCTATTATGTGCGTCCCTTCTGTGCCTTCTCGTACAAATCCGTTGGGGTTGCTGAGACGCGCCTTACCCAGGCTCGCACAAGCGACGCGATAACCGCTGCGCAATCGCCGCACCCAAGCTCGAACATGGTCTGCCGTCCTCACCTTACCCTGCCCTGTCCGGGAGCTGACCCCCCGCTCAGCACTGACGCTCGCCCTCGAGCGCGAGGGTTGGGAAGTGCACTCGCAGCTCGACGACCCGTCTGCACACGGACACGGGCCCGCGCTCGAAGACCTCAGCGGCTCCGAAGACGAGAAGCACGCCGAAGTGCAGCGGCAACTCCAGGCACTCGACGCCGAGCACAAGCGCGCGCTCATCCTCTACTGCTCGCACATTGGCGGACACAAATACGCGGGGAACGTTATCGTGCGTGTTCCTCTGTTAGGGTGTGGGCGGAGGCGAGGCGGCTGGCTGACAGGTTTATATGTGAATGCAGATCAACACGCCGCGGGGCGTGTCGGTGTGGTACGGGCGGGTGACCCCGCACGAGGTGGACGCGATCGTGAAGGAGACGGTTATAGGAGGCAAGATTCTGCCGCCGCTGCTCCGGGGTGGGATGAACCTCTCGCATCCTGGGCACAAGACCCTCAACGACTGGTAGCCAGGGCGTTTACTCGCTTAGATGTATTCCCCATATCCTACATAGACGTGCTGCTGCTTCTTGTACCCACCGACCGAGCAGTTTCCTGCAACCACACAGTACATGGGGTCCGAGGATTCGGTATACTCGTGTTATCATACAGATTGCATTTTATTACTACATTGGCCCTGGTGCACATGTCACATATACGTATAACGCATGTACATCCGGTGCGTACATTACGGAAGCTTAACCGACGAAGTGACCCGCGTGCGAGAGCCTACAACATGTCGCATAGAAAGAAGAAAAATGGGGTGGGGATGATTGGTACCGTAACAAGATGGGAAGCACCGTTGCGGGGTTGCAGTCCATATACCATCCGACGGCCGTGACGCGGGGCGCTGGCAGTGGTATGTTGCGGGGGAGAAAGAAGCGGGAACGGTCCGAGTCCAGCGAGCGCGTCTTCTGCCGTCGGCGGCGGGATCATAGATGCATGTCGTCGTCGAACCCGTCGAACGCATCGTCCTTTCTCCGACGACTCTTCGCGTAGCGTCCCGCCGGGGAATCGCTCTCGACCTCATCGTCCGTCGTCGGCTCCGGCTCCTCATCCACGGCCTCTTCCTCCCCGCCATCCAGCCCGTCCGCGAGCACCCCAGCGGCCGGCGCGACGATCGACTCGCCGTGGTACGTGAACCCGCGGAAGTTCTCCTGGACGCTGTTCGTGAGCGGAGGAGCGCCACCGTCGCGCGGCTTCTTCGTGTTCTTCGCAATCGCGATCCCACCCTGCACGGGCCCGGGCCCGGGGCGGTCAGAACCGAGCGGCCCGTTCGGCGTGTGTATTGTCCCGTTCACGCTCGAGGAGAGCGCGACCCAGTTCGGGGACGGGTCCTCCTCGTCGAGGTCGAGCTCGGCGAGCCCGGCTTCGCGCACGTCCGCGGACGTGAACTCGGGGTCGAAGTTCGCGACGGACTCGTCTGACTCGACGACGGGCTTGAACGGCGGCGTTACTTGTTTTTTCGCGAGCGCGTCCCAGTCGATCGTCTTGAAGAAGGGGTGTTCCTTGAGGTCGGCGGCGTCCCGGTTCGCGCCCAGGCGAGACTTGGGATTCCGGTTGAGCAGCTAAGGACGATATCTGTGCTCAGCGACAGTGAGACGGGCACAAGATGAATGCAACTAACCCCTTTGACGAACTGCTTGCCATCCTCGTTGATCACGCCCTTGGGGAACCTGATCTTGCCAAAGCAGATGTTCTTGTACATCTGCTGCGTGTCCTCGGCGTAGAACGGGCTCCATCCACAGCACATCTCGAAGAGCAGCACACCAAGACTCCAAAAATCGACGAGCTTCGAGTAGCCGTGCTCGTCTAGAAGGACCTCCGGTGCAAGGTACTCCGTGGTACCGCAGAAGGTATTTGTGAGCTCGTCTGAACGAAGGTCGGGCTTTGACAAGCCAAAGTCACATAATGCAACGTGACCTGTGGCATCGAGGAGGATGTTCTCGGGTTTCAAGTCGCTGGAGGAACATCGTCAACTTCTGTGTACTTCGACCATGTACAGACACTTACCGATATACGATATCGTACTTGTGCAAATGTTCTAGCGCAAGGATCAGCTCCGCGATGTAGAACCGCGCACGCTCCTCAGTGAATCGTGTCTCCTTCTGCAAATGCCAGAAGAGCTCTCCACCGCTCTTAAAATCTGTCACGAGATACAAGTCCGTCTCCGTTTGGAAGGAGAACTTGAGACCGACGAGGAACGGGCACTCCAGTGAGCGCTGCAGGATCTTGCGCTCGCCGATCGTATGCGCGACCTCCTTCTTCTCGATGATCTCGCGTTTCGACAGCACCTTCATCGCGTATATGCGCTTCGTATCCCGTTTCCGCACCTGGAACACCCGTCCGAAGGTGCCTCGGCCGATGAGCTTCAGGAACTCGAAATCGCGGGGTGTGAGCGCGCGCTTCGCCTAGATTGCGAACCGACGGTTACGCAGTGCCGGACCATGGGGTGCGACCGGGAGAAGCGCGGATTGTCGACGTCGTGGAGTACATGCGTTCGGCAAGGGGTTAACCGGCGGGGTGGTTTGATGGTGCTCGGTCAGTCGATGGAAACATTTAGCGACGCGGGTCATGTGCTTGCCTTATTAGCCTCGAATGTAATCTGCACTCTCATCTCCCCTGTGACGGGCTCATCCTTGAAGGGTTGGAGTCTGTGTGTGCGTGCGCGCGAGAGGAGAGTTCCGAGGGAAACCACGAGAGACCACAGGATTTGTACGAGCGGCGTAGTCAGGACAATGAACTTGGTATAGATCATCGAAACACGCACTTGTACCACTGGTCAACAGTGTGTTCATGCACGAGAGGAGGCTTGATCTGAACCGTGCCCAGGAATGCATGTTCGCTGAGTGCTCGGTCGTACACACTCAGGGTGACGACGGACTGCTCGGAAGTAACATCGCTATTCGGCGTCAGCGACGCGTAGGAAAGCAGGCGGAATGCAAAACACTCACAAGGACACTTCATGCTTCCAGACCGGATTGTGCGCCGAAATGCGCGAGCCGAAGAGGCCAGAGAGCTGCGACTTACCCAGCGATGAGGACGGGGTGGCCTGGGCACTGCCGCGCGCGGTCCCGTTCCCGTTCCCCCTAGCCTTGTCGCTGATAGCTCCGAGCGCAGAGAGTGCAGTGGACGAGGAGACGCGCGAGAGATTGGTCGCGACGCCCTTGACCTCCTTGTCGGTCTCGTCGGTCGGATCCCGGCTGACGAACTCGTTCTGCTCGAACTGAACGACGACGTACGGGCGCGAGCTCGACGATCGTGGGCTGAGCCCGCGGGCTTGGATGAGCTTGACATGTATTTGGCCCTTAGATGGGCCCGATGGAGGGGTGGATGAATGCGTGCCGTTCACGGAGGTCGCGGGGGTGCTCGCGCCGTTGGTACGAGGGGCCGAGGAGCCCGAGGAGGAAGACGAGCCCGCAGAGCCTGGTTGTTTAGAATTCGTGCGCTTTGGAGTGGGTGGTTGTTGCATCTTGAAGACAGGCGCATGTAGAGAGAGGCTGGTGGTCGGAGCGGCGGGAAGAGGTGTCGCGGAGGGCGTCAAGGGACCTAATTGGGATATTGCCTCGGGGCCATTGACGGCGGGCGAGGCTGGACCACCAAAGATAGAGGGTGAAAGCAGGTGGTGAGGCGTGTTCAGCAGCTGGTGGTGGTACGACGGCGGTAGTGCCTGTGTCTGATTCTGCGCCTGCTGTTGAGCCTGCTGCTGGACCTGAGCTGGCTGTACTCCTGGTGCCTGTTGGTCGGGCTGGGGCAGCGACTGGGCGACGTTTGTCATCATCTCAAATGGGTTCTTGCGCTCCTGTCCATTGGGCCCCGCCCTAGGCGTTAGATCGGCGGGGTTGGACTGCGGCCAGAACTTGAGCATGATCGCGTATGTCGTGGGCGGTGTCGGGGCGGACGGCGAGCAGGAGATGAAGAACAGCGAGAAAAGCCGAAAGATGGCAGAGATGAGATAGGTAGCGGTATGTTAGCTGAGATGAGATAGCCAGTGGTGCAGCTGTCCCAGTCGAGCCATCGTCATATGCTCGCCTTACAATATCCGTCTTCCGCTCCACACAGCCGCGCACAATTTCCAGGGCGCGTCGGTCCTCATTATAATTCCCCGAAGCGGCCATTCTACAGAACATGCGCCCCCTATGTCGCCGTCGTCGGCCTCCCCCTCGCCGTGTCCACCGCCGCCTGCACGTCGCGCACGACCTCCGCCCGCCCCTCGGCCGCCGTCTGCTCCAGCTCGTGCGCCCGCGCCGCTGCGTGTTCCCTCAGGTACTCCTTGCTCCACCGCAGCGCCCGGAGCGTGCCCCCGATCAGCACCCCCAAACCGGTTGTTCGCCGAATCGCCTTCCACGCCATCCCATCTGCATCCGCGCCTCCCATGAGCCACCCGTAGGCAGAATGACAGTGTCCAGCGAGTACTCACACACGGCACCAAACAGCATCCCCGTGCCCAGACCAGCCGCCACCTCCCGCACGTCGTCCAGGCCCGCGCGAGTGCAGCCCTCCTCAACCAACACCCACGCGGCCGCTGTCAGCCCGAGCTTCGACGCATCCGCACCAGCCCCTTTCAGTCCGCCCAGCAGCACCCGGTAGTTCTTGGTCTTGTTGTACAGGTACCACCCGCGCACGGTCTTGGGGGCACGGTGCGCATTCTCCGCCAGGAAGCGCAACGAAGCTGTCCTGGATCCGCGATAGAGACCAATCGTCGTGCCGACGATAAGAGCAGCGCCGGGGAGGAGGTAGAAACGCTCAGGGATGTCTATGCGGATCGCGGCGAGCCCATCGTGCTCATCGTCGTGCGCAGTGGAGGACATGTCTTGCCCGCCCTCGTGCACGAAGCGCCCTCTTCTCTTCTCGATGACGTCATCTGCCTTTCCGGGTCATCGGACTCGCTGCCTTGGATCCTCCCCCCAGGACCCCGGCTATCCACTCGCAAAAGTGACCGAAACCCGCCCTGTCTGCACGGGGAATCAGGCCTCCAGACATCCAAGTATGGCTCACCCCAATCCTCCAAGGGGTTTGACGATTTTGTCCTTAGGCATCTGGGACGTCTGAGGCCAGTTCCTCCCCGCGAAGATCCCCTCAAAGCTTGTGCGACACTTGCCCCCACTGCAACAAAAACGCCGTACGTGTTGACAAGGGGACTAACACGATGCATTCGATTCGCGACGACGTCCGCGATAAGAGGCTGTGGGACGCGGACCTTGCATGATGACATGCAGAAGCCTGTGCATATATAGAACTGCTCGAAAAGTAGACACACCTTCCTCTAACGAATGAAACCCGTGCTATAGATATACATCGAAGAAGAGCACGTAACGCTTCGATGCCTGGAGGTGAAAGTTGCTATGCATGCGCGGGGGCGCACTACACCCCGCGGACCTTAACGTAGATACTGTTTATGATCGAAGACCCTGAATAACATGGCGTAGACGCTCGAAGAACCCATAGGCTAAAGCTCAGGCAGTTAGCTGAAGCTACGCACCTGGGCATCGCGTATGGGAACGTGGTTCCGAAAAGAACTCAAACCTACGGTGGAATTGGGCTCATAAACCGGCACTTCTGCGGAAGACAGTCGTTCCTTCAAAACGTCTCCACCCGTAGCACTTTGACAAAGAGACTAATCCGATGCGTTTGATTCGCGACGACGTGTACGATAAGAGGCTTTGAGTGCAGCAGGATAGACGCGTGGGATGCGGACCTTGCATGAATACATAGATAAGCCTGTGCATATATAGAGCTGTCCGTAAAGTAGATACACCTTCCAAGGAATGGAATGTGTACTATAGATATACAGGGAAGAGTCCGTAAAGCTACAATGCTTGGAAAAGACTTTGTAAGGGTGACTATGAACACGAAGCGCAACTCAAACAAGATCTCAACGCAGACATAATTGTTGCTACAGGTTGGTGCACTATTCATAACCGGATACCCTGACTAAGATGAGGAAGAGGCACGAGAGATATTCGCCGCGCTAAGGTCGAGAAACCCATAGACTATGGCTCAGACAGTCTGGAGCTACGCACCTAGGCATCATGGGAACGTGGTTCGGAGAAGAACTCACACCTGCGGCGGAATGCCCAGCGCCCCGAGAGTATGCGACTGAGAAAGCTTTGCAGCTAGCAGAGTCAAGTACACAGCGTCCGTAACTCGAGAGCGTCGAGCCTGGCGTCGGTGGCGGGAAGAGAGAGAGCAAGACGATGGCCCGGTTTTGGGTCGTTTGTACGTGTGTTCCTCTGCTTGCCGGTGCAAATTTGTTTTCTCTGGTTTTCGGGAATTTGGACGCTGTATGAAGGTGTTTAGGTCGTGGCTGAAGTACACAAACAATGCACCGACTCTCTCCCGCCCACCACCTCCCGTACGATGCTGGACGTTGCTGGCGAGCTGCACGCTGTGGCGGGCACAGGCCGCGCGTGGGCGTCGCGGACCTGGTCCGAGCGGCGTTGGGAAGATGCTGACATAAGCACGTTGGACTCGCTCAGAGCTTGCCGCCGCCTGGCTTGTTCACTTTGCCATTGTGCTCCTGCCCTGCCTTACCTGTCTTACGGTCTGCCGGTCTATCCTTCCTTAGCGGTCTTAGCGGTCTGGATACCTGACGCTCACAAACATGGCTTCACAACAAATGGGCGTTATGCCCCAGGAGATGATGCACAACCCACCGCAGCAAACACCACAACCTGTAAACTACTACTCGGACACGACTACGACCTCAAATGACCTATCAGGCGGCCTGCCTATAAACCTGGACTCTCTGCGGGATGGACCTCCAGGAAGCAAGCCGTTTTACCCCTACTCGACCCTTATTCGGTGTGTTTTCTTGGTGACGGGATATTCCGCACAACGTAGCTTATAAGCGTTTTCGTGTCGCAGGTATGCGATCAAGGGCTCCCCAAACCAGAAGCTGCTGTTGGAAGATATATATTATGCGATCGAGTCCAGAGTGCGTGGTTTGTTTGGCCGCGTATGTGCTAGTTACGCTTACATGCCTACCCCCAGTTCCCCTACTTCCGAACCGCACCTCCGGGATGGAAGGTGAGCTTTAATTCATTAGTGACTATCATAACCCCTGCACAACGCTCCCCTCGCACATCTATCTTCCTTGTGCTCAGTATGCCCACGAACGTTGGTGTTGACTTTGATGACGCTGTAGAACTCTGTCCGACACAACCTCTCTCTCAACCCATGCTTCGAGAAGGTCCCCAGACCTCTCACAGATCGTGGGAAGGGCTCATATTGGACGGTCAACGATAATGTCGACCCTCGTACGGGTGTACATCGTGTGCGCAAGAAGAAGGGCAAGAATGCCAACAAGGGCTCGCCACCTCTCGAACATCAGGATATCGACTACCATCCAGATGCAAGTGGAGCTCACTTCGACCCCAATAGCCCGTATGCTCCCCCTCCCCAAATACCTCCCGGCGATGCAGGCCCGAGCCGCCCACCTCCGTTTGCCGTGCCCCCGTATCCCACGTACGTGCACCGTGTGATGTTACAAGATGTCCTTCGTCTCACAGAATGCCCAGATCTCCCTACAGCTACGACCCGGCGTTTCCCCCGGTTATGCCGCCCCTCTTTCGCCCAGACGAACAGTTCGAGGTCGACGAATCTGGTCAAGTCATATGGCACGCGCAGTGGCGGAAGGAGCTCGCGCAGCTGCAGCAGCTCACGGAGGAACAGGAGAAGCAGGGCGCGGACCAAGAGTGGTACCGCATCATGCTCTTCCGCGTACGGAGCGCGATGATTGCGCCGCCGCTGAACCCGGGCGAGCCCGTACCCAACATGGCTGGGCCCCCACCGGGGCCTCCCCCACACGCGATCCCGCCGCCGAACGCGGGCGACGTGCCCGTGCCGATGCCGGAGCAGTAGTGGTCCGGTTTGAACGACTGGTTATGCGTTTACGACATGACGAGAGAAGGGATTGTACTGCATACGAGCGGGAGCAGGCGGTTGCTGCGTGCGGGTCTTCGTTGGTCGTTTTATGCATGTCCTTATTCCGAGTCAACTTTCTTCTGTACTTAGCTTATGCCTTGGGCATCGTTTAGTGGAATGGCTATCGCTACTCTGTACTTGTTTTCTATGCAAATCGTGCTCGCACTCCCTCGTGTCCATGTTCTTCGCACCCGCATACTGCGACAAGTACGATTATCCATTCGTCATCCGTGGTTTAACTATTGACATAATGCACGGTCTGATATCTGATTGTCTATAGAGAGCCGTACACACTTTCTAAAAATGAGGAAGGGTTAGCAATAGCAAAGGATGTAACTGCGAAGCGGAGGCAGCGCCCCGGCAGGCGCGCGCTCGGGTGGCTGAACTTGACGCGTTCGCGTTTCCTTCCTTTACCTGGACCACCACTTAACGCAGAGCATACTTCCTTACATCTCAACAAAATGACTTCCCATGCATACGAAGTCGCGTTATTTGGGGAGTTCTTCCCTCAGGACCTACCAGGTATCTAATCACCAATTGCCAGAGGCGTGTGCATCCATGTGGCTAACACCTCCATCAAAGCCATATTGAACCGCTTCACCTTGCATAGCGAGTCTGCGCACCAGATGCATGCGCGCGAGATCGTCTTCGAGCCGTTCGACGCGCAACATCAGCGTGATTCAGGCACCGAGCCAGTGCTGCTACGCGCGCGGAAGGAACTCCTTGAGCCCGATGCGAAGTGGTGAGTCTCTTATACTGTGCCGTATGCGTTGATACCTATGCTTACATGCCTGCTGTTGCCCTGAAGGCTTCTATACTCGTATCTAAAGCCGGAGTCAGTGCGCGTACATCCCGAGGCGACAGTGCGCCCTTGGGCGACATGCCAAGTTGTCGGTGAGGCTCTCGAGCTCGCATCGGCCTTGGGCTATGTGTGCGTCCTTACCAAGCATGCGTGCGTTTGCGGCGTTATTCACCTTCGACATATATAGCCGCAGATCACAGATATACAAGAGGGGCTACGTCTTCAGGCGAGGAAATCTCGTCATTCAGATGTTCCAGCAGGAGCACGTAGGTGCCATTTTGTGGAGTTCACGCAACGATGCTCACAAGACGTATTCCAGGTGGACCCAAAGACGGGAAAGGTCATCCCGGCGCACGTAGACACGCTCTGGGAAGTGGAGGTGAAGACCGCCGCCCCCGTCAGGAATACCCAAGAGACGCCCCTCAGCCAGTCACTCGACGCGGTTCTCGCCGTACAGCTCCTTATGAAGGGGTTGCTTGACCTCAGGCGGCAGGATGTATGAGTATGAGATGCACGAACGGTGGACTACGCTACTCTGCTACAGAGGTTTCGTTCCAGCATGGCCGCCGCCACTACGTTCCTTCGTCGTCCTCCTCCTCGCCACCAGAATCTCCCCAATCGACCTGCTCGTCATCCGCAGCCCCATACCCAGCGAACGCACTGTCGGAACCAGGGTCACGCAGCGCACCTGCGTCGCGGAGCTTCTGCAACATGGCAGCCAGCACCTCTGGGTCTCCTTCATACTCCTCGTCGGTCTCCCCTTCGGCGTCCTCGTCGCCCCAGTCATCCTCACCCTCCTCGTCCCCACTCTCCGCATACCCTCCAAGCAGGTTCAGTACGTTGCGTTCCTCCTCGCCTTCGTCGTTCTCCTCGCTGCCATACCCGCCGAGCAGCCCGCTCATAGCCTTCTTCGCCTGCTTCGCGTTCAACTTGCGCCGCTTCGGCCGCGGAGAGTCGTAGTCGTCATGTACGACCGCGCCCCTGTCGTCCACGATGGTCCCCTGGAACGCGTCCTCCTCCCAGATTTCAATGGTTGGGAATTCGACAAAGTGCTTGTGCTTGAGTATGGCGCCTAGGGGTTTGCTCGGGTCGAGCTTGTAGAAGCCGGTGCGGAGGAGACGACCGGGTTGTGGAAGAGAGGGTCGTGTGTTTAGGGACGCGAGGGGGTCGAGTGGGGTGCTCATGACGCATAGTGGCAAGGTAAACGAGTCTGGTACGTCCTCGTCAGGCAATACAAGACCTTGTACCCACATCGGCGGTGTTTTATCCTTCTTCGACTTGCTCCGCTCGAGTACATGCGCGCGCAAAGCACTGAGCAGCGTCGTCTCTAGCGTGTTTCGATGACAGACGAGTGAGAACGGCGGCTCCGGCGGCTGGGAAGGCGGCGCGAGCAGATTCCGTGGGGGATGGAACTTGAACTCGACCGTGAGCAGCGCCGTCCTGTTTCTGCACAACAAAAATATATTGCGCCCGTCATTACTACCACGTACGCTAGCAGGGGCAGAGGGGGGGCGGGGGCGTACTTGAAGTCCCACGTCGACTGGTTCAGCGTCCGCCGCTCCATCCCGTTCGGCAGCAGCTCGAGCTCGATGTCCCGGAAGTCGAGCTGCATCTTCAGCACGTCCCGCTTCGACGCGGGCTTCCCAGCCACGCCGCCGCCTCCACCTCCTCTGCCGCGGCCACGACCGCGCCCTCGCCCGCGTGCATCCCGCCCGCCGCGCCCGCTTACGGAAGCCGTGTATCCGCCCTGCACGATCTCGCGTCCCACGTCTCCGACCTTGCGCCCCACTTCTTCGAGGAACGTGTAGTCATTCATGAGTGTGCCATAGCCGTACTGGTTCATTGGAACGTAAGCGGCCTTGTTGCGGATCCCAGAGCACCCCTGGCCAAGGGCCTTGTGTTTTGTGGAGCAGGAGAGCGAGCACGTCCGGGTGGTGCAGCGCGGGCAGGTGTAGATCGCCGGGTGGGTCTGGCAGACTGCACATATTGGTGACTGGCGCTGGAGTGCGTCAGATGAGCTTTCCGCTTGCTCGGCAGGTTCTGAGGGTGGGTCTTGGAGGGCGTCCATGCTGAACGGGAGTGAGACGGTGGTGGAGATGGAAGAGAGTGAGCACGGGCGCCTGTGGTCAAAGTTCAGGAAATTCACGCGAAGACGCGACGCGTGTGGGGAGCTGTGTGGGGCGCGAGAAAAGCGCTTGCAAATATTCCGTATATCGTTCGGAAAAATACACATAGAGCGATTCGCAACAAGGCACGGCTGAAAATTGACATAGGTAGGAACGGAAGCGTACAGAGTGCAAGGATGTTTCAAGAAGTAAACGATGCGATACTCATCGCGAGAAGTAGGTTAGATTGTAGACGCTTTTTACATCGTTGGATACAGAGATGCTACAACGCAACCTTCTATGCGTAGGAATGACAACAATAGGGCAGCCGATGGACGGTAACGGTCCGCGTTCGCCTCGGGGCGGTGGGTATAATAGATTAGATATCGTCCATCCCGAAGTCGATCTCGACCTTCTCGCCTGGCTTGAACGCGGGAAGTCCTAGAAAAGAAGCGTGCATTAGGATATGATACACACGAACGAAAGAAGACGAACGTACCTCTGAAGGGGCAACCTGAACACCTGAACGCATCGCCCAGGTAGCAGTTCCCACAGCTGCTCGTTACCTTTGGCGCAGCAGACGCAGCAGCCATGAGACGGTCCTTCTCGGCCTGCGTGACCTCCTTCGCCTGCCCATCGGGTGCACCGTCGAGCAGCACAACATTGCTCTGCGCGAGCTCCTCCGCCTCGAGCTCAGCCAGTCCGCACGTGCAGTTCTTGCACGCCTTCTTCCGCCGGGCAGCCCCGCGCACCGCGGGCTCGCACACCGCTGGCCGCTCGCGGTCAGCTGCCGTCAGGAGGCTCTCCGCGTCGATGGTGGGGGTCGAGGGCGCGTTCAGGGACCACAGGGCCTTCTTTGACGCCTTGCGGTCCGGATCCGCCTTCTTGCGGAGCGGGAGCGCCGCAGACGGGGCGGTTTTGAGGGAGACGGAGGGCGCCGCCGAGTGTGCGGGCTTCTGCGCGATCAGGGCGCCTTCCTGGTTTGCGCTGAGCACGACGAAGCCGGAGAGGGTGAGCTCGGAGGGGAGATTGGGGAGCGCGGAGTCCAGGTTTAGGATGTGAAGCGTTCCCAGGGCTTCCAGGCCTGCGAGTAGCTGTGCAAGGAGCTGCGATAGCCGGGGGGCGAGCGCATTGTACTCGACGGGAGAAAGAGAGACGTGAACGGACGCAAACGAGGAGGGCGGGAGGGCGGTGGCTAATAGCAGAGCAACACAGAGGGCGTCAATGACGTCGGGATGGAACGGCTCTGGAGCACACACCTCCGTCCAACAATCTGTCGACCATGTGTCTCTCGACCGTCCGGGACTGCTCGAGCGAGGTGATCAGCGACTGATACCTGCCGTCCTGGGCCGTCGCGGGGGATCCGATGGCGAGTGCGGGGCCCTTCGCAGGGACGGCCGCGGCCAGTGCAGGTTTCTCATAGGACTGTGTCTGGGCTGGTGGCGAGAAGTACACTGCTGAGGGAGCCATTGCGTCTAGGATGGGTGTGGGGGGCGCTGGGGGACGTCTGGATGCGACGATGGAGGGGAGGATGAATAAGTAGGAACGGCCGAGCGTGCTTAGATGAGAGTTTTCTCGGAGAAGAGGAGTCTTAGTAAATCGCGCAGGCGCCCGCTTTCTACCGCGCAAGTCATTTTGATCTCATCTCGTCACAAACTGGAGTCATTGTCACTTTCCTGCATTCCGGCCCGGCATTCCGCACGGAGGGTCCACTCATGTTCCGCTCATTTCTCGTCCTCGCAGATTAGCCTGCAGATCGTCTGCCCTTGCGTTCTCGACCGCCTTACAGGCCGCAAAGCAGTGCCCAGCATCATGTCTGCAAACTTCTCAAATAGAGGCCCCCAATGGGAATCTACAGCTTCCAAACGGACGCCTTGTCGTACCCCAGCTCCCCCAGCGCCCCACCAACGTCGCCCTGTGAGAAGTTTCGGCCGAAAGGCCCAGCGATGGCCGCCACCATTCTGAAAATGGCAGGAGAAGCTGCATCGTGAGCCCTCCACGTCTCTGCGTCTAAATGGGTGTGTCACGTACGGGTCCGGGCCACACACGAGGAACATGACCTTCTTGCCGGCCTCGTTTCCCAGCGATCGTGAGCTCGACGATGCGCCGAATAGACTTCGCCACCAGCTCTTCGAGCCCGCGCCCATCGCGTCTTCAATTGCCGCCCTCCCGATGCGACCCACGGCGAGCGTGGACGATGGCGCCGCCGGGTGGGATGGGCCCTCGGAGGAATCAACGAACAAGCGCAGGTTTAGCTTGTCCGGATGTGCCTGAGAGTAAGCCAAGAGGGGCCGCAGCAACTCCGCTGGCGGCAGTTCTGTCGGCCGACGGGAGGAGTGTAGCAGCGTGAATCGCGTCTTGGACTTCGGGGAGGCTTGGCTCAAAAGCTCCTTATGAATCAGCTGGTAGAAAGGCGTGATACCCGTGCCGCCCGATATCTAGTGCAAGGTTAGGCATAGCGAAGGATAGATTGTTAGACAGAGAACGCACCATAACGACTTCATCCCATTCACCCTCCTGCCATGGCCATGTTTTCAGTGGGCCGCGAATTTCAATCTTGTCTCCGACCTTCTTCGAATGCAGCCACCGACCCACTTCGCCCCGCTCATACCTCTTAATCCAAAACTTCATCCGGCCCTCGCTGTCCATGCCCTCCAGTGGGGTGAAAGGGCGTTCGACTTGGATGTCGTCATCTTTGATGTATATTGACCAAATTGGCTGGAACGCGGTCTCGTTAAGGGAGGGTATGGATTGTCGGGGTACGGTGAGGGTCATAAGGCGCGTGTTTGGGTCAGGACATGGCTCTGTCTCGGTGATTTCAACTGGTGTGAAGTGTGTTGGTGAGAGCAACGAGTTCTTCTTGGTCGGCGCAGCCCTAGACTGATCCGGCCATAGAAAGTAGGACGCTATGAGGGCGCCAGAGCCGAGGCCAAAGAGCAAAGAAGTCGAGCGAGCTTTGGATGGAGAAGACTCTGAGGCCTGTGTAGACGCATTCCTGGCGATCTGGGATAGTGCGTGCCGCCGACAAGCAGGCAAAGAGCGGAGAGGGAGGCGTAACATCGTCGACGTCATTGACCCTGCCGTTGAGTACCGCGTCCCAAAACGGATGGCACAAAGCTCTTGCCAAACAAGCGCAAGCAAGACGTCACGATCACGTGGGGAACAGAGTACCTCGGGCGCGAAGTTGATGGTTTGTCCTTGGTCTCCTCTTCTCCTCTCTCATCTCGCCTACTCTACCGCCGTCGCTCCTGGACGGCCCCCACATCCGCTGCGCGGACTAATCCTCACTCTTTAATCTACAGACACAGCTAATTTCTCCACCATGCAGCACCTGCACGACTACGGCTACGCGCCCACCGCCTACACTAACGATCCCTTCACCTCGTCTACCCGACCAACACACGTCTCCCCCTCACACTCGCTCAACCAAACGGCGCCGGCGCCGTTTTTCCCCGACACGCCTTTTGGCTACCACACGAACACACACGTCGTCTCCGACCCGCGCGTTTCAACCTTCCAGATCCGCCTGCCACTTGCCCCCGCGCTCGGATTTACCTCCGACTTCCAAGCTAGCGCATCGCGCGCAGGACACTCCACGTCGTCATGGCGTCTGCCTGTGGACGATGACAAGTCCTCTGCTCACTCCTACGGCTCCGGAATGCGGCCTCAGCCTTCCCTGGCGTACATGGGTTCTCTGCCTGTTCCTGTGTCTGTGTCTGTACCGCTGCCCGACCCGCTCTCACTGGCGGCATCCTACATGACGGCATCCCATGCCCTCATGAACGACTTGAATCCCTCGTTCAGCCTTCACACCTCCGCCCCCCTTTCCCTCGCGTCTCGGCAACATGAACTCGAATCATCAACGTCATCGCTGCAGCTGGAAGACATCTGTTATCTTGAAGCCGTCGAAGATCGCGGCTTCATGAGTGCGTCAGGGCCCTGCGCATCTGCCACGTCCGAGTCGGCCTCGCCGATGCTCCTCGACCAGCCGTACTCCGAATGTCCTGCGGCGGACTTTTCTGCACCAGAATGGTCTTTGCCTCGTTATTCTCCGCCTTCGTCCTACTGTAGTCTGTCTGGGTCTGATGGCAGCTTGTCTATGTCGCCGAAAAAAGAACCCGAAGACGACTACTTCTGCTTCTCTCCTACGCTCACAACTGACGATGGCTTTGGTCCTGCGCCTTTGCTGGGCCTTTTCGCCGATGTGAACATGCACGAACTAGCAGTGGACAAGCAATCACCCTCTGCATGCGTCAACCCTGCGGATGTCATGGGATACGCGTCTAAGGAGTCTACCCCGGAGCCCGATTGCGAAGACTCGCCGGATGTCTCTAGCCGCTCTTCGACTGGCCACTCGACTCCTACTGTATCATTACCCGAGGCTCCCATGGACCAACAGCTCTCTCAGACGCCGGACTTCACTAGCGACTTCTCTGAAGACGTCGTCATCAAGGATGACTTCGCCGAGGATGCGATATCTGCCATTGTCTCTGTTCTCAAGTCCTCGGTCAAACAGGAGATTCAGGATCCTATGGAATCCATCACGGAAGAGACTCTCCCCCCGTATGGTTCTATCCAACAGTGCGAGCTGGTCGCACCGCAGCCTCTGTACCCAAACCAGATCCCGGGGTACCCCAACAACAGTGCCGGCGTGCACCACCCCAGCCTCGCATACGGATCCGGCTGCGGCAGTGTCCCCTTCCCTGGTCCCAGGATGCCTCTCGTGGATATCCAGCTGCAGCAGATTCAGCAAATACATGTCCCGCAGTTCGGCGAGTACTCATCCTTCACACTCCCCCAAGCGTACGGAGCGCTTCCCACGGCACCCGTAGCTCCCGCGGCATCCGTAGCCCCCGCGGCCCCCGCGCCTTTGATTCCCTCCAGCCCGGTGCTTAACGCGCACACTGGGATCGAGCTCGACGACCTGCGGCGGCGGGCGGCGGACTTCCGCCTGCGCAACCCGAACTCGGAGCTGGACCGGAGCTTCCTCCAGTGCTTTGCGGGCCGGCTGAGCGACCGCGGGGAGCTTCTCGACGAGTACAGGTGCTATGTTGTCGGGTGCGGGCAGCGCAACAAGCGACGGGACCACATCCTCGTCCACGTTGGTTCGCACGTCGAACATAGGCCGTGGCAGTGCAAGGATTGGTACGCCCGCTTCTCTTGCACAAGGCGCACCTCGAGAATACACGTTTGCTAACGCGCATTGGTGGCTCGCAGCGGTATGCGGTTCCTGCGGAAGAACGAGTGCAAGCGCCACGAGTCGAGCCACGAAGGACGCAAGCCGTTCTCGTGCCAGATCTGTGCGCCGTTCCAGGACCGCAGCTTCGTCCGGCAGGACTTGCTGAAGCGGCACATGCGCGTCACCCACGGCGTGAACGACACTTCGCGGGCTTCGAGGAAGCGGATGGACGGGCGGAGGGATGAGAATGTGGAGAACTGGCCTTGATTTTATTTGGGATGGAGGTCGTGGAGGGGCGGTTGTGGAGGGACACCGTGGCAGGCGGGGTATTCTCGTAGTCGTATACGATATATATGCCCGCATCACACATATCTATCATGACAGGATTTATATTGCGGGATGGTACAACATGAGTCGTTCGGATAGCCTGACCGGTAAAACGTACACTCAGATGATATGAGGATGAAGACAATTCGATAGTTGATAACATGACAGCTGCTCAGCAGGATGGCGTTGACAAGCAGGACTAGACGACCTGGATCTTTTTTAGCACATTGTCTTCTGACTTGGAGGACTAGCTTACCACAAGGTAAACCAATTCCACCGTTCGCTCTCCCCACGAGAGAGACCTCAGATCTCGAGGTCGGCGGACAACTCGGGGCCGCCACCCTCGCCAAAGCTCTCGCTCCAGTCCTCCTCTGTAATCTGCGCAGCCGCAGGGCCCGTCCTGTTCGCGCCCTCGTACGAGAAGCGGAACATGCTCGCAGGCAGACTCTGCGTCGCGACGCCCGCGGGGCGGCTCGCGCTCCGCTTCAGCGGGCGGATCGCGCGCTTGCTCTTCTCCTCCGCGGAGAGCTTCGGCGGCGGCGCGGGACCCTCCTCGTCGTCGAGGCCGAGGTCGAGGTCGAGGTCGTCCGCGTCGACGTCCGCGTCTTCTGCGTCGGACTCGGGGTTGTGCACGCGCTTCGGGCGCTGCTGCGGGGAGGAGGGCGCGGAGGCGGTGCCTTTGTTCTTGGCGGCGCGGGCGGCGAAGAGGTCGCGCATGGCGTCGTTGGCGGAGATGAAGGAGGGCGTCTGGGTGAAGGGGAGGCGTTTGCTGAGGATGGAGGGGTCCGCGGGGACGGAGACAGTGCGCTGGAAGCCTTCGGTTACGCCTGGAAGATGGTGAGACTTGGACGCGCCCGGTAGGGGAAGGAGAAAGAACAGGCGGACGTACTCTTTCGTACGCGTGAGCCTACATTCCGTAGTTGGAGGAGCGTATCCTCGTCGACACTTGAAGAGGGAACGCGTAAACGCGAGATGTGTGCACAGTGGAGAGGCGCGTACTAGTTGAATGCAGGGGGCTGCTCCGGGGTGGCGTTTGCGGTCTGCAGAGCCTATGAAAGACAGCCAGAGAGTGAGCGTTTGCTAGCGGGAACATCGAGACATGCTTGTCTGACCATGGTGCAAATGCGGGGAGTGGGCTCGGTATGAGGCGGTAGGAGAAGAGCGCGTACGCGAAGTAAGCGCAAGAGGAGCTCGCCTTCCTCGAACCGCGCTGCAGCTGCGTGACCGTGAAGGTGCTTACACGTGACTGCCGCCCCAGCATGTCGCCCCATGTCGCCCCCGACGTCGCCGACGGTACGCGGCCAGCTCCCTCTCTCCTCCCACCACTCCTGCCTGCAACTTCTTCCAGTGGAGACCCTCTGAGTCCTCTGCAGGACCCTGTCTCCCTGTTGACTGCCATGGAGGCGTCGACGCTAGGCTTCACCATGCGGTCCGAGGCCCGCTGTGCTATGCGCGGCTCATGTGGGCCAAAGGAAATGTTTGGGAAACCTCTCCCCTGTCCTTATGACGGTCCACCATCCGAGGTGCGTTTCACTTACCTTCTGGTACGGCTTTGAATAACCTCGCTTTCCTAGGACGACGTCGATCGTGAACTACTTACGTCTCTCTGCGGCGCGGACTACGCGGAAGGACCCACATGTTGTACGACCAACCAGCTCGAGACTCTCCGCGACAATCTTGTTCTGGCTGAGAACATCATTTCCTCCTGCCCCGCATGTCGCAACAACTTCCGCCAGTTCTGGTGCTCGTTCACATGCTCCCCCAACCAAGCCTCGTACCTCAACGTCACCTCGACACAGACGTCATCGACACAAGAGACCGCCGTGAAGTCCGTAGACTTCTTCATTTCGGAGACGTTTGGGGAGGGGTTCTATGACAGCTGCAAGGACATTAAGATGGGTGCGACCAACGGCTACGCCATGGACCTCATCGGAGGTGGCGCGAAGGACTACCACGGCTTCTTGAAGTTCATGGGCGACGAGAAGGACATGGGCAGTCCCTTCCAAATCAACTTCCCCTCCAATCCTCCTCCGGAATACTCTACGCTCAACACAACCGCTAGAAATTGCTTCGACAATGACTTGGGTAGCAGGTGTACGTGCATAGACTGCCTAGACGTCTGCGAGACGCTCCCCGAGATACCGCCTCCGAATGCCGAGTCAACGTGCCAGGTCGGCCTTGTCTCCTGCTTAACTTTCGTGCTCTTGCTTGCCTACGGTCTCGCTGTTCTGTCGTTTGCTCTTGGTTACGGCCTGCAGGTCACCCTCCGCAAGAGACGAGAGAGGTCATATGAACGCGTCGCGCTTGCTACCGACGCCGCTTCGGAACGCATACCGTCGCCACGGTCCCACGCACGCGGATTGGTAGGGGCGTCCTCTTTGGCTCAATACCTCGACGGCGAGGACTCCACCGCCACCCAGTCCGAGACCCGTCGCCTTGGACGGGGCGCCTCCCTCCTTGACCCCATCGAGACGGTACAACCGCGCCACTACCGCCTTAATAGCATCCTCCGTCGCTCCTTCTACAAGCTGGGTCTCTTCGCGGCCACGTACCCGTGGCTCAACTTCGCCCTCGTCTTTGCTATATTCGGCCTCCTCAACCTCGGATGGAAGCGTTTCGAGATCGAAACGGACCCCGTACGTCTGTGGGTTGCACCTGATTCGGAGAGCAAACTGCAGAAGGAATTCTTCGACGAGCACTTTGGGCCTTTCTACCGCGTCGAGCAGGTCTTCGTGACCGCCGCAGTGTCTGATGATGCCGCCTCGTCCAGCGAGAAGCCGCCCGTGCTCTCGTGGGATCATCTGAAGTTCTGGGCCGACGTAGAGGAGGACATTCGGAACCTCGAGTCCACTCCTCACGGATACACGTTGTCCGACGTTTGTCTCAAACCTGCGGGACCGGATGGCTTCTGTGTTGTTCAATCAGTCATGGCATGGTTCGGAAACGACCTCTCCGACTACGACGCGGACACCTGGAGAGACCGCCTGGAGGACTGCGCCGAGACCCCCGTCAACTGTCTGCCCGACTTCCAGCAGCCGTTGGCACCGCAAATGGTGCTGGGATCGGTGCCAGTAGATGAAGACGGCGCAAAGGAATACGCAGACGCCAAAGCACTCGTCATCACGTATGTCGTTCCCGACTCACTCGACAAGGCCGAGCAGGCAAAGGCGATGGAATGGGAGTACGCGCTGCGCAACTACCTCCAGAACCTTGACAGCCGAGCGCCAGTGGAAGCGGGTCTGCAAATCGCATGGTCGACCGGTATATCTCTGGAGGAGGAAATCAACAAGAGCACGAACACGGACATCAAGATCGTCATCCTCTCCTACGTCGCCATGTTCTTCTACGTCGCATTCACGCTGGGCAACGGCGCTGCGGCACGCGACGAAGAAGGTCTATGGTCGTGTCTGACTCAATGGGTGACCAACCTCCCAAAGCTCTTCGGACAGCCTTCCGCATCCTCGACGCTTTCGCTCGACTCACGCTTGGCCCCGACGTTCCTCCCCCGCCTACCGCGCGCGCTCTTCGTCGGCTCGAAGGTCACGCTTGGCCTATTTGGCATCACGCTCGTCATAGTCTCCGTTTCGTCCTCCGTCGGGCTCTTCTCCGGGGTAGGCGTGAAGGTCACGCTGATCATCGCAGAAGTCATTCCCTTCCTCGTACTCGCAGTCGGCGTGGACAACGTCTTCATCCTCGTGCACGAGCTCGACCGTCAAAACCTACTGCACGGCCCGAACGCGAGCGGGGGCGCCAGCGGTCCTTCATGGGCGTACGGCGACTCCTACAGCTACGGACACACCACGCCGATGAGCCCTACCGCGCAGTCGCGTGCCCGCTCGGGCTTCGACTCGCAGCACGAGACGGAGCATGACCACGAACGGGAGGTCTCGCTGGACGCTGGATCTACGCCCCAGTATCTGACCGCGGAGGAGCGCGTCGCGCGGACGCTCGCGAAGATGGGGCCGTCGATCCTGCTGAGCACTGTGACGGAGACGACCGCGTTTGCGCTGGGAGCACTTGTGCCGATGCCGGCCGTGCGCAACTTCGCGCTGTATGCGGCAGGAAGTGTGTTCTTGAACGCGGTGCTGCAAGTGACGGTGTTCGTGAGCGCATTGGTAGTGGACCTACGCCGTGTCGAGGTGAGTGCCATTGAATCACAGAATAACGGGAAATCTCTGACTATCCGGATTTTCAGGCCAGCCGAGTGGATTGCGTCCCTTGCCTGCGCATGCCGCCACGTATCGCCCTGCTCGAGGCCCCACCGAGTAATAGCGGGCTTGGCTTCCTTGCACGGTTTATTCGCAAGCGCTATGCACCATTCCTGCTCAAGCCGGTAGTCAAAGGTCTAGTGCTTCTCGGGTTCGGCGGCATTTTGGTCGCTTCTATCATCTCGATCCAACATATCCGCCTCGGATTCGGTGAGCTCGTCTATTGTCGAGTATATGAATTGTACTTACATTCGCGTAGACCAACGCCTTGCCTTCCCGTCGGACTCCTATCTGATCCCGTACTTCGACAGCATAGACGCCTACCTGGATATCGGTCCGCCGGTATACTTTGTCGTGCACAACGTCGACGTAGCCCACCGCTCCGGGCAGCAGGAACTATGTGGCCGCTTCACCACTTGCGAAACACGCTCTATCGCGAACCTCCTCGAGGCTGAGCGCAAGCGTCCAGACGTCTCATACATCTCTCAGCCCGCCGCATCCTGGATCGACGACTACTTCAACTGGCTCGACCCGATCAAGGACAGGTGCTGCCGCGTTCGCAAGACGAACCACGATATCTTCTGCGACCCCAGCGAGTCCTCCCGCCGCTGCCAGGTCTGCTACGAAGACCACGAGCCCGCGTGGAACATCACGATGGACGGCCTGCCCGAGGGCGAGGAGTTCATGATGTACCTCCGGCAGTGGCTCATCTCGCCCACGAACGAAGACTGCCCGCTCGCCGGCATGGCGTCCTTCGGGAACGCGCTCGCGCTGTCCGCGGACGGCAGCGAGGTCGTCGCGTCGCACTTCCGCACGTTCCACCGGCCGCTCAAGTCGCAGGCGGATCTCATCAACGCGTTCGCGGCGGCGCGGCGCGTTGCGGACGACCTCGCGCGCGAGACGGGTGCCACGGTGTTCCCGTATTCGCTGCACTACGTCTTCTTCGACCAGTTCGCGCACATCATCCCGATCACGGAGCAGATCCTCGGTCTCGGGCTCGCCGCGGTGCTGCTCGTCACTGCGCTCCTGCTCGGGTCGTGGCGCACGGGCACAATTGTCACGGGCGTCGTTGCGCTCACGGTGGTGACCGTCATGGGCGTCATGGGCGTGTGGGGAATCGACCTGAACGCGATCAGCTTGGTGAACCTGGTGATCTCCCTTGGAATTGCTGTCGAGTTCTGCGCGCACGTCGCGCGCGCGTTCATGAGCGCAGGTTCTGGATTACCGGTGGACCACCCTGCGGGACAGAAGGAGCGCGACGAGCGCATGTGGATCGCGTTGGTAGATGTTGGGCCTTCGGTGAGTATTTGCTTCACGGAACGCCATACGGAATGCTATACTGATAGCGGGATAGGTGCTGTCGGGTATCACCTTCACCAAGCTAATTGGAATGTGTGTCCTCGCCTTGACGCGGTCAAAGTTCCTCGAGGTAAGACTCAAAATTATGTCATGTTGCGTAGGGGGTACTGAGACGAAGCTGTCAGATCTACTACTTCCGCATGTGGTTGTCTCTCATCATCTCTGGGGCGTTGCACGGCCTGGTGCTCCTCCCTGTTGTCCTGAGTCTCGCAGGTGGCTCTGGTTTCCCCCAGCAAGAGGCGGACGAAGAGTGGATGTCTCACGCCATTCGCAATGACTACGAGTATACGTGAGTGCCAATGTTGTTATATGTGCATTCGAACCATGCTGATTGGTATCCTTGCCAGCCCCTTCCTCGCTGACGACGACTCTGCCATGAGCGACTGAGCCTCATACACGTTTTGACGGACAATATGTACACTTATGATAGCATAGCACGACGATATATTGGACAAATTTACACGATACGTTTTGCAGGATCTCGCACGATTCGGAGCACATATACGCATAAGAGAGCACGCAGCAATGAGCATAGAGACAGAGACACGCCGGTACTCTGAGTCTCAGTCCTTGGGTGACCTGGACCTGCTGTCGCGGATGTCGTCCCGGCTGTAGCTCCGCCTGGCACGGCTGCGCGAGCGAGAGCGGCTGCTGTAGCCAGAGGACGAGTAGTACGAACGAGAGCGGGAGCGGGAACGGGAGCGTACGGGCGAGCGAGAGCGCGGGGAGATCGGAGAGCGGCTGCGCGAGCGACTCGAGGCGACCGAGTAGCTCCTGGACCGACGGCGACCAGTACCCCCGCGCTCGTAGCTCGGCGAGCGTCTCCTGGGGGGCGGCAGACGGTCTCCCACGCGTCGTGGTGGAGAGCGAGAGCGCGTGCGCGAGCGGTCGAAGCGCCGCGGGGGAGGTGGCGGGGGAGGTCTGCGGCCAGGAGGACCACGGCGGAAGTTGTTGTTGTCGTTGTACCGCGGCTCGTATCCACCACGGCGGGGACCACGAGGCGGCGGGGTTCTTGAGCGCGAAGGGCTGCGAGAGTAAGACTTGCGACCGTAGCGGGCGCGGGGAGCAGGGCGGGGAGACCGGGAGCGCGAGCGCGAGTGCGAGCGCGAGCGGATGGAGGCCTCCGAGAGCTCACACTTGATGATGGCGCCATCCAGTTGACCGCCGTCCATGTGCGAGACCGCCTTTTGTGCCGACGCAGAGTCGACATACTCGAGTGACGCCTTGCCTCTGTTTTGTCCCGCTGCGAAACCGTGTCAGTACATAAAACTATTCGAGGATTGAATGCGTCTCTCACATTTTCCGAAGAGAGGGAGATCGACCTTGACCACCTCGCCGTAGAAACCGAATATTGTTTGCAGATGCGATTCCATGACGTTTCGCGTCAAGTTCGTGACGACAACCACTTTCGCGTTCGGGTTTGCGGGAGGGGACCGCGATCCACTGTCCATGTCGACGTCTTCATCGCGGAGAGGTCGCGGAGAGAGAGATCTGCCTCGGCTCGACATGACGAGAGGCTGCTGAGGATGGACGCGCGGGGAGGACGTGCAGAGGAACCTGCGTAGGCGCTCAGCGCGACGCTGCAGTGTTACGTCCCTGTTACCGTGACGTAACTGTAACGTCCCGGAGGGGGGTTAGGCGCCTACGCGATCGTGCTCTCGATCTGAGATCTAGCACGGTAATATTGCAGATCTTCTCCTCTTCCGCTTACTGTGCGCGCCGCTCTCTACCTCTGCTCTGTTCTGCTTCACCCCGTTTCTCGTTATGTCGGAGACGTCCGTAACAACAAAACCGCCAGCTACCAATTCAGCATCATCATCGTCCAAAAACGCTACAAAGCCAAGGAAGCGGTTCGTTGGTAGCAAGAGCGCGACTCCCTCAAAGCCTGGGTACTCTCCGGTCGTCGCAAACCAGATACCCCCGGACATTCTCAACGACGCGCAACTGAATGCGGCTATAAAGCAACTGCCTGCAAACTACTCCTTTGAAATTCACAAGACAATACACCATGTCCGAAAGAATCAGGCCAAGATGGTGGCTCTGCAGATGCCGGAAGGTTTGCAGATGTTTGCTTGCACCATCGCGGATATCATCGAACGGTGAGTCTTCTCAATCACATAAACGCGGTGGCTTACTGATATTGAGTGTCTTGCTAGGTTCACCGACGCCCTCACCGTGATCATGGGAGATGTCACCTATGGGGCTTGTTGCATCGACGACTACACAGCCGTTGCGCTAGGCTGTGACATGCTTGTTCATTACGGGCACAGCTGCCTTGGTAACTCAACTTTTGTGGCTTCCGAATGCACGTTTACGTGACTAATTGCCCCCTGCCATAGTGCCTATCGACCAGACCACCATCAAAACGCTATATGTCTTCGTCGAAATTTCCATAGACTCCTCTCACCTCCTCCAAACTATCCGCCTCAACTTCCCAAGCGACCGGCAACGATTCCGCGAGTCACTCTTGGACTCTGAGGAGCAGAATGCACAAATACCGGCCGGTCAAACGCTGGCTGGCGGGGGACATCTACGAATAGAGGGCCCCGAGTCCGTTGAAATGGCCGCCCAAGATTCGACAGAACATCTCTCCAACCCTGGCTCTAGCACCGCGTCTCCATATCCCACTCGTCTAGCCTTAGTGTCGACCATCCAATTCGTCGCGGCGCTCTCTCGCTTGAAAGACGACCTGTCTGTCGAGTTCTTAGAAAATCACGACCCGTCAGCCCCGGTGGGGCTGATTACAGGCGCAGAGGGAGCCCCCAACGAGGCTTGCCAAGATCTAGGAAAACCTCGCCTCTGGAGGGGGCGGTACGAGGCTTCGATACCGAGGTCAAAGCCTCTTTCGCCTGGTGAGATCCTTGGATGCACTGCTCCACAGCTGAACGAGGTCGACGCTCTCCTGTGAGACATGTTTCTTCTTCACGTGCGCACTCTTTGCTCAAACTTCCCTACGCGTTCAGATACCTTGGAGACGGCCGGTTCCACCTCGAATCTATAATGATCGCAAATCCGGATGTCCCCGCATTCCGCTACGACCCCTACTCGAAGAAGCTCACGAGGGAACGATATGACCATGTCGAGATGCGCACCGTCCGCGACGAGGCCGTTCAAACTGCACGACGCAGCATCACCGCTCATGCATCTCATTCGCAAACTTCCACGGTCGCCACCCCCTCACCTTCCTCTTCCCCCTCTCCTCCAATGTGGGGCGTCATACTGGGGACGCTCGGGCGCCAGGGCAGCTTTAAGCAGCTCCGTGCAATCACTCAACAACTCGCAGGCGCGCCCGCTCCGATTCCTTACATGCCCATCCTCCTCTCAGAGCTCTCCCCTGCGAAACTCGCGCTTTTCGATCCGCACCTCGCGGCGTTTGTGCAGACGTCGTGTCCGCGGCTGTCGATCGATTGGGGCTACGCCTTCCAGCGGCCACTCCTCAGCCCGTACGAAACCGCGGTCGCTGTCGGGAAGGCCCCTGGGTGGATGGCGACTGGCGAGGGGGATAGCAGGGAGCGCGCGCGGAAGGGCGGAGTATATCCCATGGATTTTTACTCTGCGGGCAGCCCATGGGCAGTCGCGCGGACGAAGGCGATGTATTGATTTGACCGTGATCGGGTGCATAGTATCAAGCGTGTATCGGTATAGTACCTTTGTAGCATTTCCAACACGGCTCACTCAATCATGGCACATGTTGAAGATGATGTGGTTTCCTCCATGATCGGGCCGGATAGCCAGTGTGCGCAGCCCTACGCGAGGAAGTGTCATTGCAGTGCTACGTCGACCTTGTCTTCATACAGTCACGTCCAAAACCTCACCATGGCCACTGACAACCCGGCCGAGATCGATCGCTTCTGCACGCTTCCACAGGAGCTACGCTTCAAGATTCTATACCAACTCGATCTACAAAGTCTTCTCAGATGCGAGAAGGTGAGGCCCCATATCAGGCTTCATGTTGATTTTGAGCTTCGTACTAAACATGATGAGGCGCACCCGTAAGGTATGCCACACGATGGCAGACCTCATTCATACTCCTGCTCTGCAGTACAAGATCAAGCTCGCGCAGGCCGGTATGGTCGATGGTCAAAGTTCTTCCATGGACCATCCCCTCGCTCAGCGCCTCCGGAACCTGGAGGAATACTTGCGGCGAAGGCTGACTCCGAGACCCTGGGAGGACACATCAGCAACCCCGCCGCCTTGGAGGTTCAATGCGTCCACAGTGCGAAAGCTTCCTGTGACAGGCGGCATCATTCCGTACCTCCAGGATGGCGACTTGATCCTGTGGCAGCCGGGCTCACCGTTGAGGGGTGTAGAAGACATAAAGATAGTGCTCAACAGTGCTATCTTGAAGGCGAACATGATAGCGCTGCTCTCAATCAGCGGATGCGTCGTCGATGCGTCCCAGGACCTGCTGGCGGTGACTACCGAGTGAGTACAAGTATATACCATAATCGTTCTCGCGCTGCCCGACGCTAAGAGGCATTCACCCCTGCGAAATCTTGAAGGGCTACTCATGTTGGTGACACAAGTCAATGCCACCTATTTTCGTTAACACGTACCGGAGCTGCACACCCCCTGGCCCCAATACCCATCCTACACTCCGCGGTCGCGTTTGCCGGATCCTTGTACCCGACCCGCGTCGGGTTCTCCGCCTACTTGGAAGTCTGTGGAGACATACTTCTATGGCAGAGAAAGATCACCGAATCGACTATACAAGTATGGAACTGGAAGACGGGACAATTAATCTGGGTTCGTTGCGACCACATCACCTTTAGCATACAGCCGACTTACCATAACTATTGCCAGGGATACCACCTCCTGCCCGACAACCCTCGGCCCCTTACCATTCAAGCGTTTCTGATGGGATACCAAAACTCGCTCATTATCGTGCAGGACGACTCGATCTGCGTCGTCCGCATGGACCCGAACGTCGTCAATTTTGAGCCCGGCAATCTGCAGCCTTCCGTGGCGGACATCAACGCAGAGGCGTGCCTTCGGCTGATGTTCTATCCGTCTCCGCGGTGGCCTCCTTTCTGGTCGTTTAACCTTAGTGTCGACTACGAAGCTCATATGCACCGACCATCGTACCCTCTTGGACGTCGACCTCTCTTCGAGGTGGACCCGGCATTGACAGTGCTAACGATCAGGCGGCGGAGTGGGACTGCGCCGTCCGGCGGGGACTCTCAGATCCTGATCGTCCCGGTCTCAACTATATCGTCCTTTATGCCCGCTCCTTCTGCACATGTGGCCCCTTCATCGTCTTCGAACAAGCACGTTCCTGCCATAATTCCCTTCGATGACTGGGCGAAGCGTGGTGATACCGTAACCGTTCCAGCCCCCGGACGCACCCTCTGTCTCGGTGCGCTTGGGTCGCAGTGCGGTTTCGTCGGTCATGTTAGAAAGAAGGGCTATGAGGGCTTCTCTATGTTATTGGTAGATGCACATCCTGGCGCACGGTATGACCCGCACGAGGAATTCCACTTGGCGCCGGTCGAAACCGACTCGTCTCGTCCGGCTGGGGCGACACTGGCTGTTTCCTATTCGGTCAACCGTGGCAACGCTACCGCACTTCCGTACAAAAGGACCCTCGTGGAGATGCCAGTGTACAGCGGGTACGACAGCGTCGTTTCTCTTGACCTGTTCCCCGATCAATGTGTGTTCCGATTCAAGGAAGTGAGTGGCACTGATCTCTTCCCGGTCATAGTCGACCCCGACACTAACTATCGAGTACCTATCGTGGGTGTTAGATGTTTTCACAAGACACATGGGCGTTCTACCTTTGAAAATCAAGCACATGGCTACCAACAGATAATCCCATGGCGTACGAAGGTTCTGCACGCCACCATTTCCTACAGAGCAACTCATGCACGTTCATATACATTGTACAATATCTCAAATTCCAGAAGTAACAGATGGTCAAGAAGGGAACTTCCAGATCCACAGCAGTCTCTGACGATCATACACTGCTGCGTGTTAGCCTAACCGTATGTCACGCTTGAGGGAGACTTTGACTCACCCATATGCATATTCAACCTCGTCTACGCCGGCACCTGCATGGAAGGGTCCGGACGGCTCCTTCGGCATCGGCCCGAGCTCCTCGTCTTCGTCGTTATCGTCCACAGCCGTGCCGTCGTCCAGTTCGAACGGAAGGACAGGCCGAAGGCTTCCGCTGCCGGAGCTCGACCGGCGTCCATGAGAGGGCGACTTCGTCAGTGCTGCCATAGTTTTCGGGCTCATGTGCTGCGCCCCCACATTAGCATGCGTTACTCATAAGTCGTTCGGGCAACAGCAGCTCACCTCCCAGTTGTTCACGTTCTCGTCGGGGAGGTCGCGGTCCTTCTCGCCCGCGGCCCGCGCCTCATCCGAAAGCTCGCCGATGGAGACGATGCTTTCGCTGTCGCTGATGCTGTCCGCGATGTCGTGGACGAGCTCGGGCAGGCGGTGCCATGCGTTCGAGCTACGCGAGCTGGTGCTCGAGTGCTCGTCGGACCACCGGAGGTACTCCTCGTACTCTTCCTCGAACGCTATGTCTTCCGTCACATAGGGGAGGAAGATCGACGGCTCGGTGGTCTGGGCTCGGAGGGGCGGGAACACATCCGCGTCGACCGTGTTCGGAGTCTGTACGGGACGCAGCATACCCGACAGCTCTGCAGGGGCGTGCAGGCCCTCCAGATGATGGGATATGCTCGCGGCACGCCGGTGTGCGTTGGGCTGCACGGTGGCCTGAACACCATACCGCTTATTGTTATCTAATTGAATTGTCAGCCGCCTTAGCCGCGACTTGACACTGATGTGAGTACATACAGAACTTGACCAGGTGGCGAAGAGCTTGTTCCTGAGCCTAAAAACACGATCAGCCCATCTCTGTCCGGTACGACCGGGAAGGCGCATCGACAAACCTGCGCGTCATAGACGTCATCCACTTCGATGCCAGCAAGCCACTCATCCCGGAGGTCGGGCCTGCAATTGAGATAGATCGCGGTGATGACCTGCATGTTTGCTATTGCAGACGTCAGACGAAGGCGTCCCTGCCATGCTGAGATGCGCGCTGCTCACACTGGCGCCACTTCCGACCGCAAAACGGCACTTGGCTCTTGATGAGCTTGAGGACATGCAGCTGCAGCATGGGGTGCTGCACTTTCAATATCCGCTTCAGCACCGCCTATACGCCACCGTGCTCCGGTCAGCCACCTGCACGCCAGGCAGGACGCGAGGAAACGCTCTCACCGAGCTCTTGTATTGCACCAGCATGCGGATGCGATGCGACCGGTGCTTGGACAGCTTCTGCATGATCTTAGCGAAGTTGATCGTGGAGAAGAAGTTGCGCCACGAGAAGTCGGTGAGCAGGTCGACCTCCTCCTCGTGCTTCTGTCCGTTCGGGAGCGTCGTCTTGCGCACAATCGTCTGCCGTGAGGGGCGCTGCGCCGGTGGTTCGTCCGGCCCGCCCATGTTGGAGCGACGCGCGAAGCGCACCTGGCAATATCGGAAGAAGCTGGGGGGATGTCGGTGAATACCTGCCTGGCGGCCCGAACATGTGCAAACTTACTTCCGCTCAGGGATGTCCGCCTTCGCCACCACTGCGGCAGACGCCTCGTGCAGGCTGAAGATCTTCAAAATCAGCAGGAGGCAGTTGGTATCGAGCAGGAGCTGTCCCAGGTGGTGGAACTTCATCACATCTGCAGGCCTCCGTCAGAACTCAAAGACAACGTTTGTGGCCGTCGGGTGCACTCACGGGACATCTTGAACCACTTCAAGGTCAGGAGGAGGATAGCGGACACTGCCTTCGATGTAATCTCGCGATGCCGGGCCACATCGATCTCGTCCAATGTGGCAGGTTTGGGCGGGGACTGGTCGAGTGCTGCGCGGCCCGTTAGCTATTCTGAGCAATCCAGGCAACGGCTGATGCTGGTTACTCACGGGAAACGACGCCTGGCGGAAATCCCGCGGCTGCATGCGGTGCGACAGCCCCATTGCCTGTGGACACCGTTGCCAGGAGTAACTTAAGTAAAACAAGCACCCATCCGGGGAGCACGGGTAGCACGGCGCTCTGCGGGGTGCGAAGTCAGTTGGCAGTACGGCTGACGCGCCCGGAGGACATACGTAGATTTGCTCCACCCGTTTCAGACGCATCATGTCCTCTCGCCGGTCCTTCGCGAGGCGCCTGGCAGATGAGGTCTCGCCATCCTTCATAGCCTGCTCAGCCTCTGCGATCTTGGCGTCAAGAATGGCTACATCTGGAAGTTTCTCGCCAGCCTCGTCATCCAACGACCGAGACTGCAGCGGAGTAGTTAGCGTCACGCCAAAGCCGAACATTCGCCAAGAGACCTACGATCAAAGGTATTTTGGGTTCAGATGGCCGCTCCGCTCCAGGAAGGTAGTCCAGACCGCTCTCCGCGGTCATACACTCTTCGCGTGTCTTCCACATTTGCCAGAGCGAGAGACTGGCATACATGTGCTTGGCGTAGAGCCTGTCTGCCTCATCGATAGCGAATGGGACCAGACGCGAGTCATTGTAGCCGATGTTCGTCCGCGAAAATGGGAAGAGGAACGGACGGCTCTGGTCCGTCTGAAACTGCTGCTTCTTGGGCTTAGGGGAGGGCGGTGGCGAAGGGGCTGGAGTGGCTGGCTGGGGGATAGGGCGGAAGGAAGAGCCACCTTGGTTGGGATTGAATGGATGTGGCATGGCATTGTGGGAGTGCTCTTGGTGTTGTGACTCGGCGGGATCGTGGTCATAATGGTGGCGTACTGGTATAGGCGAATATGCCTGCGCGAGCTTCGCGGTTGTCACGGGTGTCGCTGCGGGCACTGCGACGGGTGGCGGGTTGAACGTTGGATACTTGACAGAGATTTCCTGTCGGAATACTTCCAAGTCCAATGGGGATGACTTTATTGGGACAGCTATGGGCACACAAGCGAGGCGTTGAGACGACGAACGCGTGGTTGTGGGATGACGTGGGAATGTACCTTCTTCAGGGACCGCTGAGAGGCCCGCAAGTTCCCGTGTCACTTTCTTCACAGATGCTAGCTCGCGAACGCCGCCACAGCAAGTCAGGATAGTCTTCCAGAGGACCAGGAGGAGCTGATGACATCGACCATGAGACTCATCCGATAGTATCATGAGTCAGAAGATCCGTGCCTTCTTCACAGGATATCCCTTAGCGCTCTTGTCCCGCAGGCCGGCCACCACATTGAACAGATAAACCGGGAGCGGTGGTTCCAGACTCACTAATTTGGCGCACAAGGATATTAGCGTCGTGTACGCGCGGCAGACGGCATTGCTCACTCAGCTCATCGGCAAAATCGTCGTGACCCTTGAAGACTTCGACCATGTGATAAAGCATGCCTAGATACACTGATAGCTCTGTGGTCACTTCCTCCAAGAAGTCCGATCTCTCCTGCGGGGAGATGCTGAAGTGCGCGGCATCTGCATCTGATAGGGTGCTATAGACGGAGATGGGACGTCAATTGTGTCCAGGAACGTGCGAGTGGACGATGTACCATAAGAGATCATGCTTTGAGCTTGCTATCTTGATGGCCTCGATGATGCTAGTCACGCCGTTGGCTGCCCGGACAACCTTGCAGTTCTCGAATATCCAATGCAGTTGATCTTCTTGCGAAGTTGTCTCCGCGAAGGTACCTAAAGCGCATGTGAGTTAGCTGCAGCATGGCACGGACTGTCAGTATGCACCTTGCAGAACGTAAAATAGGCGTCGGGCATTTGTGAAACGAATCTCCGCATCGCGATGCTCCAGGCTCTCCAGGAGTACTTCAACATGGGCCTTGCGCTGTGCGAAGGAGCTCGAGGTCCAATCTATCACGAGTCAGAGAGTTTCACACTGGTGTGAGGATATCCACGCACCTCCGGGAAACGAGCCCTCCCATGCCTTTAGGTTCTCGGCGACCTGGGGAGTCTCCACATACGAATAGAACTCTTCAATCTCATTCAAGACTGTGTCTTCATCATTATATTGGAAGTCGTAGTACGATTGCTACTTCCTCACGGAGTCAGACGGTGGAGGAGTCATAGGAAACCGGGAACCGGACCAGACCTTAGGTTTCGGCGCGGAGCCGACCATGGCCTTCAGCTGGCCGAGCGTGATGGAGTCGAGACCAACTTGCTGGGGGGTGCTGGGGTCAACATCCTGTGTGCTGGAAAAGAACGACGGGACGGGGGGCAATACCATGTTGACCGCGGCTGAGAAAGCGGAGGTGTATGAAGTTCCCGCGGTGCTGAACGCGTCGTTGCAGGCGTTAGAGTGAACCTTGGACCGAGTGTGGCGGCTGCGAAGGCGGCTGCGGGAACGAGGGAGACACGACGACCGCGGGCGCAGGAGATCCGGTGGTCAGGGAGGAGGCGAGGGTGAGTCAGGGCCTGTTGTGGGCGCGCAGATAGCGCATATAGCCAGGTGCAGGAGGACGGTGGAATATGTAAGAGCGCAGGCAACGGCGCAGGCCGCGGGGGAGAGCAAGCGCTTACGTAAGCGGCGGGGAGGGAGAAAGACAAGGCGCTTTTTCAGCGGCACGGCTCTCTCCAAGCCACGACGACATTGGCCCCCTGCTTGGATCGACCCTCCTCTCGTCGGTCCCTCGTTGCCCGTTTTCTCTCGACTCCCCGACTGACGACCACGACGGCATCGACTCAGGAGAGGGCGTTCTAGTCCCCGCCAGTGATACTCACCAGGTCCGGAGGGTGTTGCCACCGTCAGTGTCTGACCCCCCTTCTCTCCTTCGAGCATCCAAAAAGGCACGCCTTCGCTGTGCGTTTGCCACTGAGTCTCCCATCCTCCCCCATCGACCTCTACCCACTTCATCTCCCTTTTCCGCCCTCTTCACGACCTACTTTACGACCGGCCCACAAGCCCATTCAATCCACGCCGCACATCCCGGCCTCCGGTCCCAGGTTCTGCCCACCCGCCAAGGTCGAGCAGCTACCTGCGACAGGTTCTCCCTTTCTCTTCCCACTGCAGATGCCAGTTCCCGTCCCCGTCTACCTCAAGCAGGTCGCCCACCCGGTAATCAAGATCAATCATCCCTCCCAGTCCGATAGCGAATCTTCCGTCTTTCAACACTTGACCCACTCCTTGCCTCTCCCGCCTCAGGGGCCGCCCCCGTCCTTGGCGTCGAGGGAGGAGTGGATCAGTTCCCTTCCTGATTGGAGGAGGAACAAGCGGCGCATCGGGGAAGACGATTTCGGTTTCCGCCCACTTTTCAACGTGCAGGGTTTTAACGAAGGGTTGACCGTTGCGGACAACGCAGCGGTCATTAAAGGTGCGCCCGCGCAAGCGAGCATCCCGCCCGTCCGTGACACCCGCCCCCTCGTGGGTTCTCGTGAAGAGATGTACCTCAATGCCGCAGACGTGGATGACGACATGAATGGATGTCGAGGTTGGACGGACGAAGAAGACCACCAGTACGCCGCTGAGTACTCCCCGGTTGACAGCATGGCGTCCGACCGGCAATCAGCTGAGAGTTCTTCCGACATGGCTATGGACTATCCCGCCCGAGGCATGGAATTCCGCCGCTCTTTCTCGGCTGTCGGTGGCGATTACGAGAGGGGCGTCTTCAGTCCAGTCCAAGAGGACCTCTCTCCCGATGTCTATGCGCCGCTTTCTCCTGCTGTCGACGACGCAGAGCCTGGCTCTAGCCCGATCGGCCCAGCGACCCCATTCGCCGAGTTCATCGACAACGCCTTTGCTCAAGAGCGCGTCACGTTGGATCCTGGTCGGAATGTGGAGCAAGCTCAAGCCCACCAGTACTACAACCACGACGGCTACCATGCGGCGTGCTACCAGTGTCAGACTTACCAAGCCGAACAGCCGCTCCAGCAGACTTCCGTCGCAGATACGGTTGTCACTCCAATGGCCACCACCGCGTACAAGAAATTAGCAGCTCCATTGTCGGAGTGGATAGCGAGCTATGTATGGAAGGTCTGCACGACTGGCATGCGTCTCCCTACGGAATACGCTCAACCGTCGTAAGCGCCACCCTTTTCATTTCGTAGGTACATGTACTAACTACTTGCCTACAGGGCTTTTGCGAAGCACTACTCGACGAGCCCTCCTAGCCATCTGGCGAGCTCTATCCACTCCATGCTGCTTTCGACGCTTCTGCAGCCCTCAGCTGTCTTCCTAGCGATGTGGTACATCGTTCGCCTCCCGGTCTTCTTCGGACCCGTCGGCCTCACATCGGAGCACGAGAAGGAGATTCGATTCCGGGCTGAGCTGTTGGGCGAGGCTCATCTTGGCACGGACCGGGACATGATCGAGGCCTACGCCCCCTTCCGCCTGGTCTTGCTCGGATGCATGCTGGCCAACAAATGGCTGGACGACCACACGTTCTCCAACAAGACTTGGTAAGTAGTGAAAGAACCTCTGCCCGTCCCTTCTATCTGACCGTGTCTTCAGGCACACCATCTCGAATGTTCCTATTCGCTCCCTGAACAGGCTGGAGTCGCTCGCACTCGACATCTTCCGCTATGACCTCAACATTGCTCCGCAACAGTGGACCAGCTGGCTGTCGGAGCTGCTTTCATACCACGCGACTTTGTCATCTCCCGTATTCCCGCAGCCCATTTCTCGCCCTTCCACGAGTCCGCACGTCATCGTGCGCCAGGCGATCGAGATGTTGCTCAACACCCAAGAGGTTGAATGTGGCTGTCGCCCTCAACAGTGCCAGTGCCCTCCCGTCCCGGCGTTCGTCAGCCTTGATGAGCACAGGAAGGAGCCGGCGGGCGGTCACGATGCGTACCTCGAGGACGTCTTGGAGATCGACCTGGACGAGGACGGCCCACTTCGGGAAGAGTACCTGCCGAGACGTCGCCACAACTCGAAGCCGCGGTACGCGGCCGAAATGTATACCCGCAATGACCACGTACTTCCTCCGCCCGCCAAGTGGAGCCCGGACGCCGACGAGCCTATAATCCGTGACCGGAGTCGCAGCCTTCGTCAATATGTAGCCCCCCAGCCGCTGCCGCAGCCAGCGATTGCGGCGCCTCCCCCGCCGTTGCCGTTCCACCCATCGATGGATGCTCACCGTTCGTCGTGGAGCATTGGGAGCTATGCGGTCAGGCAGGAGCCCATCAGCCGGCCGGCTGTCTTCGCGCCTCCGTCCGTATTTCACCCGCCCGTCGGCGGGTTCGAGTACGGCTACGCGCTCCCGGCACCCCATGGGCACTCACGGTCGCATTCCTTGTCCTACGGCCAGGCCATCGGAGAGCACGTTCCCGGACGTGTTCGTTCCTATTCCCAGACACGGTTCGAACATGCTTACACCGATCACCTGGTCTCTGATGCTCGCTACCTTCCGCCCCCTCCGGTCTCATCCCAGTGGTCGTCGTACGACCGCATTGGCTTTCCGACCTCGTACGATCGTCCCTTCGGCCTTTCCAACCGACCTCCGCTCAAAGCGTGAGGTCACACAGCACGCGTCCTAGAGAATTGCAACGGAGAATTAGACAGTTGCACCGGTTCCCCGTCCTCGGTACACGCATCATTCATTATAATAATCCTCGTCGTCGGCCCTGGCGTACCATCCCCCACTCGAGCGGTTCTGCGCAAGCGCAGGGTCGCTCATACGCCACTCTCTAATGCGCGCCAGTTCTCGCATGCCCCGGCCACGCTTCGTCGTCTTATGTCTCTCTCATCACATTGTTTCTCTATCTGGGCACCCCTGCATCCACGACATATCCATCCCGTCGACGAGGACCGCCCCCTCCACTTTCTCCTGGCTGCTCATCATTGTCATCAACGCATCTCGTATCTATTCTCACTACTATCGGCACATCTTCGGGCCAGTGGTCGCTATGCGCCCCGGCCCAACCTGCGTCGGGTAGCCCTGTGCTATCAACGACCTACGGCGCCGTATATCAGCATCCCCGCACGTGGACGGTCCTGCTTGCTTCGCTGTTCGATACGCCGCTTCCACGCTTTTCGGTCCTCTCGTGTACAGAATCTATCCGTACATTCACGTTCCGCACACTAATGCGTCGTCTTACGTCCGTCTTATCCTCTTCACTCCTCCCCGTTTCTGGCCTTTTCACGTCACGTCTGTTCTGTTGCTGCTGCATTGTCCACCCACACAAACGCACAAAAACACACGAAAACCCAGAAAACACTACACATCACGTTCCCCTCTTCAGTCGTTTCCAGCTCCCTCGCACTTCGTGGTTTCCTTCACGAGCCTCCCGCACCTCCGTCCAGCTGGACGGGGCGCGCACCCCACCCTCCGCCTCCCCATCCCCTCATACTCCGCACTCCCTTGTATCCGCTCGACGAAGCTACCCCGCTCTCCTTCAACCCGCTCTCGCCCCCCTTCCTGTAGCAACGCTTCGTCCCCCCCGTAGGTATACGTAGCTTATATGTTGACATCGACTCGCTCGTGTCTCCGACTGCGCACGCAGTGCTGCTCTCTGCCTGCTTTGTACATGTCAATAGATCGGAGGCCGTTATGCTGTGAGCCAACCCTCGGTGTGAACCTCTAGGCATTCGTGTGTGTTGGTCGTAAGTACTATGTACGGTTGCGAGCCTGCTGCTGCTGTACATGGAAATAAACGTCACAAATTCGCGGCGATACACCCGCGACGGGATTAAGTTGGTGTGGCAGTGTTAACTCTAAGACAGTCGTGTGAACAGCTGGAGTACAACGTCAGGCAACGCCTGTGCATCTCGACTCTCAACAAGTCCGAGGTTTGGTTGCAACCTCCACCCTCACAACCTCCCTCAGGTGCATTGTTGCCAACCACTCCTTGTCGTAATACACAAGCTGATTTCACTTCAGGTCTTGTTGGTAGTATTGACATGTCCGGACTACTAAGCGAAAAGACTTCGAGCGAGGCTTCGACTCGGGGGGCTGGGCTGGCGTCGCCTGTTACGAACGAGCACACGGAAAAAATATTCCTGCCCTCCAGCGCAGACTCCGGCGGGGGTTTGGAGGCTACTCCCACAGAACTACCACCTCTCCCATGGACGCCGCCCTCGATTCAGGTGAGTGTGCTCCTCATGCAGCGATTCCGACTCGTCATGGTTTCCGAATTGAACTAAAGGTAATACCAGGAGTTGTTGAACAGACGCGAGGACCTGTACAGACCCGAAGAAACGGAGAAAGCGTGGTCAGATGCCGCGGACGTCGTAAAGGATTACAGCGACGACATGATCAAGCGCTGGAACGCCGAGATTGACACATACCTCGTCTACGTACGTGTCATACCGTGTGATTCGCAGAGGGTTCAATACGGTCTGACTAGAGATAAACAGGCAGGTCTCTTCTCCGCCATCTTGACCGCATTCAACGTGCAGTCGTATGTACTCCTACAGCCAACCCCACAGGACCCGACACTCCTGGCGTTGCAGCAGATATCAGCGCAACTCGGCAGCTTCTCGACAAACCCTCCCTTCATCAACTCCACCCAACCTGCGTTCCAACAAACAGACACCGCACCCCCACCTGTACCTAGGGCAGCGGTCTGGCTCAACGCCCTCTGGTTCTCCAGTCTCATCCTCAGCCTGTCCTCCGCGTCAGTGGGCATCATGGTCAAGCAGTGGATCAACGAGTACAATGGCGGGATCTCCTCCGGGAACTCGCGCAAGACGGCCCAGCTCCGGCAGTACCGCCTCAACGGCCTTATCGCATGGCGCGTGCGCGACATCGTCATGGTCATCCCCGTTCTGCTCCAGCTTGCTCTTGCGCTGTTCCTGGCCGGCATGCTCATCCTTCTGTGGACGCTCGACCCTACTGTGGCGACCGTCTCGTCAGTTCTCGTGGCCATCCTCGGGACGTTCGTCCTCGTCACCATGTTCCTTCCCCTGTTCAAAGCTGGCTGCTGCTACCTTTCCCCGCAGACCCTCGCGCTCTACGCTGTTTACGCGCGTGTCGCGCGCGCTTTCAACGTCCTGCGGTACTCCACCTTTCACCCCCTCAGAGAGATTGTGCTGCGTAGGCATCGTGCGGCTGCAGGGACCACCGGGCGAATCCTCGAGAAGATCGGTTGCGCCCTCACGGCGTGCAGCGGGAGGAGGCAGCCTCGGTCAGGGGGGCTTCGAACATGGCGTGGACGCGAGCAAATGTTTGTCACCCGTACAGGCCACATCCTGGACACGGACATGCTCATCATGGCGTACGACGCGAGCATGGACCCCGAGTCGCTGTCGAACGCCGCGACATGCCTCTCCGGCAAGCCACCGGCCATCGTGATAGAATGCTTCGAGCGACTGCACGGCGCGAACGAAAGACACTACGGCCGCCACTCGCCCTACCAGGTCGCGCTGTTCACAAACCAGACGGCCAACGATCTGTGGATCAATGTCCTTCTTTGCTTGCTCAAGGTGGACGGGTCATCTCGGGACGCACACTGGGCGAAGACGATCGAGGACCTGCTGAGATACTTGCGGTTCAGCGTATGTTTTCCCCGTCCGGGTTTAGACAAACGTCACGCAGACTGGGTGCTGACGGCGCTCTCTTCAATCGCATGGGTCCCGGATGACGGTGTGTTGCCGTGGAAGCGGATGAACGATATCGCCCTCAATGGTCTCGGGGAGATACTGCCTTGGGCGGGACAGTTTGATATCAACGTCGACAGCGCCGTTATTGGCTATGGTGAGTGGCAGTCTCTATATTGATATGACGTCCCGATGATGACCTGTCTCCATGTATGATTGAATCAGCTGCAGCGGCTGCCGACCAGCGCCTCCGTCTACCGTTGGATACCCCGAGCTGGACAGAGCTCTGCGAGCGTGTTGCCGCCGCAACATCACTCGTGGAAAATGTGGCACGACTGGTGGACACATCCGAGGTACCTGAGAGCGCCCTGGCTCGCGCAGACGACGCTCTCCACCGCCTATCCGCTGACTTACGGCGCGTCGACCCGGCCGACGTGTGCTCGAACTTCGACGCCGCGCGGTCGTTCAACATCACGGGGCTGGTCCGTGTCCTGGTACAACGTCATACTTCACTCGGCACGCTCGTGTCCCGGGACCTAGTGCACTCCTTGGACCACACCGTAGGGTTGCTCAGGAATGCCATAGGTAAACGGCGTCAATTAATGCACGATATGAAGGAAGAGGACTTCATGCCCGACGAGAACGAGTGGAAGCAACTCATGGCGATCGGGTCCATCGAACCCACCTAGTCTACATTTCTGGATTACTGCGTACTGATTTGCCATACCTTAGACACGAACTGCACGGAGGGGATATGATGTATAGATACACTGCTATTTGACTTCTATATACCGTTGTACACGCTTCTGCTACTACTCGCCGCTCCGCCTACAAAAACACAACGATAAACGGAACCTGCAGACAAGGTGAGTGGTGCACTTTTAATCAAGCCATACACGAGAACGCACCTCAACATCCTCGTCGTCCTCGTCGCTGACCATGACCTCGACGATGAGGTGCTTGGTGTGCGACGGCAGAGGCTTCTTGCTCACGTGCTCGACGAGCTTGCTGAACTTCATCGGGAGGCGCTCCTCGCTCTGCAGCACACGGTCAGACCCGCGCTCTCTGTATCTCAATTGGCACCGGGAGTCGAGAGACGCACCTTCTTCTTGCCAATGAACGAGCTCCAGAGCATGCTGACGCCCTGGCTGACCATGCTGACCTCGAGCTTGTGCTCACGCTTGAACCAGTCAACGATCTCCTTCAGTGTCGGGTCGTTCTTGAACTCGAAGCGGTCCCAGAGCGTCCACTCGATCCCGTTGTACTTGTCCTTCTTCGGCGCGATCGGCTCCGAGAATCCGAAGAACGGCAGGGCGAGGTTCACGAAGCCGTTCTTATACGACTCAATGTTCTTCTTGCCGTCGATGAGCTTGTACAGCTCAAGACATACGAGGCCGGTCACCAGCGACGTAGTCGTCGCGATCGCGGGGATGATCTTGCCCGCAATCTGCTTTGTCGTGTGGCGGTCCGCGGGCGTGATGCTGTAGTTGAGAGCGCGCAGGTTCGAGGATGCGGTAATGAAGTCAATGTGGTGGTTCGTGTCGTCGTCCTTCTCGAACTCAACGGGGTTCAGGCGGTAGCCGACGAGCGATGATGGTGCAGGGAGCTGCTTTAGATATTCGTTCAGGTCAGAATCTATAGTATTGTTAGACACATTGTCAGATTGACAAACTGCGCAGGATGTGCATACCGCCACCATCGTTCTGGGGAGTCGGGTCGTTGTCGTTGATCTGGACCTTGACGCCGCTCTTCGGGGTGAACTCCGGAACGATGACCTCATCCGCGATCTTCTTGAAGACTGCAGGGTCAGTCTCGCCGCGGAGGCCGTAGTTGAAGGCGTGCAGGTTCGCTGCGGCGATGATGTATTGCAGGTGAATGGGCTAGCAACCGAGAGTTAGTAGAGCGGTAATCCCGTAGTTCAGATGCGCCTACGTTGTTCGAGTCGAAGGTGAGCGGCTCAGGCGCGCGCTTGGGGCCACTCCAGAACGGCTGCCCGGTGCTCGTGACCGCGTCCTTGGGCAAGCTGTAGAGCAACTGGCGGATGGCGTTGTTGTACTTCTCCTCGAACTGCAGACGCGCCCAGACGATGCACTCCTCAAAGGTGAGAGGCTTGTTGGTGACGAGATACGACGCAATCTGCTCGACCTGCTCCTTCTGCTGACCGGAGTACTTGAGGTTGTTCTCAAGGAAGTTCGGCTCGGACAGGTAAGAGTTGACGACCTGCGGAGGCTTGACGAACAGGCTATCGAAATCTTGCCTCGCCCACTGTGGTTCTGTCAGCATGAGATGCTTCTGGCGCATATACATATTGCATACCTCGATTGTGTGCTGGATCTGGTTGGGGAAGTTCTTGACGGTACACACGGGCGTCTCCTTCTCAGGAGGGTCCTGCGATGAGGAGTACGACTCCGTCAGATGCGGAACGATGACCTGCGTGTTTCCCTTCGTGCCGAGTGTGCCGGATTCGAGGAGAGGCTTCATGTAGAAGACACAGCGCTGATCCATGTACTGACGCGCCTTGACATTGTCGAGCGCGTTAGTGACACCATCGATGCTAGCAAAGAAGTTTGTGTCGTAGACGTCTATTTATTCATCAGCCAGCGCACAAGTCAGGCTTGTCAAAGTATACTTACTCTCGGTGGCAGGTCCAACAGGCTCCTGCTTGCTGTCGATCTTGCCCTTGAGGTCGGGGTTCATGTCCGCCACTGCTGCTGCAGCAACCTCAGCTTTAAACTTGCCCAGGTCCTTCGGGCGGAAGAGGAATTGACGGTTAAGGTTGCTCTTCTCGATGGTGTCGAGGTCAGTGACGTGCAGCTGCCCGTTCGGTCCAGTACCAAGACCCATCATGCTCCAGTTCTTCAGCATCTCACAGCCAATGGCGCCAGAGCCGACGAGGAACTCGCGGAAATTCGCGATCTTCTCCTGGAACTTCCGGCCGAAGACAGCGATCTGGCCGTCGTAGCGCGACCCGATAGGCTGGCAGTCAGCCTCGGTGGGAAGCTCGTCGGGCAGTGACTCGAGCGAGTCGAAGTAGAGGTGCTGGAATGTGGGGTGGAACTTCGCGGAGCAGGCCTTGAGGACCTCCTGGGCGACGAAACTACCAATGACCGCGTTTACGGGCGCGAGGTCACCCGTCGCCTGGTAGGCGAGCTCAGTCAAGACCTTCTCGTCGGCGTCCGCGTCGATCGTGTTTGCCAGCTTGACAAATACCGCAGCATCCTCTGCGTTACGTGGACGAGGCAGGCGCTGGTACTGCTCCTGGAACTGTGAAAGTGCCTGGAAGCCAGCGTGAAGGGTCGCAGGTCTGTCAAACTTCGCGAAGTCGGTGATGAGGGACTCAGGCTCCTTGAGGGATTCACGAAGGGGTTTCTGAAGACTAGAGTTAGAGGTTCTACTTCGCGCCAAATAATATATGATCTTACGAATTGCAGGATCTTCGGCATCTTCACTTGCGTGAAGATTCCGCCGGACTTATAGTCGCTGAGGCCCGATGTGTCACCGATAGAGAAGGTGTAGGGGCCCTTGACGGTAATCTTGCGAGGTTCGCATCCGTTGAGTTCCGTCATACCCTGGACTTCTGAGAAGGTAACGAAGTCGCCGTCCTCCAGGCCGTGGCGGGTCTCGTCCAAGCAAGTGACGACACCCTCCTTGTCCTGTAACGAGTTCAGCGAGAACCTTGATTCCACGAGGTGCAGCATACCTTGTCCACGGAAACAATCATGCCGGTGAGAGGTTGCTCTCCGGTAGGATCCACGCAAGTGAATTTCGGGCCGAAGTCGTTGAATGAAGTTCTGCACGATCCAGGTCAGGTGAACATCTTCTCGACCACTTAGCTAGGCAAAGACTTACCCGAACAAACCGCGAGTATCAGCGGAGATGAAGTACACGCCATTCTCGTGCGTCCAGTCGTTGATTTCCAACTGCTTCTTGAGCGAAACGCCGCAAAGTACAACAACCTATCAAGTCGACATGCGGTGAGGAACTCAGCTCCGTGACATAAATTTAGACCATACCTGGAAGCCCTTGACCAGGTCAACTGAGATCTCTTGTCCGGGCTGTCCGCCCAGATTCCGCACGGGGACGTATGCGTTGAGTTCAGCCAATCGAGGGAGAGTTGCCTCGGCTCTGGGCTTGCCGACGTCTTCTTGGCGCAAGAAGAACTAGTATCCATGTGAGTAATGGAGCGCTGCGCAAGAATACCGCAGCTTCCTACCTGACTGCTCAGATCTGCGACTTGCACGGGCTCGGGGTCGTAAATGGTGACAGACTTGACACCGGCCAGGACAACATCCTTGGCTGAGCAACAGTGTCATTAGACACCCGCCCAACAGAGTCCAATGTATTAGTGCAACTACTCACCGATCTCAGCGCCGAGGCCCTTCACTCCAACGATGAGGACGTTGGAGGCGGCCATGCGCTTCATGGCTGGGCATACGCGTCAGAATTCCGACAGTTTTCTCTCTCGCTGTGTATCCATACCTTCGTGCCCAAGGACATAGCTAGGAGAGTTCGATCAGCCTGAAGAACGCGTACCCAATCAGTCAGCACTCACAGTTGGCGAGAGTACAAGCCCTCATCAATCGCGGCCTCATCGACGTCCATCGCAGATGGCAGGTTCGTGGAGGCCATGTTTCGTAAAAGACGTCAGGAGTACAAGCGGGTGTGTGAGAGGGGGGAGGGGGATGTGGAGGAGCGAGAGAGAGATGGAACGAGGGTCCTTGGGCGGTGGCGGGGCAAGATTACGACCAGACGCGCTCGGGCTGCACGCGAGTCTGACGTAAGCGATGGATCTACGCGAAATCTACTCCGAGCGCCTCGGAACTCGCGTGCCTTGCTCGACAATCCTCGGCTTTGCCTTCGACCACCACCTGCTCGCCATGAAATATGTCGCATTGCTCAGCGGCGGAAAAGACAGCTGCTTTAATCTTCTCCACTGTGCAGAAAACGGCCATGAGCTCGTCGCCGCAGCGTCTCTAGGCCCTGAGCAAGGCAAAGGTTCGACCGCCTTCAGCATCTCCGCACGCTCCTTTCCGACACTGTAAATCCATAGAGGAATTGGACTCGTACCTCTATCAAACCGTCGGACAAGATGCAATAGAATACGTTGGACGCGCCTTGGACGTGCCGCTGTACAGGCAAATAATATCTGGGGCAGCAGTCGAACAAAGCAGTGAATACGGTGGCCGAGACCCTGCACACAGCGGCGGCGTTCGCGGCGACGAGACCGAGGATCTCTACGAGCTTCTCGCCCTAGTCAAAGTGAATGCCTTGTCTCTTGTGGAGATCAAAGACTGACTTGTCGGTAGAGCCATCACCCAGATGTCCAGGGTGTCTCCGTCGGAGCAATCCTCTCCAACTACCAGAGAGTTCGCGTGGAACATGTGTATGTATGTATCCGCATATGCGCAAAAATACACATGTTGAACCAGCTATAGATGCCGCCGGCTGGGCTTGACTGCCCTGAGCTACTTGTGGCAACGTGACCAAGAAGAGTTGCTATCTGAGATGATTGAAGCCGGCATGGAGGCCGTCCTCATCAAGGTCGCCGGTATCGGACTAACCGCAAAACATTTGGGTAAGACCCTCGCAGAAATGAAGCAGCCCTTGGTCAAGTTAGTCAGTGCAAATACACAATGTCGTGATACAATGTAGACTTACTCATCTCGATCATACTTAGAACTGTTTGTATGGATCACACATCTGCGGAGAGGGCGGGGAGTACGAGACCTTGACCCTCGACTGCCCCCTCTTCAAGTCCCGCATAAACCTGTGAGTTACACAGCTGCTTTTATAGCTCGGTGATACCGACGTCGACCGCACTTTTAGAGACACAGTGGAGACTGTGATTCATTCCGACAGCGACTTCGCAACCGTCGCCTATTTGCGAATCAAGGAGGCCACACTTCAACCCAAAGCATCCCCAGCGCGCCAGCAGCTCGCCGTTCCGCCATTGTTGGAAGAGCCTTTCTCTCACATACACGATCCAATGGGACCCTCCACGCCCTCTACGAACTCAGAGAATCAGCCCAGCCCAATACACCCATCCTTCCATCTCCAAAGTCACAAACGAATAGGAAATTGGGTCGCCGTTTCGAACGTGCAGCGAGACCTTAGAGAACACCCTGAAGAGCTCACTGTAGAGGACGAGGTACGGGAATGTTTCAAGCAGCTCCAAGGTACCAGTGACTCCCCAACTCACCTCTTCGTCCGCACTACTAACCTGCTACAGACTGTCTTACCCAGTACTCGCTCACGCTCGCCAACTGCACCATCATCAACATCCTTATCTCCTCCATGGACCTCTTCGCGCGGGTCAACACTGTCTACGCTACCTACTTTGGCACGAGCCCGCCCGCCCGCGCATGCGTCGCCGCGGACCTCCCCACGCCCGTGCGCATCCGTCTCGACTGCATCGCCTTCGCGGAGACCACGCCCACCGCACGCCAGGCGCTGCACGTCCAGGGTCTGAGCTACTGGGCGCCCGCGAACATTGGGCCGTATTCGCAGGCCATAGTCGTGAGCCTTAGTGTATCGCAACATGTGCCCTACTGACCCATCGTTCTATCCCTTTTGCAGGCAGATGAACGGGTGTTTATCTCGGGCCAGATTGGTCTCATTCCCAGTGTCCTCGCTCTGCCATCCCCGAAATCGCTCGCGCTCGAGGCTGCGTTGGCGTTCCAACACGTCCACCGCGTCGTCGACGCACTCAAGAACAACTCGGGCGGCGGCTGGGCTGGCCATTACCAGGGAATCGTATACTGGCTAGCGAATGCCGGCGACGTCCCCGCAGTGCGCAGAGCAAGCGCACAGTTCGACGGGGTACGTTGTCAGTCGGTGCTATTAGAATGACATAGGAGAACTGATGGTGTCGGTAAAGGACGCTAGTACCCCGACGCTGTTTGTCGCGGTGCCGGAGCTGCCCAAGGGCGCGCTGGTGGAGAAGCAAGTAATGTTGCATACAGGCCAGTGTGACATCGAAGAAGACGACGGGACTGTTATCCGTGGTACCGCCGTGCCTTCCTATGAGACAGGTACGCCGTTTACGCCTCATCCCGGACATTGCCTAAAACAGATCGTCTATCACAGGCCACTACGAAAGCCTCGGCGGCCAAGTCCACTGGGAAGTCTCCAGCCTCCGCGAGACGCCGTCCACAGTGGCTCTGGTGTGCCTCCGCGGAGAAGACCCGGGCTTACTGCAGCGATTACGAGACGTCCCCGCCCTGCAATCGCTACGGTCTGAAGCACTGGCGATCCGCTTCTTCTACAATGTCACGAGGCCTGAAGGTAATAGTCATTCCGGACTTACCAGCCTCGGCCACGCACAGCCAGCTGATGAACGTTTACTTACAGCCGCCGCGTCCGCCGTGGCGTTCCTCTCAACCCCCGACCCGGTGCCCGTAGCACCCATCCCGTGCAGACACATTGCGAGCAGAAACGGCGATGATTGGGATTACGCGATCCTTGCTACATGTACAAGATAGCATGCGACGGTGATATACAAAACAACACGCGGGGGAGATCGGGGCTGGGAACGTCCTGAGTAGATCCGGCAGACGAGATGAAAGAAAGACCCTTGTACACTACGAGTGCGATGGAAGAAAATTGTGAGTCGAGGAGCCACATTAGGATGTTCACGGCGAGCCCTCTTCTTGAAGGACCTTGAGCTCGGCCAGACGCCTGCGCATCTCCTTCTCTGTGCGCGTGGGCGGCACCATGCGTGCGATGACGGCGCCGAACTATCCTTACTGTCAGCAACCTATTACAAAGTGAGGAACCCGTGGAACGTACCAGGGTACAGATGCCACCAAATCTGAGCACCCAGGCTACGCCGTTCTTGCCGTACAGCGCTGCGTTGTTCGCCGGATCGTCGTCGATGTCCGAATCGACAACGTGGAAGATGGCGCTCGAGACCAACGCAACCTACACCGCGTTATCAGACAGGAAACGTTATGAAGTGTGTGTCAAGGTACTCACGATGAATTGCGGCATGACGATCGCGAGGTTATGGATGCCCAGCACGGTACCGCCCGCAGCGGCTTCCTCTTGCTGAACGGTGTCCGCCTGGTCGAACGAACGGCGGCGGCGGAGCAGCGGCGCGCGTTCGCCCTGATCTTGCCTGCTGTTCCTCCTGGCCGCAGGTGTCGAAAGCGTGCGGCTGTGCGATGGCCGGCGCTGCCACTCCCGCGGGACATTGTCGCCGTCAGAATCGCGCTCGCGCTCCTTCAAGAACTACAGCATACGCGGAAAATTAAGCACGCGTCCCCAGTTCGACAATACCCGACTCGGGACTTACCTCCATGATGATCGCGAAGGGCGCCCAGCACGCGACGGCCCAGCAGATGCCGACCAAGCTCACGAGGATGATCGCCTGCCACACCTTCGTGACAAAGAAGGTCATGAGCGTGAGGAACGTGAAGAGCAGCATCGCGCCCGTCCAGATGTTGCGCAGGAAGAAGGGCATGAAGGGCAGCCGCAGGGGCTTGCCGTGGCGCGCGGCCTCGGCGCGCCATTCGCGGACCTGCACGCGCAGGCGGGAGAGCTCGGAGTCCTCGTCCTCATCGTCGCCGTCTTGTGCGAGAAGGCGCGTGTCACGGCGCGTGAGGTAGGGCAGAAGCGTTCCTGCGGCGACGGCGACTGAGGACGAGCACTTCAGTGATTTCTCTAGTCGAAAGAAGTGCTTGGAGACACGTACCGATGCTGTACAAGAGCATAGCGAAAGCTCCCGTCCTGGTGGCGTAGTCATGATCAGGCTCTGCGTCCATCTCATACGCCATTACTTGACCAATGTATGTCGTACTGAGCGAGCAGGGTTAACGCCTTACGTCTTCATGAGGTCTGCAAAAGATCAACGTACGAGTAAAACAGGAAGGGGAACCTGCACCGTGGCACCATGTCAGCTGTGTTCGATAGATGGGCGCATATCACTACCTACCATCCCATGAAGGCAAACACCTGGACATAGCAGACTCGGCGGATGGGCTTTGGCAGGCTTAGAATAGTCGAGTAGATCCCTGTGAAGATATCGCGAACGCTATTCCTGTAGGTGGCGTCTGTTAGCACTTTCGCCACTCAATCCCTCAAACAGACATACCCCTTCTCGATCCTCCTGGGCTCGCGGATTTGCTCCTCCTGCGTCCAGCACGTAATCCACACAGTGATACACAGGATAATCATGCATACAACGCAGAACTTGCGGAACTGCGACCCGCCCAGCAGACGGAGGATCGGCATGTTCGCAAGCGGCAAGAACCCTGCATAGTGCGCTTCCCTGTCAATCATCTGACGCCGCGCGGGAAAACCGAGGGCGTACCAAATCCGTAGCCGACGATGTTTCCAGCGTTCAGCATCCGGCTGTGCCAAGCATTGCCAGCGTTGAGCTGCTCGGGCGGAGTGATGTCCAGCAGCAGGTTACGCAGCGACGCTTGTAGCGCGTTGAGCGCGAAGTCCAATAGGTAGAAAGAGACGATTGCGAAGCCGATAGCCGTATCAATTACCTGTGGCGTAAACGGATCAGCTTGACTGGGCGCGATGCTAGCGATGCGTGAACCGACCGTCTTGCTGTACTTCGGATCCCAGCTCCCTCCGCCATACCCGAAAAGGTCGACGAAGAACGCAGCGATCTCGCGACAGTACGCGAGGGTGAGTGTAGAGATGACGAGCACAATCGTGGAGGCGACGACCCAGTATCGCCGCCGGTACTTGGACGTGGACGCGTCCGAGACAGCACCTGTGTAAGACCCAAGCGCATGAGGGCATTGCGCTACAGGCCTACAACCCAACCTGTACGGACTCACCAATAACAGGCTGCGCAATAAGCCCGCTGATGGGCCCCGCGAGCCACACAAGACTCGTAAGCTGCTCAGAGAGCCCGAGGTCGAGCAGGAACGGCGTCCCATATCTACCCGCACACACTCATCAGCATTCACCCTCTTGACTTGCATCTTCCCCCCTCCTCTGGGTCTCCCACAAGCACGCGCAGACACTCACCCGAGCTCGACCGTCCACGCCACCTGTGAACCGGCCATCGACACACTCAAGTAGATCAGGTCCAGCGTGGACATGCGCTTCTTCCCCGACGCAGACGCGTCCGTAGCCTTGCCGCGCCCTGCGCTCGACGACCCGCCCCGTGCAGAGCCTGTCTCAATCTCGGAGCGCTGCGACTTGTGTGACGCGCGGCGGCCGCGCTCGCTCGGGCGGATGGGCCATGCGATCTGGGACGCGGAGTCGGCGTCGGGCTCGACGGTCTCGGGGAATGTCATCGTGGTGGCAGGCTGCAGGCAAGATCACAGTCACAGCCAAAGAGACAAGGTGCGGGGCAGAAGATAAACGAGGAGCGCTGCAAGAGGCAGGGAGGGAGGACGAGGGGAGGACAGCGTCCGGACGGCGCGCGCGGGGAGTGCCTGCCAGCTGCTGCTTGACTCCTGGCGGAGAAGGAGAAGAACGTGCTCGTTTGGGCATGACGCGCACGCCAGCCCTTCTTCGATCGGGATCTCGCTTGGCGCAATGTACGAACGCTAAATCATCTGCTCAGGCTCGCGTCGGAGATTGCACGGCGGTGTACGTAGCACACAACTACTGGCGGCCAGCCGATGACACACGGAGACACGCGCAGGTCGTGAATGTGAGGACGTTCCGAGTGGTGCGTGCTCGGTGCACACATCCGCGACTACATGACCAATGGCACAACACAGCAAGTTACACAGCGATGCGAGCGAAGAGCAGCTACCCGTACACTATCCCAATCCTTCCAAGCGAACGAAATCGATCCCCGCACCCTTCCCCATCGCCATCCCCACCCGTAGCGAGCAAATCGTGACAGCCCCCGTGTCCCTCGCACACCGCCAGAAGAGAAGCTCCAACAGCGCGCATCTGCCAGGCTCGCATCGCGCCCACGCGCCCCACAGCCCCAGCCCCAAGACTACCGGAGCACCGCGTTCACAGACGCGTTCCGCCGGTGGTTTGCGCTCGGCACGTGCTGATCCAAGCTGTTCTTGTGCGACGACAAGATGTTGAACGGCAGTCGTCTTGCGGTGTGCGTCGGCGCCGTCGCCGTCGTCGGGGTCACCACCCGCTCCGGCTCCTCCGTCACCGCGGGCGGTGGAGGAAAGCGTGCATATTCGATCGACGGGCCCATGTAGGCGTAGTCCTTCTCGGGCACGGCGGGCTGGCTGCCTGAGCGCCCCATAGTTGGCCGCAGGGTTGAATTCTGCGTTGGCGTAGGAAGAGCGGAGGGATCTGAGGTGGCTGATGGCGAGGCTGCGGTGGAGAGTGGTTTGAGCATCGCGGGGCTGGTGCCGGATCGACTTCGAGGCTCCTGCAGCGCCTGGTTGGAGGGTATTGTCAGAGGTTGCGGCGTTGTCCGCAGCTGAGCTGCAGATGCAGACGGTCGTAATCGACGTCGAGGCGCGACAGATCCCTGTGTGACCAGCGAAGACAGGGCTGAGATGTCGTCCTGGTCCTTTGGCGGAGGAGCCGGTGGTGGAGGGGAAGCAGACTCGTTCTGCGACGGACTGTCCGTCGACGCCGTGGTGGCACTCCCGCTCCTTTGCCGCAACTTGTACTTCTCCATCGCATCCGCATCGCGTTCTCGCATCCGCGTCGCGATCGGAGACAGGGCAGACGCTGGATTTGAGTTGCTGTTCGGAAGCAGGGACGCGGAGTTTGGCTGTGAAATGGGCGAAGGGGCGAACCCAAACGTGCTTGTCGAGGAGCTGGCAGATGGCTGTCCAGCAGAGTGTGTGGCTGTCGGGAGGGGGGCTGGGCGACGGGAGGGAGAAGACCAGAATCTTGATGACTGTGTAGGGGGGACCTCGTGAACATCGCCGCTGTCCGAGGTGGCCGTCGTACGACTGGTCCCTGACCCGCTCCGCATGCGGACAGAACCCTTGCTGCCATAGATAGGTTCTCGCGGTGATGGAGGGTACACCTGCATGGCCGCCGTGGCCGCCCAGTCCGTACCCCTGGCTGCAGCTTGCTGGAATACACCCCGGCGCGCCTTCTTGTTATTCTCGAACTGTATTCGAGCGGTATCTTGGAGGGTGTCTCTCGTGCTTATTCTGTACACGGGAAAGCGTGAGCCATCAGCCACCGGTGATTGTCCGTATATACTGACGAATAGGCGTAGTCCGAGGGCGTGAACCCCTGATTATTCCGCGCGGAATACTGGCACCCACGCTCGATGAGTATCTGGACGACCTGTGAAAGGGAAAGCCTGTCAGAGCTTTTCCTGTTCGGGTATGGACCCAACGCACGGTAACATGGCCCCAGGCGCTTGCGCTGCAGGAGAGAAATTTGAGTTCCGCGACTTCCTGTACGGGACGGTACCATGCTCACTAGTGTAATGGGGTGTTTCCCTCGTTATCAGCGAGGTCGAAGTCTGCGCCTAGATCGCAGAGCATCTGCCAAACGGTCAGGACGGATGACAAGCGGCAGGGATGCATACGCCACACTCACGCGCACGAGCTCCTCATTCCCCTTGAGCGCAGCGACGTGCAGCGCGGTCTTCCCATCCTGGTTCGCCCAGTCGAGGATGTCGGGGTAGCGGTCGATGTACATGCGGGCCATGCGAAGAGTTGCACCAAGGAAGTCCTGGTCGGGCGGTCCGGGAGTGTGTGGCGTCGATGGTGGGGGACGCGCATCGGCTAGGAGGATGAGTATTGTGTTGTCTTCCAAGTCCTGTTGCCGACATGGACCAATTAGCATGCGCCACCGCTTGTGCGGGTGTCTGTGTGCGCACCTTGCTATACTCGTGATCGTCGTGTCCCATACTGAGCAGAAACTCAAACGTCTCCTCATGTCCCAGCACGGCGGCCCAGGCGAGAGAGGTGTACCGCTTGTTGTATGGATCGGAATTGCGCATCTCTGTCCGCTTGATCAGTCGCTTGACGAGAAAGAGATTGTTCTCTGCATGCACGATGAGCACGGAAGGGCGAGGGGCGGGATAGCGAGCAACGAGCGGACCTTTCACGGCTCTGCGGAGACGGGCAGAGGCGTCCTTTTCTGCCATGGCGGGAGAGTGGACGCGAGAGGGGGCGGTCGGAGGAGGCGATGGGCAGACAAGGGAGTGAGGAGAGGACGTTGCACAGCCTAAGCGGGCAATAATAAGGAGAATGGACTGGAACTATTCTCGCGCCGAGGGATGCTCTACATACAAGGGTGAGCACTAAACCGGCGTCGCGAATGAGCACTGACCTTTGGAACCTATTATTATTATTATTATTATTATAATCCGAGTTTATTATCCGCTGGAGGGCGACGCCCTATGTCAGATAGTACGTACTAGTGAGAAGTGTGCGGTGGGGGGTGCTCGAGACGGGGCATGTGCATGGTTGGAACCTATTAGTATCCGTGCCTGCGTGGCCGGCGGCGGCAGAACTGGACAAACTCGTCGGGCGTGTGTGAATGTGCACGGGTACGACGACATCGCCACCGTGATGGAGATCAGCATCCGGCCAGTGCAGTGTACGCGCGGGGCTCCCATCGTGGCTGTCGGCCGAGAGGAGGTGAGTGCCCAAGAGAGACCGGTCGCGCAGCCAGAGACTCCGAGAGCGAGCAGCTGACAAGTCCGTCTATGGCGTCGAAGCCCAGGAATAAGTGACTAATAAGCATGCAGATACCAGAGTATATGGCACGTCAGACATCGCGCGGAGGCAGCGCGCGTGGAGTTGAGGCAGACATTGTGGTCGGGACGAAAGAGTCTCTCGACAAGCGCCGGTGCTCGCTTGCGGCGCTGGACCCACAAACGGCGCCTCTTTCTGTCCTCTCTACCACTTTCGCGCCTCGCACACGCCGCCGTTTCCGCCTCCCGTCTCGTTTTCACTCGCAAATCCCCCGCGTTTTCTCGTCCGGAACACATAGAATGCGACCTGTTTTCTCTGCGAGTTTTTCGCGAACTCTGTCCTGCGATTCAAATGCGCTTACTTCAAGTTCCCTACGATACACGTCGTTCTCGTCCAAATAGTGTATTCTGTCGTTCAGCGCACCTGTAATACAGCTATTTTGCTCTCTGCGAGGTCCTCCTGGCCGCCTTCCTTCCGCCCACCAAGCAGCCGCTGCAGAGCTCTCTCCCATCTATCCGAGTCTCTTGTGCACCACCATATATCCCCCCTGTGCCCCCTCTCTATTCCTACGATACAGACAGAGTCCCACAACATCAACGGCCACTTGATCCCCTCGTAGCCGTCGCCGCCCGCGATGTTCCGACAAATATATTGCGTGACTCTGCCGCTACGCCGATGATACACAGCCAACGCCCGCCGCACCGCGCACAATTTCGGCATGTTTGTTCGCTCTCCCCGAGAGTATAAGAGGGTCCGATAAAGTTTTCATCGACGCGTCTCTCCCGCACCCGCATCCCCCTCTGCAGTGACCCTGGTAAGGTGAGTATCCATCCAGCCGGGCGAGCGATGATGCTATCTATATATTCCCAAACATCCGAACGCCCCGCGCGTCGTGAACTCACTGCTATAGTCCCTGAGCCGCCTGCCCGTTCACATCGCTGTGTGCTTGCCGGCTCAGGCGTGTACTCACACATCTCCTGCGCAGGAACGCGTCGCGATTAGGGTCCCTGGGAGGACTGGTTGCTGTGAAGGTACGTGTCTAGATCCTTTTCCATATCCCCTCGCCCCCATGCTTCGCGTCGTGCTTGATGACAATACTATTCACACTGGATGAACGTCCGTTGCTACGGCACGGATGGACATGAGTAAAACTCTTTCTACAACGGTATCTGACACACCATTTCCCATCTCTTCTCATTTTTGCATGTGCAGCTGAGAGCAGTTTGGCTGACGAACGGTTACGCCCATAGGTTTACTATCAAGTTGACAAGTCGGGAAGGGTCTGTGGCTGTATATAGTGTATCCTAGTGTTCTGGCACAAAGCAATATATTCGTCGTACACATCATACATCGATCGAACACAGCAAAAGAGAGCGGATAGGTACAAAAGGCACATGAGATCGAAGGCATGCATTCATGCGATGCTATCGTCGAGAAGCTTCTCGTCATCGAACGCGTCTGGCGGAAGCTGTCCCTGTATCTGGCTGAGAGCACCCTTGAACACGTACAAGAACGGCCCAGACTTGGCGGGCGGGGGCGTGGACTGGTACGCAACAGGCAGCGCGCAGCGTGGACAATGGAACCTGTGCTGTTTCTCATGCCCACCTTGTCTGATAGCGTAGCGAAATGAGCCTGAGGGATCGCGTCTCGCTCGCCTGGGCGACAGCGGGAAACGCGGACTCACCGCTCTACGAGGATTGGCTCCTTGGGCGTGGCGTTCAGCTTGAAGATCCGCGCCTTGGCGTCGTCCGCGTCCTGGCAGCGAATGATAATTGCGCCGTCAGTCTGGCGCCGCGGAAGGCTCGCTAGGCTCTTGTCGACGACGAGCTGCGCGCGACGGGGAAGCGGGGGACGTGTGAGAGGCCGAGGGCAGCGGGGGACATGCACAGGAAACACGCACGATAAACTCGCCGCAGATGCAATCTGGGCGGGGCGGGTCAGCTTGTGTCAGGGAGAGGACAATGGGGAAAGGATCACACAGTAGACGCGGAGGGCTGCTGTTGATGATGCGGTGGGCCGCGCTAGAAGACGATGGCGAGTGAGTCGTCAGGGTGGACACTTGGTATGAAGCTGGCGCACCATCTGTGGAGGACGAGACCGCGGAACGCGAGACGACCTTGGGCATTGCAGTGAGCTTTGATGAAACGGCGCCCCGGGATGATGCCAGCGAGGGTTATGAGGGTCGCAAAATTGCACGCAGAGATGGCCGAGCAGGTGGACTGAGGAGGGACAGATCCGCGGTTTGTTGCGGAGATGTTGTGTGAGCACAGTCTGAGACGAGAAGCACGATCCTGACAACACTCAACGCCGGGAACACTGCCGAGACTGTGACCGACGGCAAAGGCAGCGTGACATTACGTATCCTCATACGACCCTGAGGCACGTGACCGTGGCCCTCGCGCGGCCGCTGATTGCGTGTCGCCCGCCGAGTTTGGTGGCCGCTGGCCGCGTAGACTTCTGTTAGCTTGGCAGGTAAGTGTTCTCTCCTGCCGCTCACCATCGTCCGAGAGAGTGGGTAAAGTCGCCGGTCATTGCAAGGTCTGCCCGCGGCGCGTCAACGCTGGCGCGAGCAGCGTTATGTTGTGGTCGTGGTTGCGCGCCGCTCGTGCTATGCTGGTGGCCGCTGGCCGCCAGGCGATGAGTACGCTCAGCACGATCCACTCACAGCTCGGGAGCGGGTGCCGGTTGCGCATGGCGCATGTTTGACCAGCGCGCGCGAACTCAAAGCGCGGGAGAGTGACAGGATGCGAGAGGGCGAGCTCGGGGTGGGTGCGGGAGTGTCCGAGAGCGGGCCGGGTGCGCGATGCGCGACCATGGCGCGCGCAACGCAGCCCCTGCGAATCGTCAACGGAGACGTTTGCCGAGCATTGTCGCATGCTGCTCTTGCCCCCTCTGGACGGCGCCAGCCACTCGCAGGCCAGCTCGCTTGGGCGCCTCCACTATCAACTGCCGGCGTGGGCAAGTGTCAGTGCGCGCATTCTAGACCCTAGTACACCCGGTGACTCACCGTGTGTGGCGGACGTTCTAGGGTGCTTTGGGCGAGTTCGAGAGCGAAGGCGACGTCTACATATGGGGGACTCGGGGCCTACAGATGCACACAGGCCCGTGAAGGTGGGGTGCCTCCCACAGTTGCAGACACGAGCTTTGTCGGGAGATCTGGGTAATTCGAAATGGTGCGGCTCGATATTGGCGGCAGCTGGCACGGGGTGAGGGAATGTTAGTAGCAGGCAAGTCGGTTGCCCGTCCCGAGCCCCACCGCCGGCCCGCCACTCCTCGCAGCCCCGGCGGCAGGGAAGCAGAGTGATAGTCTCACCTTTGCCCTTTGCAGATAGCCTACGCCAACGATCATCTCCAGTATCAAACTCGCGACCCTCTCGCCAGGTGCCTCTCGACGGCTGATCTTCCGCTGCGCGCGTCGCATCTGTAGGGAATCGACAATGTGGGCACGCAGTCGACGGCCATCTTCAGTGATGGCGAGCTCGCTGCTTGTCTCGCCAGCGCACGCACGCTTCGCAGTCCGTATCAACCGACCGAACCTACTGGGTAGTGTCTGGTCAGTATCCGGACATCCTGCAAATAGAGACTGCGCTCACCAGCACTGCCCATGAGCTCGTATGCATGAAATCGGAGCTGATGTGGTGTGGTTTGCAGCAGGGTGCTGCGCACATCCTGGGACGTCGGGAGCTCTGTGCGTGTGCGTGTGCGTGTGCGCATGTGCCATGGCACGGGTACGATTGCGAGCTGCTCTTGCTGTCTGCGAAACTGGTAAGCTGGCGGCTCTCTTGCGTGTACCAGGCCTGTGTTGGAATGCCACACATTGTATGGAACACTTGCCTTTGTAGTGCCACAGGCAGAGGGGAGCATGAGTGACGGGGACGAGGAAAGCAGTTGATGGTGAGCGCCTGGGAAGGTGGTCCAACCGCGGGCGGGTGGGCAGGATGGTGGTGGGGGTCGCGGCGAGATCGCGTGGCAGCTCCGTTAGTCTAATGTATCTTTTGATCTCTCGGAAGGGTGCGCTTTCTTCCCTCTTCCCGGACATCCTATTTCGACCCGAACATTTTGTGATACTATCTGGTCTCTCTAAAATGCCGTAAATGTGTGATCCTGCATGCTCGCTCGTGCCCTCACATCTGACAGAGCCAGACATGCAGAGCAGGGACACTTGGATCACGCAGGCCTCCTGCTTGTCCCGAGCATCCCTATCCTGCATGTCTGGCCAGCTTCTTGTGTTTGGTCACATACATGGTATCATCACGGGTGTGTAGATCTCGAGTTTATAATATGTCCATCAAAACTGTGATGCGCTCGCGAGACATGGGAGCCCGCATGTACAAATTCGGCACTTGGACCAGGATGAGCACCTGCTGCCCCCGCGATCTCCGCACATCAATAGCGTGCATGCCTCCGGAGGTCCAGCCATTGGTATGATTTGTAGTACGTACAATACTGCAGGTCGTAATGATGGAGTAGAACACAAACACAATCAGTTGGCACAGAGGCGGTATCTATCCTGGCATGTAAGCGCTCACGCGCTCACGTACCAAATGCGGAATGCGGTGTTGTTGTTCGCGCGCATGAGCATCCAGCTTGTCCTCATTCCACCACGCTCACTCAACTTGTGCTCCTCCTCCATCATGCTCAGTCCCCCATTCGCTGCAAACGCGCGGAAACATAATTATATGGCACGTATATCAGCGAGAATGGAACAAAAAACAAACACGGCATCAGCACGATCCTCTCACGCATCAACCCCGCTGCTCCGCACCGCCGTCTTGATCTCCGAGTCCCCCTTGTCCTCTGACGAGAACTCGCTTATCTCCTCAAGGTCCTGGTCGCTTCCAGTTCTGTACCAGCCGTCGTACGAGAGTGATACAAAACTCCTCAGTGCAAGGGGTGGCACCAGTGGCAACTTTGGCTGCCACCGGAGCGAGCAAGTCTGTGTCTGCGAGCTGGCCGCACCCTCGTCATCAGAACTGTAGATGAAACTGTCGCTTTTTGGCCCGTTGACGGTCCTTGGGATGGTGCAAAGAGCCGCCATCCGGTTTTGTCTTCTACCGGTACCGAGACGCGGCCAATGTCATTCCGCCCACCATCCAGCTTGCAGTGAAGAAGCCTGGAGCAGATGCAACGAG